CCGCTGAGAGTCCGGCGCACTTGTGGCCCACTTTTTCTTACTTTGTCCGTGTTTTTTCGCGCTGTTTGCCCTTGCGTAAAACGCGGGCTTGTTTGTTAACAGCGTGTGGGTCTATATAAAACAAATCTGAATGGTTCTAATTATATATATATATAAAAAAAGCGCTCAGAGACAGAAGTTGAATAAGATTGCCATGTATGTAGGGAGTTTTAGGAGATTACTGCTTTTACATCTCGATAACAATGCTGATACCCCCCCCCCCCCCCCCCCTCGTACGTGTGCAACCTATAAGCCCCCCCCCCCCCCTCTTTTACACACACACACACACACACACACACACACACACACACACGCATGCACGCACGCGCACACACACACACACGCTGTTTTTTTTTTTTTTATTGAACATAAGTAATTAGCGGGAACAAAAACAAAAACGAAGCGGAACTTTTGGTTTGTTGGTTTTTCGAGTGACATTTGTAGCAGACAGTTACGTGTGACAAACCCGCGTAATAAATGAATTAAGAATGACTGATTCAGTGCGATCAGCATCATACAGTTCGTCAGCATTCAGTGGTGTCTGTCTATTCGTGAGACAACTTGAACTCGGATCATTCGGGAACCCGTGTAAATACCAACGGGGTCGAAGTCGATGATGTAGGTGATGCCTCCGTAGAGGAGCGTGGCGGGTCCCTGCGAGTCTGGGCCCCGTTTCAGGTAGACCAGCGCCTGGATCTTGTTCAGGTACCTGTCCAGGTCCGACAGGGGGTTCAGTTCGTAGGCAAGCTGGTCCCGCTGACCGCTGCCATCCTGCTGCCCCGCTGGGGGTTTAAAAATCGTCACTTTCCATCTGAGGTTCTTGCCCCGTGTACGTTGCCACTTGCTTACGTGACCGATAGGAACATACACCGAGTATATTTTAGACATCCATTGCCTTACAACATTATGAGAAAGCTTCATTTTGTTGCCATTTTGCTCGCTTGCTAAACAATGGTAGGGCGATTTCAAGGGGCAGGGAGCGGCTGTTTTGAGCTGATATGTGTATTGATTTTCGACTTCACGCATAAAAACTCATATGACACATTACTGGGATTAAAATCCAATGTTTGAAATCATCGAATTATGCACTCATCAAAAAAATGGGAAAACTTAGTTGCACAGTGGCAAGATACTTGTCGTTGAGCATCTGCATCCTACTGTCAATGTTCATGTATTTTTATACAATTTAAGCATCGGTGTGCGTAAAGTCCCTCGTGAGAATACCCCCCCCCCCCCCCCCCCCCCCGTGTACCAATGTATTTTCACGAGCTAGCCGGGAGAATTTTCCCTTACTGGTACACTTTTTTTCGGCGGCCTTTCCCTGCGAGTTTGACGAGGGCGACCTGGGTAGGGAGGCTCAAGTGAGGGTGGGTGCAACTGCTAGATCGGCGACTACGGGACATGGACGCCATTTAATTGCTAAATTTTGCTGGAGTCTATGGGACAAAGGGTCGTTTTCTTTCCTAACTCGGGTCATAAAAGCCCATTAAGGTGCTTGAATAATTTACACAATATTTTTCCATAGCCACCAGTTTTGTTGCGATAGGTTAAGTATTTTTTTAACGCGAAAAATGGTAAATTCCGCCATCTTGGACGTTGCTGCTTGTCTGGCAACTTTGCTTTCTCCGCTCGACGTTTGCAATTCTCGGAGCGAGAAGGAAGCGAGAGAGGCTGCGCCAAGGCGCTCGTTGCTTGCAATGGGAGGCGAGAGGAGGAAAGGCGCATGGTGCAACAGAGTTGCAACAGAGCGGGCGCCTGCTCTCGTGCAGGCAACACTGGCGCATATCCTTTCTCGAATCCTCTCCCTCAGGCGCCGCCATTAAATTGCAAACGCTCTCCAGGTTTTGAGTTGCGCCCACCCCACTACAGCCTCCCTAGACCTGGGCGGTGACCCATGGCGCCATCAAAAGGGGAACGCCGCCACGGTCCCCCTTTTTAATCTTTTTAGCTGCTTAATTTTTATTTATTTATTTATTTTATTTATTTATCTTTTTTTTTTTTTTTGACACGCGCTCGACTCGCCGTTGGTTTTTGGAACTTTGGTTTCGTCCGACAAAACGCTCGTGTTGGGACACAACTCGCATGTTCACTAACAACATGATGTCGGTGGCAGGTTAAAGGCCCGTTCACACTCTTGCAACCGAGTACGACTGAGAGAGACCAGACCGGTTTTTAAGCCTTTTGCGACGTCTTAGAACCGGATGCGCTGCAGCAGAGCTAAGACCTCGGAGCGATAGCTGGAGAGGAGGTCGCCTCTAGGGAGCCTTCATGTGCGCTCTGCGCATATGAAGGCACCCTAGTCGCCTCCCCTCCAGCGTTCGCCCAACTGAAGTGGAAAGAGCCAGGAGGAACATCCACTTTTTTACTTTTAGGCGTATAAAAAGGGAGAGGGGGGGGGGGGTGCCACGGCCGGAGTGCTTAGGGCGTTTGATGCTGTAGGGCCGGTCCCGCCTATATACTCTCAAAGCAGTTCGGTCAGACGCTCTCGAATGTTTGGCACTGACCGGCGGTGATGTCCTCGACGGCGTAGAGGTTCTGTCCCCGGATCTTGTGCTTGCGCTTCCAGGCGACGGCCAGCGTGTGTCCCGGGATCCCTTCGTCCTGGAGGCTCACCCTGAGCAGGACCCTCGAGGTGCCCCGGGGACGCTGCAGCCAGCAGCTCCACTCGGTCCGGTTGAAGAAATCGCACGGCACCGCCGAACTCACACGGCCGTGGCCCCTGCGTATGTCGATGCGCTTTCTCTCTCTCTTGTCCCATTTTTCGTCCCTCGATTTCTGTCTGATGGCGTGCATGTACGTGTCATGCTGCGGCGATCCAGTGGCTGTGGCACAACAGCAAGTGAACACGGCAGTCGCTTGTTTTGTATTCGTATTTATCAACCCCCCCTTCCCCCCTTTTTTCTTTTTTTTTGAGGGGGGGGGGGGGGGGGAAGAGCGCAGGTACAGAAGGCGACTTAAAACACCCGGCAAAGGTCCTGCTCCCCTGTATACCCCCATATCTCAACAAGAACCATTGTTCAGCTGTAGGTCGCCCCTGATCAGTCTTACGTACGAATACAAGAAAGGATAAAACATAGAGGACGGGGACGGAAACAGGACTTCATCGAAGGACTGTTTTATCCACGTAACACAAACACGCTAGTTTTCTATTTTTACAGTCTTACAGTCCGCGGAAACTTTGGTAACAACAAGTTGGGACTCGGCGACGACAGCGACACTTGTGCTTGCTCGTACTTTTTGCCGGAAGTTCTACCTCCAAACCGCCAGGATCGCGGCATCCGACAGCATGACAAGCTGACGTAGCTTGTTACCCACTTCGGGACGACTCTCGGTGCATGGCGGTATAGGACGCTAAGCACGCCAGCCGAAGACCTGCTCTAAACCCTATTGCAGCTTCTTCAGGTCGGCGTCGACTCGCTTACTCGAGCTCCCGGCGATGCTTTTGCGCTGAGGCCACCTCGTCCATCTCCAGGCCCGAGAGGTCTCGGATCCTGCCCAGAAGGAGCGTACTCTCCACCCGCCTCATCGCGGGACAGTCCCGATCCAACGGAGCTCCGGCCCTGGACGCCGAGGACCTCTGCCGATACCGCCAGCTGCACGTGCGTCATGGTTTTCATGTGACGTCATCAGCGTTTTAAAAAGTTCATCGTGACGTCATTATATACGTGAATACCGTGATGTCATCAGCGTTTTAAAAGATTCACCGAAACGTCGTCACGATTACCGGGATATCAGTGTCACGATGTTCACGTGACGCTATAACGTCACGTGATACTGCGACGCCATAGTGTCACGTGGCTACGTGACGTAATGTCCCTGACAGCGTGACGTCACAGAGAATCATTGGCGCTACAGATTTAGAGCGCCTGTGGAATATACAAAAAGTTTTATTACACCATATCCGGTGTTCAACTGGCGCTCCGACGACTTGCATCCATCGCTACACCCTTTCAGCCCCCTCCCCCCCCCCCCCCCTAGGGTGTAAAATGTATGCGATGAGGGTGCGATCCAGGAACCGACAATCCTATATTCGTGGGCGAAATTATAATCAACCGAGGAAGTCACAGATTTTATATATAGTATTCTTTCTCGGCTCTGAGCTTACCAGCTGAGGGCTGCAGCTACAACACCGAAAGCTTTCAAGCGTTAGCCCGGACGAGAAAGGAATAACACCTTGTAAGCGCACGTCGGTCATGTGCGAAAGTGATTAGTTGTCTAATAGAGATGTCTCTTTATCTTCTCATGGTATTTACGCCATTCAGTATTTCTTCGCCGTTCTATAAATGGGTTGTGTCCTTTGAATGTTGAACCTCTTTAGACGTACTTTCGTAGTTGTATAAAAACTTCTTTTTTTTTTTTTTGCTTTTAGATTTGTTAAAAAAAAAAGTTGCGAAAGCTACATTAATGCGGTTTGTGCATGTGAGTTATACAGTTAGGAGAGAATAAAGTAGAGGGATACTCGTCACGATAAGTCGGCTAATTAGCTAGCATACGCTAATTAACTTTTTAACGGGTGAAAATAAGCATACGGTTCCAATGAAAAGCTTGCTTAGCGTCTTCGAAAACCACCATACCAGTATTCTTGAAATACTTTGGGCAGGCGGGAAACACGGTGGACGGCTAAAGTTTTCACTCGTGCAGCCTTCGCGAGACTACCGGCGCGACAACGCGCAGGAGCTGTTTTTCTGTCTCTCATCATCCACGTCATCTCACTTCCAGCATTGTGCCTGTTGGACGAGTGGTATCTTTAGCCCATAGCCTCCTCTATACTGACAAGGCCTGGCAGATCGCCATGAGACGCGGCCGCCGAAAGTGAAAACGTAGAGCGGCAGACAACGGATGAAAGTCATGTAACGGGCGCCCCGCTGCGGCGAGACGCCGAAACACACTTCTCCCGAGCGATGGAATGTCCGCTCGTGCTCCTCGCGTTCCTCGCGGGACTTCGCCGCTGCAAAAGCTGTGCGCTCACTACCAGTTTCCCCTAAAGCCCCTCGATGTGTTTGCGTTCGTCTTGCAAGTAGCGTCAAATGCGCGACTGCACGAGGCCCATGTCTCGAGCGGCCCTTGGAAGCAAATGGCGGCACAGCACTGAAATGAGCGGGCCATGGAAGCGAATGGCGGCGGAGCACCCGCTCATGGCACGTGTCTCGCGCGCTTCCACAACAATGGTTGGCGGTACTTGTAAAAAACGCTTTTATCAAGGGGCTTTAGTTTCCCCGAGAAATGCTCCGTGCTATCAGATCCTCGCGCTCCAAACCTGCGACCGGGTGCTCTATGGCTCCGTCATCGTACTGCCAGGTTTTGCGAGTATGAGGGGGCTATGCTTTCGTGCACTAATGCGCCTCCCACGCGCTCGAAGTATTTCTTGAAATTACTGATGTAGTGGCTTTAGGTGAGGCTCAGTAAGTTTCTAATTGGAACCATATGCTCATTTTCACTAATTAAAACATAAACTATTTTTTTTTAGTTAATCGTGTGACTTTATCGTGATGATTTGCTGACCGCATAACTTACCTGCACAAACCTCATTAGTGTAGCTTTCACGTCTTTAAACAAATCTGTAACGCCAAAAAAAACCAAAAAACATTGTATGGTCCCTGTTGGTCAGTATTATTGCCTTGATATAATTAAACATATGCTATATAATACCAGTCCTCAACAAGTGACTGATTTGTCAGACATTGAATAAAAATAGATAAATAAAAGGTATTATATGTCAGGTAGGTGTGTTTTTTGCAAGCCGTCTATAAAACTGACATTCCAGAGACGCGTATGGCAAGGTTCAAGGTATATAAGGGGCCATACAAACAAAATATTACGATTAATATGTTATTGTTCTTTCATGATTCGCTGGAATGGCTTGTTTTAGAGCAAAAAGGAAGCAAATAACTGTGTTTTAGAAAGTCGGTTTTGAGCTTGTACGATTTTTTAAAGCGTCGTTTATTCACATGCATCTAACATTTCTTTTTAGCTACAACGTTTCATTCTCTACAGTTCTGAGATAGCTTAAATATAATATATATATATATATATATATATATATATATATATATATATATATATATATATATTATATATATAAAAGCTATCTCGGAACTTTGGAGACTGACAAATCTGGCCAGACATCGCCCAAGATAAACAGTTCGACATTGTTTATAACACCATTAAAAAAAATTAAGTAAGAAAGAAAGGAGAGGTGAAGCTTGCGATCCCCGACAGGCAGGAAATAACTCGATTTCCGACTCGGTCGCTTCAATAATCCACAACTAAAATAAAAAAAATAAAGGAGCCCAACTTGTTTTTTTGCATTTTCTTTCATTTCACAAACTTTCGTCAACATTAAAACAAAAAAAGACACTCATTTACACCGCGTGCCTTGTCTGAGATGAAATCACCCATGTATATCTAAGACGAGATTCTCAATGATACCATATTCACAGCGCATGTCATCTTTAGGATCGAGTTACAACGCCTTTAAATACAAAAGTCAACGACAAAAAAAAAAAAAAAAAAAAAAAAAAAAAAACACCATTAACGACTTTCTGCTTACGTCCTTTTCTTCGACTCCAGTTTCATTTTTCGTTACCATAGTCTCTGATTTTACACGACATGATTAACCAGCTCGCCTGCGTTCAGATTTTCTTTACGTATAACGAACAGCCCCGAAAGCCAAACAAAAATTGTGACCCCTCCCCCTATTGCTTGGAAATAAACACGCGGACTTCAAACTTCGGGATGTTTGTGTCGGGTTCCTTTAGGAACGCTCTGGGAATTCGTGCGACCAAGCTCTCCTCCTCCTACGCACATTCTCCAGTCCAGCCCTCCTTCTACAGGAAGAATATGGTGCTCTGCGGCGACGACAGCCTGTGGGGTCGTGGACACCCCACAAAATTTCTCCAAGGGATCGGTTGGCTGCTCTACATCGAGCACAGACCATGTGCTTAAACTGTCTGGAGCGTGATGGATGCTCCAGAAGTGCCTGTCGGGGTCGACACACAACATCGCTCTAATACCCCCCCCCCCCCCCCCTCTCCTTTTTTTTTTTTTTTTTTGACAATCAAAAAATGGATCCGGCGAATTTGCGGAAATAGAGACCTCGTTTGTTCTTAGGATGCGTGAACATTCCTGAAGGATCGCAGGGAGTTATTTCATTAGTGCCTCTGTCTACGCATGAGTTCTCAAACTGGAAACCCCAACGCTAACTACCCCCCTCCCCCCAAGAACCCAAGAGCAGGGTGGATAATAAAAATCAAGATGATTTAAATCGTGATTTAAATCACACCAATTTCGCCATCATGATTTAAATCAAACACTTTTCACCAAAACGATCACGAAATTATTTTTCATTCAGCGTTTTTGTCTATCGTTTTATGATTTCCGTGGTCATTAAAAGAAGGATCAAACAAGAGAGATTTATATCAGGCAGCCATTTTTAGAAACAAATTTATGGACAAAAAGTCATTCTTTTCTAGCTGAAGTGATTTAAATCAGATAGATATGATTTAAATCACATAAATATGATTTACTTGATTTTCATTTTTTTTTTTTGGGGGGGCAGGGGCTGCTCCAAGACCCCTTGAAGGTCCCCCGAGGCCGAGCTCCAAAATTTCCTCGACCGTCCCTCCGCTGAAGTACTCGAGTAAAGTGGACCCTAGTTCAATTAATTAGTATATCAGAAGGTCTGCGCCATATCCATTCATGCTTATCCACGACACTGTTAGCACGATCAAACAACCTCACCGGTTTTCTCTATATTTTTATCTAAGGCTGCTAGCTTAGTGCCCTAATTGAGGTAAAATGTTGTGCCTGACAATACCCCTTTAAAACAAAATCATACAAACAAACCTCCGATGATGTGTGTGCGTTAATTCAGTGTCGCATGCTGTACTTCCGCACAAACTTCCGGCATCAGACGCGCACGAGCTTCTTTCTCAAGGGTGTGCGACGGCTGCATGAGAGATGCCATGGCAACGAGATATTTTATTTATGTTTTCTCACAGTTGCGTCGTTTCGCCAGCGAGCGACGCTAATTCGCGGCGGGCTGTTGGGCGCGCGCGTGCGTTCTTGAGAGGACTCTATCTGGTCGGGTGACGTCCCACATCACGTGACGTCACGCAGTCATGTGACCTGACGTCACACGGCATGCCGTCACGTGACACCACGACTTTGCACAATGACGTCAAATGACACCGTGATATCACGTGACCCTTTGTGGCACGAGCCACGTGACCCACTTCGCTTTGTTCCGCTATGCGTCTGTCTTTTGCCCAGAACCGTGGCCCTGCTAGCCCTGTCTCACATATCTCGTGAAAGTTCGCTCGTGTAGCTACAAGTTTGATCGACGCCAGTATTTCGACTCATGCGTATATGTCCCTAGCGTTGTGCTTGAACCCTCCCTGCCATATTTTTAAAACTTATGCAGTGAAATGACTAAAAATATCAGGGAAAGATGTCTAGCCGGAAAGCCAGGCCGTCACAACTCACCTTTCTAGTTCTCTGAGCCTTCCAAAGTCTGTAGTGCTAATCACAAGCTCGAGACAAAGAGGAGCGTGGATGGGCGTCGCGTAGAGACCCCCGCAGTTCGCGATCCTTCCACCGTGTTTATGGCACACCGTGAAACTTGTGCCTCAAAACCCACTGATCTCTATATAGAGATCAGTGTTCAAACCAAACAAGAATTAAAAATCATCTCCATGGGCATCAGCGCATATGCATATCAGGAGACATGCAATGCGCAGCAGTGAGTATATTTCGTCGTCTTGCATCGTGCAATAAACGTCCGCTCGGTCAAGTATTCAAGGGCCTTCGTGACTAGCGAGTCCATGAGGTTATCGGCGATATGCGATGCGGTACTTACAAATAGCATCGGCCAGCGGAGGGCCGCCGGTGACATGGCCCCACAGGCCGCACCACCACCGTCGACCAGACTAGGCTTGGCAAAGATGACGATGATCATGTTGTTTGACTTAGTTTGACTGCCTCATGCCCTTCTAATAATTATAACATCATCATCAAAATCCTCAGTATGATGCAGGCACGTAGCCAGGATTTTGTTTCGGGGGGGGGGGGGGGGGGGGGGGGCGCGCATGACAAAATGCTGTATGAGGGGGAGGGGGAAGAGTAGGTCCCAGCAAAATGGAAGATTTCGGGGGGGGGGGGGGGGGGGGGAGCCATGGCCTCCTCCCCCCCCCCCTCCCCCCTGGCCACGTGCCTGGTCTGATGCATATCAAGTGAAAGGAAAGAGAAGACGAAGCCCGAAACAAAACCGAAAACGGAACGTAGTACGCGCTGTTTACCTGAGGGCGTGCACAAATGAATACCTATACATAATTAAATAAAATGATAAAAAAATTGTAGCAAGTGATTTGAAGCGTAATAATAGGAATAATACTAAAATAAACAGAGCTAGAGCACACCACCGCCATACCACCGCGTCAAAAGTATCGAATTTTGAACAAACGCCGCAAACAATGTGACCTATCCAGAAGCCGAGAAAGTTGTCGTGGTTGTCGCTTCCCTTGCTTGCGCTGTGTATCGTGGGGTTCTCGTTCAACAGGAAGATTGTGTGATGTATTTTACGTGACGGGAAACTTGTGACACAGCAAAATTTACAATGTACAGAACTACCCTATATATCTTAGCTGCGATATTGACAATTACGAACCTCGCGAAGTCGGACGAAGTCATCGGCTGTGGCGGATTTATTCGATCCACTGTGAAAATCAACTACTCTAGGGTGGAGGTCAAACTGTGAGTACAGAGCGAAAACCGGCGTGATTGCGTGTTTAAAGTTAGAATCACGCCGGAAACCTCTGCATATTTGACAGTGACAGTGGTCCACAGTGATGTCCGGACCGTCTGTGTTTACCTCCCACTCCTGCCATAGCCCCAGTGGGGCTGCAGTATGTATAAATAAAAAAAAAAAAAAAAAATATTGCAATCGGCAACTCGAGTTCGTATCTGAACAGGACGTATTTTTGTAGGGTCATTTAGGGGCAGTATTTAAGCACAGTTATTAATCAAACGGGCCTGGTGCGTTCACCATGATGAGTAGTTAGTTTCCTCAATTACGTACGTTAGGTGATCTGCAAGGCCAGCTCTTGTGTAAAACATTAACGCATAGATCACTACCGCCTTGTCGCCGCATATCAAGTAGTAATTAAGCTACTCTATGCTACAAAAAAAATTTGCTCAAAGTGCAGGCGAGCTGGTGCATATTAATCATGATGTTTGAGACTAAAAGAGACAGAAGAAAGGTCTCAATGAGATGCTTGCAACCTTTATTTTGGCCCTTTTAATTTATCTTAAGGTTTCCTTCCTAGACTACGCTGTTTTTAATTAGGCTGCCATTGACGACGAGTCACGAAAAGGCGGTTTTTTTCTTATCGAATATTTATTGAGTTTGCAAAGGTAGTTGTGCAAAACGTTTCCCGAAGCGAGAATTGAAACAGCACAAACCTTAATAAAAAAAGAAAAGAAAAAGCTTTTCTTTTTAAAAGATAATGTTTCTCTATAGACTTACGAAGCAGGGCAGCCACAAGTACCAGACGGAAGGTGCACCCAACAATGGCTACTACCTGATCCCCCTGTACGACAAAGGAGAGTATGTGCTCAAGGTGGAGCCTCCGCCGGGATGGATCTTTGAACCAGCCTCGGTCGATCTCCGCATTGACGGGTCTACAGACCCCTGCAGCACGTCCAAGGACATTGACTTTGTCTTCAAAGGATTTTCCGTCACAGGGAAGGTAAGCCCTCGCGTGTATTTTTTTACACACTTGTTCGTGTAAGCAATGAAGAGATATTGGCACATGTTGGACAAAGGTGATGAAGTCACCTGTCAACCTTGACAGAGATGATGAGGTCACCCGTCGCCTTCGGCAGAAATTACGGAATCACCTGTCACCCTCAGCACAGATGGGGTCACCTAGCTGTCACACTTAAAAGGTGTGATCGAATCACCCTTTACCCTTGACAGAGATGGTGGGATCACCTGTCACCGTCGTGCACGACATGGGTGATGGGGTCACCCGTCAGCTTCCATAGAGATGATGGGATCACCCATCACCTTCAATAGAAATGATGGGGTAACCCGTCACATTCGACAGGGTTGGTGAAGTCGCCCATCGCATTTGACCAAGGTGTTAGGGCCAACAAAGTCGCAGGTGCGTTGAAGCAAGTTTAAGCATTTATGACCATGCTTCCCCTTGCAGGTTGTGAGTCACGGCTTGGAGGAGGGTCCCGCAGGAGTGACAGTCGAACTCCAAGGCACTGGCAACAGTGTGCTGCACACGACTGTGACTGGGGCTGGCGGTGCCTACACTTTCTCCAAGATCCTGCCTGGGGACTATAGCCTGGTGGCAAGCCACCCGACCTGGGCTTTCAAGCAGGCCAAGCTTTCCGTTAAGGTGCGCTGCAGAACTATTCTCCTTGAGAACTTGAAGGGCATTTCCGCTTAATTTTCCTTGGTTCTTGAGAAAACAATGCAATTCTTTTTAGCATAACTTTGCCACTCCACAATGGTGCCAGTAGAGCATTGTGAACTGGAAAAATCAGTCATTATCCTAAAATTTTTGGAATTGAGCAGAGTTGCCCTTCACAAAGAAATCAACACACCGAGTAGAGTGCCAACATCTGGAGGTGTTGGCATTCTGGCTTTTGCCGTGCATACCCGACCACTAGAATTGGCGTTGAACGTTCCGAAGCAGAAGGAAGAACAATTTTCGTCTCGCAACTTTTCTGCCAGTGTCTTTCGATAACATCAGCATGCCCATAACCCTTCGAATTATTACTGTTGCTACAAGACCGAAATCAGAATGGACAAGACCCTAACCTGGAACTGACAGAAAAAAGAAAAGCTTTGACTGCAGGCACACTATTGGAAGTTTACCATGATACAAGTCAACCTGACACTGGGTTGAGTGGAAGAAAAGAAAGATTAAAAAGTAGTAAGAAAGACAGAAGGCAGAGAAACAGACAATGTGTCAAACCACCATTTTCTAGATAACAAGGCCGCAGCGCTGGTTTCTTGTTTGTCGCCTACCGGAAGCTAGTGTGAGGCGCAGATTGGACAGGAGTGCTGTACCAGCATTCAGCTGGGACCTGTGTTTTGTGCTGGCATCTGGTGGCCGACGTGGAAAGTTCATCGTTACTGTCTTGTCATTGAACAGGTGTTGCCAAAACTTGGCCGACTTCTATACGTCGCCTGTACCCCCCTTTTATTCCGTCTCTTCTACTTTTCAAACCTTTCAATCTTTCTCTCACACCAGACTCAATTTACGCCTCCCAAAATCGTCCTTGCAAACATTGTGTCGCATTCTAAACAACGAAACATAAACATAAAACCCGGTTTAATGCAGTATGGCCTACGAAGCTTTTTAAGTCGTAAAACCCCTCATCCTCATGGTCGTCTGGTTGCGCGCTGCCGGCATCTCTAGGTAGCAGACGACAATGGGCGCGTCGCTCGGCACCTGGCCGTCGCCGGCTACGACGTCCGTGGCGAGGTGGTGGGAGAGGGAGACCCCGTGCGCGGCGTCCACTTTGTCCTCACGACCGACTCCGCCTCAAGACCCACCGCCGCTCCCGAAGGCTGCGTCAAGAGCGCCCCCCGGGGCTTCGCCCTGCCGGCGGGCCTGCGCCTCGTCTGTCACGTGACCTCTGGCGAGGACGGGCAGTTTGTGTTCCCCACCGTGGCCCCCGGCTCGTACCGGCTGCTGCCCTTCTACAAAGCAGAGCGCATAGAGTTCGACATGGCCCCCAAGCAGGCGGCATTCTCGGTTGGCCACGGCAGCTACCGCTTCCCGGCCAAGTTCCAGGTGACAGACTCTTTGTTTTCATTTAACGGACTAGTGGAACCCCAAACCGAAAGCAGTCTCTCTTTCTGAGTAACCGAGTACCAATGGAGTAGTGACAAATAGCAACCTGGATGAATCAAACTTTTATTTGGACTTTCACATGTTTGTTGAAATTTATACTGAAATTTCCGAGTTATTGGGAAGCCGTTAACATTACGAATGCCCTTTTCACGTGGAACATACTTTTTCTCATCGGGGGGGGGGTCTAGAAATTTGTAAAGGCGGAAAGTGAAGCTACCGATTAACTCGATGCTTATTGGCTGAGCCAGGTGATGACGTCACACCCATTAACGTCGACGCTGATTGGCTAGTTCAGGTTCTGGAAGAGCGCCAGGGGTTTAAAACCCAGGTTAGCGCTGGTATCTCCATTCCAGGAATTGCTATCGAGTGTATATGCCCCGCGTTCAAGGGCAACTCAGCTCAATTCCGAAAAATTTAGGCTTACATGTGATTCCATTTCACAAAGCACTACTAAACAGCTCTACGTCTTCAGATTCGCGAAATGTGGAATATTATTTGTGTAATCTTAATTTAAACATCAGCTGATACCAAAACCGAAACTTCGGTTGCGTCAGGCAACATTGGTCTCGGGTCGTCAGAGTCATGGCCACGTCACGTCGAACCACGTGGTCTTGGGACGTTCGTGGGGGCGAGGGACAGGACACGCGACGCAAGCAGGTCGCTTCGCATAGCGTGGACGGTGATGGCTCGGGGGCCATCACCGTCCACGCCATGCGAAGACGAAAGAGCAGAGGGGGAGCGGAGAAACAGACCGATAAGCGCGCAGGGCAGCGTAAACTAGCGCATCCGCGTTACGATGATCATGTGGATGCCGTTGAGCCAACAGCGGGAGGAGAAACTCATGACGTCATCGTTCAATTTCGCTCTGAGAAGTAAAAACAAACAAAACGTGAGAATGACGTAGTCATGCCTCTGACGTAGCGGTTCAACGTTGGCCGCTCCAACTCCGTCGCATTGACTGCGCTGACGATTGCGCCTCACGTCGCCTGCTAGAGTTGGCATATTTCGGCGACTTGGTTCACTTGAAGGTTTGCTGGCCAGTTTATTAAATATATAGACGGAATTAGATCGTAATATTTGACATGGGGTCTTCCTATATGATACTGAAGAGGGCTACATAGTTTTCTAAATATCAAAAATGAAGCGGAGTTGCCAGTCGCTCAACCAACCAGTAAAGAGGGCCGAGAGCGTAGACGTCAATCCCAAAAGAATCGAACTGAAACCACACGTTTCACGTGCAACACAGTTGCCCAGCAATTTGCTATGTATGTTTCCAGCCTCCAAACTCTCACTTTGTTGCGTTGGTAAGCCTTTCTATATTTCGAGCTAGATCCAGCTGCTAAATTAAAATTTTTCAAACCTTTCAGTAAAATGGCCATCTGGATGCTGAGATCTTTTCAGGTTAGGATATCTATTGTGATGTTCTGCTTTCTCTTTTCTACCTGTTTGGTAATATATTGCTCGTTTAATATCTGATACCGTTTCCGCAGTGAGCGTGTTTTTCTGAAATGCTTACCGTCAGGCACGCATCAGAAGCTGTAGTTAAAAAGTTCTGTCCCCCTCTCAGAGTGCAAGAAGCTGCGAGTGGAAGTGGCAACTACTTACTTGTCAGTCATTTGTCACTTCCATATGATCATACGAACAGTCATCAGTAGTGAACCCAGAAGGATATCATGAAGTGTCACGTGTCCTCTGCCACCCTGGAACAGATTTCTGTCTACATGTTCGACCTCGAGTACTGTAACCTACTTTAGATTTGAAGATTCACCATTTTCCACAAACAATGAAAGTTGGTGTGAACATCATGATGGTACTCAGCTACTTGAAAGAGCAAAGAGACGAAATGGTGGAACAAGAGCCAGCTTTGGCACAAAGCGCCTGTTTGTTTCGAGCGTTCGTGATCTAAGCAACATATGCAAAATTCGCGGGAGCTAGGTTAGCGGAGATACTCAAGAAAGAGACAGAAACGGCCGAATTGGAGCGCATTCCGCTGTCGCGCCTCTGCCGCCAATCGACGACGCAATGCTTGCAGGTACAAGGCTTCAGCGTCAGCGGCAAGGTGCTCGAGTCCCCCTCGGGCCCCGGCGTTGCTCAGGCCGAAGTGTACCTGGGCGGTGCCAAGGCCGCCACCACGGACGCCTCTGGTGGCTTCCAGCTGGAGAACATGAAGGCGGGACAGTACGTGCTGCAGGTGCGCGCGGGGGGCATGTCCTTCGACCCCTTCCCCGTCCGGGTGTCCCCCAACACCCCCGAGCTGCCACCTATCACGGCCAGCCGCTTCGAGGTGTGCGGGACGATCGAGGGAGGCGGACGCCGCGTCGTCGTCGAAGGCGGCGCCGAACCCGTGAGCGCGACCGCAGACGCCAGGGGAAGGTTCTGCGCGACGCTCGAGACGGGCAAGTACGTGCTGCGGCCATTCCTGACCAAGGAGGAGGAGGCCGCGGGGCTGCGGTTCGTGCCATCGGAACTCCCCCTTGTCCTGCCGTCTGCTAAGAAGGCGGACGTGTCATTTGTCCGGTTCCGCGCCGAGATACAGGGAACCGTTGTCTGCGTCGGCAAGTGCGGTTCGGGGCTCAAGGTGTTCCTGCGCGCCGCCGGGAGCGGTGTCGACGCGGATGTGACAGCAGAGGTCAAGTCGGACGAGAGTTTTTCGTTTTCGGGCCTCGTCGTCGGGAAGTACCAGCTGTCGGCGAACCGCCCCGACTGGTGCTGGGAGCATGGTGACGTCAAGATTCACTCAGTGGACCGGGACGTCTCGAACGTCGTGCTGCGGCAGAGTGGGTTCAAGATGGCAATCTCCTCGTCGCACGCCACGAAGGTCCAGATGGTCCACTCGGACGGTGCCTTGCAGAGCCTCTCCGTTCCCGCAGGTTCCTCGACGCACTGCCTGTCGAAAAAAGGTGTCTACGCAGTGAAGACGGTTGGGTGCCACGAGTTCGAGGAGAAGAACATTCTTTTCGACACCACCAAGCCGGCCACGGTCGTCCTGACCGCGTCCAAGCACTCCGTGGGCGGAGTTGTGGTCGCGGAGGAGAACGTGACGGACCTCGTCGTGTCCGCCTCAGCTTCTGGCGCCGCGGTTGTCAGCGTGCCTCTCGCCAACCCCGTGCCGCACGCCGAAAACCAGTTCCTTTACCGGTTCGCCGTCATGCTCCCGCCAAACGCGAACGTAGAAATTGTTCCACGGTCGGGTCGGCTCCTCTTCAATCCGCCGACCTTCAAGCTGCTCGTCGGGGATGACTGTTCAAAAGACGAGGTCCGCTTTAACGGGAGGATTGGGCTCTTTGTGGACGGACGAATACACCCTCCGCTCGGCGGGGTCAAGGTCGTGGTCCGGGACCTCGGCGGACACCAGCCCGAAGTCGAAACGGTGTCCGACGCCGCAGGCAAGTTCCTGGTTGGTCCGCTAGACTCCGAGTCCAAGTACGACGTGCAGGCGACGAGGGAAGGCTATGTGCTCAAACCCCTGGGCAAGCTGGGGCACTTCGAGGCGTTCAAGTTTTCTGAGGTGAATGTGGCGGTGGTGGATGCGGCGGGGAGGGCACTGTCCGGCGTGCTGGTGTCACTGAGCGGGGGCGTGGACTACCGCAACAACAGCCGGACCCGGGAGGATGGGAAACTCCACTTCCCAAACCTGAGCCCCGGCAACTACTTCCTGCGGCCCATGATGAAGGAGTACCGCTTTACACCGCCCTCGAAGATGGTGGCCGTGGGCGAGGGGGCTACGGTCGATGTCCGTGTCACGTGAGTGCTAGGTCTTGTACTGCACTGTACTCTAGCTGTTTCGCCTTATCACTTACTGCGATGGATGCTACGAGGCATGTTTGCAATCCTCTGCTTGCTCCACACGTGTCACGTGACTTCAAGGTCGGTGCGTTGCTAAGCCCAACTGGAAGGTCATGTGACATGCTTCGAGTTATGAATTGGTTCCTGTGGCTCGTAGCGTCTTCTGCTGTACGTTGTGAGATATACCGTATGGCTCTGTGCAGAAGAGGAATAGGGTGCCATCTTTCAAAGGGGACTTGTGGGGAATTCCTATGGTACATGGTTTTGAAGCACTTTTTTTATGGTATCTTTTTGCGCGTTCGAGCATAAGGTGACCGTATTCCTCGAGCCTCAAAGCGGGACGCGTATTGGGGGGGGTTACTTTGTTGTGAGACTTCAAAACTTTAAATTCCCGTAACAAATCACATCTTTCTATTATTTTCTATACACTGTGCACATTGTTTTTCTTTTGCAATTTGCATACCGTTTGGCATGCACATCTGATACATTTGGCTGAAACATTTCTTTAGTACTAATGTATCTATTTTTGTAGATAATATGTCCGTAGTACTGTCTACGTGTCATACGCAAATTAACCTTCGGCATCAGCACCTTCTCTGCCACGCATATCTCGTTCATTGATCAGAGAAAGCGCCCTCTCATCTGTGTGATTCTTTCGTTCGATGCCGTCTTTTATCTATTCGCGGTTCGGGGAAGTGGAAGCAGGGCATAACGCTGTCCCACAAGCTGGGGCGGATTTAGAGGGAAGGTCCGGAGGTCCTGACCCCCCTCTTGATTTCTGCATATGTAAAATTTAGGGTGCAAAACAAGGGAGAGGGGAGGGGGTTCCTAAACATATGCTACACTGACCAACCCCTGACCGCCCCCTCAGGAAATTTCTGCATCCGCTCCTGCCCACAAGCATGCTGGCGGGACAGCTGGGGCCGCTGCCGGAAAAGCGACCCGCCTAAATCGGGACGTCCGGTCACTTTATCCAAGCATGCACTAGCATTTATCGCTTTGAAGGTGATAGCACAGTGTGCTTCTGGATCGCTCCGGATCCACTGGCGGAATTTCCCATTCTGCATTCATACAACGAGCTCCTCAGTGCCTCGAGGCTGACACCTTTGCATTTGAGTGATCGCTTACGGAAGAGCACACTGGCGTCATCAATCGGGTTGCAGCGTAGTTGATCACGCTCGTAAATGGAAGAGCACGATCGAGCCCTTAGAGACCGGCTTTGCTGCCGCAGGGGCGAGCGGGTGGCGTTCAGCTGCATGGGCAGCGTGAGCTCCATCACGGGGGAGGCGGAGGCCGGTGTGGCGCTGGAGGCGCTGGGCACGGGCTCCTGCCAGGGCCACCAGGAGGAGGCACAGAGCGACCCGGGGGGCGCCTTCCGCATCCGGGGGCTGCTGCCCGGCTGCACCTACCGGCTGCGGCTCAAGCAGGACGCTAACCCCCATGTCGAGAGGGCCGCCCCTCCCGAGAGGCTGCTGCAGGCGAGTAGACTCGTTCATTCAAGCTCCAGGAAGACGCGAACTTCGTTTGAATTATGAAACATTCATCTAAATCTGATGGGAGATAAAATTAGGATTTGTTTTATGGATGGCTAAACATACAAAGTAGATGATCGGGGATTTCCTCTACACGAGCCTACTAATCATGAGCGGGTACGCCACACGTGAAACATTGATGAAATGTGCGAGATAAGTTTATTCATCCCTCAAAAATGTTGTCTATTGAGGGCCGTCTAGACAGCGCGCGGCACCTCAAAATAAAATTGAGTTTGTTTATGCACCAAAAAAAAGTTGTCTATTGTGGGCTATTAACCCCACTGAGCTCGCTTTGGACCGAGCAACGGTGGACTGCGGAGAAACAACACTCTCAGAGGCGAGTTCTGCGGTCGTGCTTCCCCGCGGTGCACCGGTGTTCGCTAAGATGTGCACTCAACGGGGTTTGCGAGAAAACAAAATATGAAGTGCACGTAAATGCCGTTTGAATTCAGTGGCTTATAAATACATAAAAAACATAGCGGGACAACCGAAATTTTTAAATTTGTTTGAATTAACCGGAGGTACGAAGTATCAGAGCTTCAATTACCGCGAGCCTGCTGTACTGCTATAGAGAGCATTCACCGGTAGCCATAGCCTAGTCCGCGGATGCCGAGGCCGTGCCAATGGCAAGCTGCCACGGTTCTTTGGCAGCGTGCTTTCCGCACCATCGAAATTGTCCGTCTTAGCAGCCCATAAATGTGAGCTCGTCATTAACATGCAACTGAGGCTGACATTTTCAAACTTTTCGATCGTGGGGACCCCCCCCCCCATCGGTCTCAAGCTTTGGGTAATAAAGCAGTGAAGACCTTGCAAACAATCCTGTGCAATCCATTAACGCCTAAGCTGACGGTGCGGGGGGAGCTACTCACTCGCCGGACAAATCAATCGCCTTCCTTTCACCACCCGACCCCATTCTCTGCGTGTGGGTACGAGCGAGAGCGTGATCAGATTGCGAAAAATGGACGTATGGCTGGTCCGACGAGCTCATAGTTTCCATTATCCCATCAGCTTAGGGGTGAATAGAGTAGAGGGTGTTTTCGACTCATAGTTGTGCATCAATGCATGAATCAGATCTGTTGAGACAGTGCCTTTACTGGAAAATCATTGCTTGGGGTCATTAACATGAATCTTGTGTACCATCGCTGTGGCTGAAAGGGTGGCATGTCCCAGTCAGGTGTTAAATCTGCCTTTAGCCATGTGATCTAAGACAATGCGTGTAAACAAAATTGTATTAAATAAATGGAAAAAAAAAATGGAGTGCAGGAACCCTTCGGTTCCTAGGAGCCCAGCCCAGATTGGGCATTTATGGTCTCAGGAATGGAACTGCTTCACCTAATGTGCCACTCAGCTTCAACTAAGGCCTTACTGATTCAGTGGTGTGCTGCAGTATCCTCTTCATAGCAAGTATGGATATATGTATAGTGAATAGAAAAAAACTAATGCTTTATTACGCTTTACGTTTTTCTCTGTCAGGTGACCTCTTCAGACCTGACCGATGTGAGGGTGATTGTGTTCCGCTTCTTCGGCCAGATGGACGTCACTGGCAAGGTGGTGACCGAAGCAAGAAACCTGCCTAACTTGAAGGTAAGTGTGCTGCATAAGAAGGCAGTTAGGAAATTTGAAGTTGAAAAATATGCTCTGCTGCTCTGTTTTTTTTTTTAGTTCCGCGAGTTTTGATGAGTTTTGTCACGTCTCGCACAGAGCTCTTGCACAGAACAACTCTTTTTGTTTTACAATTTCAAAACCAGGGGAGATTTCTTGGCACTTGTAAGTTTAAAGCTGGACAGATTAGCTTATTCATATTATAAGCTGTGTGGAGCTCTGCCTCGCTCTGCCCTTATAGACGGAAGTAGGCAAAAAGCGTTTTGGCACTACCGTAAAATACCGAGGAAGCGCCCACTAGTATTAATATTTCCCAAACTTGGGAAATCTGCAAATTATACATTAAGTGCCCCCCCCTCCAAAGTGCTGGCATTAGCCGAAAATATTCACTCTGTTGTGGCGGCCACATTGGCAATATTATTGTGGGAAAATAAGTTTGCTTTCTCCGATTCCTTTCACACATGCCTTCAGAGCTCTGGTTTTTACTAATTAGACTGGACAAGCACCCATGTCTAGATCAATCAAGTTTTCAGTGAAAGTGGGGTGGGGCGCTTCCCTGGTATTTTACGGCAACTTAATCGCCGGACTACATGTGTGAGAAAGACAAATCCGAGCGAGACCACAACAATTCAAAGTGCACATACTTGTCCTCTCTCCTGTGCTTGCCATTTTGGTGCTCGCAATCCCACCGACGAACCAACCATTTCCATTTTGTCGTCAACCCAATTGCCTACTGCAGGTACGTCTGGTAGCAGACGACGCCCCGGAGCAGACGGTGCACGTGGGTCAGTTGGGCCCCGGTGGCTTCTTCCTGCTGCCACCGCTGGCGCGCGATGGCCGCTCCTACTGCCTCCAGCTGGAAGGGGGCACCGGCGGTGCAGGCACGACAGGCACCTCTTGCTTCCGTGCCAATTCCTCTCACCGCCACCTGTCCCTGTCCTACGCGCCGGAAGCACCGCAGCACGCCGACCACGACGTGGTGGCACGGTCCTCGCTGTTGGCGCTGCCGGTGACGGTGGCGCTCCTGGTGGCGTGCTACCATTCGTCGCGCATCTTGGGGCTGGTCTCGGACTTGGTGGGCGTCCTCAGGGGCCTGGCAAAGGGGTCCGAGAACCCCACGGGGTCTCCGCTCGACTCCCGCCGCAAGGCGAAGGCCCGGCGGACTTAGTCGGACTCGCATTTTCTGGCTGGCGAAGTCGCTTCGTTTTCGTGGCGACTGCCGATGCGGACCGTTTTGGTGCTTGGAATGGTGGTTTATGGACGCTTCAGAGATGTTCCCAATGGACGTTTGGGGCACTTTGCCAAACCCCATGAAAGTGAGTGGAGATGGTGTAAAGGTGATTGGTTGTTTAGTCGTCGATCTTCTCCGACTCTGTTTCATAGATGTTTAGGTGTAGCGTAGCTGTGAGCTCAGTCACACTCCAGCGAAAATCTTCTCAGGTTCTTGAGCTGAGGGAAGATTGTGGGTGTTAGTTTCGGCATTGGATTGTTCCCAACCGGAGAAGTTAATCAATTAAGGAGTCCTTTACTAGGGTCAATAGCTTCAGTCAAAGCACTTCTCCGGAAGTGTAGCATTCATAATTTCTTATCCAATGGTTGTGCTTGGCATACTCTGATTCGCTATATAATGGTGGATTGGTGTTGGAGGCCGAGACAAAGCCAGCACAATGCTGGCACTCAGCTTAAGAAAATTAAAGCAGGTGAAAATTAGATTTTTCAAAGGAGGCAACATGGACGCCTTCTCTTTCTAGGGGTACTGGACTTTGCAAGTAAGTTAGAGCAAGATGTAGACATGCTACTACATTCAGCTTGCACCTGGGCTTGGACGTTGTCAACACGTAAAAGTGGTTACTGCAGCAAAAATGGTCCTCGGAATGTGGATTCCGAAGCTCAGTCATGCTTGATGAGAGCGTTTGCAGCTCATTTTTTTCCAGCAGGAGGTGAGGTAACAGTGCTGGTTGACTGGCACATGATTACAGATTTATTTGTGCAAGAACAAGTGCCAACATGGTGGCATGCCAAGTAAAGCAGAAAGCCATTGCATGAGCGATCTTGTCAAGGGAGGTGATAAAGAATGATTAGACCATGGAAAAGCACAGTGTAGAAAAGCACCTTGATCTCGGAAAGACGAGGCATCGCTATCGACACAAAGGCAGTTGTACCAAACAAATCTCCCGTACCTGTGGATGTCTCGTGAAACGAGTGTGCGATGTTGGGACCACACAACGTAGCCCACACAACTTGTTTGTGTGGAGTCGATTACGATGAAATGCTGCCTGCAAATAAGTTCTCCACTGCACAATACGACACCGCGGACCATTCACTGTTTGTTGTTTTCTGCAGCATAAGCTTTGTATGAAAATTCAATTTAGGGCATTTTTCCAGCTTTGTGTATATATCGATGCAAGATTTCCGCAATGCAGTTGCAATGAAGCAAGTTGAGCTGGCAGCGGCCCGACTTTGTGGCAAAGCTCTGCTGGGTCGACTAAGACAGTTTTGTTTGCTTGCAATCTTATCCGGTGCATGCTGTTCACTGGCGCATTAAGACTACTAACAATTTCAGGTTTATTGTCTTGAGAGAACTGGCCCTTGTGTTTGCGAAACATCCTGTGTTTAGTGGCTGCATGAAATGGGCACAAGGTGGTGGAAGTGGTGAATGGAGACTACTGTGCAGTATTGCATGGTGTGTTCATGTGTCTCAAGTTGTTTGTAATAAAGAGAGGAAGACCTCCATTCAGTGACCTTTCCCTTCTACCTCACTAAAAAACAAACTTTGCGGGTGTTCTGCTTATGCGGGTTGGCAGTTGTCAGTACCCAGGTTGCGTAGCAAAGCACTAGCTCATAACTTTTCAGAGTACCCCTTCTCTTACGCACAACTGCTTACGTACTGGCTTGATTACAAGAAAACAAGCCAAACTGATCATTCCCAGTGACATAGGTCTTAACTACAACCCCATCTTCGATTCTCGCCCCCTCCTTTATCATCCATACACAGCACAATACAGTTAACACAGACAACCAACTGCTGGTCTGTGTCACAAAAACGGTCATCAAAACTACTACTACTGGTGTGGTAAAATCTGCCATGTGTAATCTGGGCAATAAACGGTGTTCATCAGTCTTCTGTCGAAGTAACACATGAAAAAGTATCAATGTTGTGTTCCCACCATATCGTGCAATGTACACCGTGTGACACAGTTACCATTGTCAAACTGAGCCTGAATAAGTGCCTACTCCTACTTATTAGACAATTGAAATAAAAGCAAAAGACATATCAGGTGCCCACCCCAGCAAACATCCGAGCCCACCAAGCTCAGCAAGGCGTTCTGTGTCGGCGGACTCGGAGAAGCTGGTGCAAGGTGGTGAAGCTTGAGGTGGGCATGTGCCGGTGCGATACAGTGAAGCTTGATGCGGGAACGCCAGTGCAAAGCAGGCTCAAGATCGGTGTGGCGTCTTGAAATTAGGGGTTCTGCCAGACCCCTTTACTGCTCCTATAGTATTCCATTGGATCAACCAAGAGCCTACCCTTACGTGAGCCCCTTCTGCTTTTGGACCCGATAAGCACCCATCCTAAGTTTTAATGGTTATCTTGAACTTCTGGGTCAGTGCTTGCTCAGTATTTACAGTAGTGTAAACACTGGAATTATTTCTATCTTGAGGACCCAGATGGACATATTCTACTACATTAGTAGGGAGTCTTAGTAGATTGATTTTACACTTACAATGCAGCTCTGCCTATGCGTCGTAACAATACAACGCATGCGTACAGGTGCCAGCAGTTCAGATTAGGAAAATAAGCAACTTCTGAACCTTGCTGATGTTCATATTTGTAAATGTAAAGGGTTTAGAAAATTTTAGTTAAAATTCCTTGACAAATCAAATTTACAAAAATAAATTTCAAATTTTCTTTTAGATTCAAGCTTGCAAATCTAGGTTCCTAATTTTTTTGAGCTAAAAGTATGAAAGTTTCGAATTTAAAATTAAAGTTTGAGAATTTCCCAAATGGAGATCGAACTTAGAAATTTCTAACAAATTTTTTCAGATTCACCTTAAAGGAGCTGTGCAATGATTTTAACATTGAAAGAATTGGCATCTTCTACTTTTGACGTTGTTCACCTTGTCCCAAATGACTGAAAACACACCTCCTTTTATCGAAATGTTCCGATTCTGCCGCGTAATAGCGAGGCAAAAGTTAGAATATTCCCCGACCTGCAGCCGCAGCCATGAGAAGCACGCGGCACGACGTCAATGGGGGCCTTATAGAGAGCTAGCAAGTTGTGCGAATACCTGCTTGATAAAAGGTAACTTTTCTATAAATCTTGTCGTTCCAACTTGAATATAGATGCGTCAAAAACCTGGTATCATCGACAAAACTTCTATTATACGGAGTTTTAGTGGCGCCATCTATCCTAGGTCCACAAAACCGTCGGCTCTATCTGCTACCGCAAACAGAAGCCGAAGGGAAAGGGGGACAGGGCCGGACAGGTATGGCCGGACCCGGATGAGACTTTCCTCCTTTCACCATATTGTTTGCGGTCGCGAGCGGATGAGTTCTCGCTGCTCACTGATGGCTCTAGAGAGGGAACTTTACCGGAACCCTGCGCCTACCCCATCGACGTCGCTGCGCACGTGACCCGGAAGACTATGTACGAGTTGAGAGGTGGCAAAAACCTGGATCTTTTTCATTTTTTTAAATAAGAACTAGGGTATTCAGGCAAAATCTGTTTTCTGTAGTTCACTTCAGAAGTGTCCAGCATCAACTTCCACAAATATTTAAGCAAAGCCATGAAATTGTTGCACAGCTGCTTTAATATAGGGTGTCTAAAGTCACCAGGCTCGATCTAGAATGGGCCATAAAAATCAGCGCCTGTACGTAGCAATCTAAACTATTCGTCAAAGGTGTACTTCACAAAAGGGTTTTTTTAATGTAAAGTTACAAAAGTGTAGCTCCCCTCCTGTAAAAAATAGGGCCAAAAAACTTGCCAGGGTCAACGGCGGGTGGCGGCGCAAACGACCAAGTCGAATAGCGCGGAGCATTTGTTTCACGTATTGATAGATGGCGTCGGGAGCAGCGTCGGAAGGTGTAGCCGGCCAGCGAATAAAAGCAGACGACAAGCAGACTAAATCTGTCGGCAGCGAAAGCGGCGTCGTTATGCAACTGCATATTTTTCTTTTTCTACTTCGTTTTGGTACATTACAAAAATATAATGTTCATTTTAATAGACCACGGTTGTCGCGAGCAGTCTCGATAAGGAGGTAGCGCCATCTATCAATATGTGTGCCAAACGCGTTCCGCCACTCGACTCCGTCGCCTGCATCACCGCCCGCTGTTGACCCTGGCAAGTTTTTCAGCCCTATTTTTAGGGCTGGGCGTCAGTAAAAACTTTTAACCCAATTAATCGCCACCCTTTAATCGATCTTGTTCATTTCCATGCAAAATATATTACATTTCTTTTTTTTTTGGTTTTGCTTTTGTTGAATATGCGAATCAGCCCCTATGTGTACTTAAGAACAGTTCAGACACTCACGCTCACACGTTATTACTTCAGCTGCACGAGGCAAAGAGGTTCGTTAATATTTTTTGGCAAAAGCGACCCCTTTCATTGCTCACACTAGTCTCTGCAGCACTAAACAGACACTCGATCGCCGTTGAAGTGGACGGGACACGTGTAACCTACTGCAATTGTCTAGAGTTATAAATGCCGCCCCTACAGCTTACTTTAGGCTAAAATTTAGCCTAAAGCTTGTCCATCATACAGGTGTACTCGTCCACGTCTGCGTGCTGAAAGCGCCGAGTTTTTATCTCTAGGTTCGTCAAAATTTTACTGATTAACCGGTTAGAAAATTTAATTGCGATTAAATCATTAATTGGTAGGTTAATCAATTGCCCAGCCCTACTTTTTACAGAAAGGGAGCTACGCTTTGTAATTTTACATGAAAAAACCAACCTGCGAAATGCACCTTTGACAAAAAGTATAAATTGCTACGTGCAGGCGCCGATTTTTACGGCCCATTTTAGATCGAGCCTGGTGGCTTCAGACACCCTATAAAAAACGTGAGCAATTTCACTGAAAACGTTGCACATTTCTTTAATGACGTAACTACCTCTTCCTTTTCAGTACCGTGGTACCGACAATACTACTTATTATCACAACTCATAAAACAAGCGTTGAGCTGGCTTAACGGTTCATCGAAAAGTCCCATCTCCTTGCAAACCAGTAGCAATCAAAAAAAAAAAAAAAAAAATTGGTTTGCTCTTTATGTTTATACGGCCTTGATGGAGATGCGCCTCAACGGGTAATCGGTCTCTTAGCTGTAGATGAGAAATTTAGCCAGTGCAGTACAAACGCTAACCTGGGGTTTTCAAAGTGCATCACGCAGTAGTGATCACACGAACGCGTGCCGGTACGAAATTCATCCAGATCGAAACGGGCGGGGGCGGCGGGGATCGAACCCAGGAGGTTCCCAGCGCAAGCTTTCGCTCCACGCTCCGAGCTGAGAAGCGTTAGCCCACTCGGCCACTCCCTCCCCTACCAGTAGCAATCCGATCAAACATCGCTTAAATGCAGTGCTGGCACAAGACAACGAAACATACAAGACAAGGCATGCATGTAAAGGCATCCAGGCTTCCCAAAAGATTTCTTTCTCTGGGCGCTTATTTTCGGTGGAATGACCCATACAATGGAGGAAAATTTAACACGGGCACAACACCCGACCCAGTTCGAGGAGGAGAACACAGCCAGACTAAATTAAGGGGCTCCCAGACCCCCAAAACTGCACCCGAACAAGTCACAACCGGTTGCCGTTGGACCTGCTATATTGCCGATGTCTGGAATTTTTCTTCAATAAATGAAGACGTGGCCGCTCTAAAGTGTAGCTGTTTTCTAATGATAATGGAAGCGTCGATCCAGCGTTTGCTGTAGCGCGTCGGCATTGCACGCCTTTTTCTGAACAGTTGTTTACTTGAGGAAACCGGGGGAGTTATATGTTCAGAAACAACTAAGGCTTTGAAGGACGCCTCAGCAAAGCGGCTTGGCTGAATTCCAAGCCTGCAGACCAGGAATCCGTTACCCACCGGTTACGTCGGGGCAACCTACGGAGTTGTGCATAGGAGAGGCTCTGTGCACAAGCCGGATAAGAAAAGGTATGAGGCCGAGGCCAACCTTCGGCGATCATTCTGCGCTTTAAAAGCAATTCGGCGGTGGCATGATCCGCCAAGCAAAACTCCAGTGCAGTTTTCACCCCACTCCGCACATTCACATCTTGTGTTATTTGCATTTGTTGCCTTAAAGGGCCCATGAAAAGAAAAAAAAAAAGAAGCTTTTTTTAGACAGTTTGGTTTCAAGATGCGTGTAAAAAAATGAATTGGTATGCGAAAAAAAAATTTTTTAGAGCAATAATGATGGCACGAGATTAATTTTAAATTCTGCGCGCAAAGTCCTTGCTGTCATGGAATGGACATTCACTCTTTCCACCTCAACGTGATGGCCAAACCGATCCACCTCTCCTCCACGCGCCTGAAATCCCGAGAGAAAACAAGTGGAAAAGAGGTGACTACCGACTAAATCGTGTCTCGCGCCGTCAATATTGCTCTAAAATGTTTTTTTTTTTTTTTTTTTTGTGTAAAATTAACTTTTTGACATGCACGTCCAAACCAGACAGTTTAAACAATACATTTTTTTTTTCTTGTTCCTAACTTTATTCAACTTTTGTTTGGAAGTTTGAGGTATGTCAAACTTATGAGCTTGGCAGGTTTCATAGTTTGAAAATTGTTGAATCTCTTAGCACGAAACGTGTGAAAGTTTGAAAACAATATTTCTTAGCATAAAAAAATTGAGATTGTTGAACGTTTGATGCTACAAGTTTGACGTTTCAAACCCCTTGGTTTGATCTTTACACCTTACCTATGAAAAAAAAGTTTGCAGCATCCTTAATTGAAACAGTCTACTAAAACTCCCGATATCTTCGATGACAGCCTTTCAGCTGGGAGATAAAAACCAGAAAACCAGGGGATTGCGTCCTTTGTGCTGCGTCGTATTCCATACATATCCGCTACATCAGGGGTTCTCAAACATTTTCGTCCCAGGGAACCCCAGTAAGCCTCAAAAAGTCCCAAAAAACACTCCCCTTTCCCCCCCCCCCCCCCCCCCCCCCCAACACTGTTGCCAACAGATAATACTTAGATAGTGAACAAGAGTTTATTGCACTGATAGAATAAGACAAAATGGAGGACTACAGACAAAATGAAAAGGCAGAGCGGTTAAACTGGAGCCTAATGTAAAATATATATACATATTAGTGCAAGGGGTGAGGTTGCTTTGTCCACAACACCAACTCAATCCATGACTCAGTCGGTGGAAGGTTAAACTAGGGGGAGCACTGCGATTTAGGTGCTTGCGGGACCCCAGTTTGAGAACCCCTGTGCTACATCATCTCCAGACGCAGCTTCACAGGCAGAGCCACCACGATGGAAGCGTGCAAAATATGATCACGCAACAGATACACTCTTTGAAACTACCACCAGAGTTCTTGTGCAAGCAAACTTCCTTGGTGGGAAAAGAGCGAGGCCGACGGTAATGGACGAGGAAACGCCGAACCGCAGAATGTCATAGGACGCATGATGTCGGCTTTTATTATTATTTGCTGTACAAAGGCAGTCTCCCTGGCTGTTGCAACTCTGTGCCCTTTCGCCCCGTTTTCCCCCTCCCCTATGCACGCACACAACACCCCGGCAAGCACGGCGCATTCTCCACATCGCGCAACAGACACTACTAGCCACGATGCACTCTTTTCCGACGTCTACAGTAAACCTTACATACGCCTCTCCCCGGAAACAGAAATCCACGATACCGATTGCAGCGTCAATCTCACAAGCCTTTCTTGGACGAAAGGAAGCTCTCTTTACAGAAAAAAACGGAGTTGAGGACGAGGCAAGACAGTTGTTGCAAGCTGCTTGCTCATCGGATCGAAGCATACACTTTAGCCTTTCTAGGTGTAGTGTTCCCGCAGTCTTAGCGAACAGGTTAGAGAGTCTCCAATGGCATGCCAAAGCTATTCAGTGTCACTCTGAAGCCGTTCAGATTTCAGATTTTTTCAGATTACTTGGTCACACACAAACAAAACAAACAAAAACAGACTTTGAAGACTCGGAACCCAGGGGGAGAGTTACTTTGTGGCGTGCTGCGATCGGTACAATTCAAAATTTTTTGTGTTCTACGACGAGTGCCGGCGAGCGAGCGGTCGCCCGCACATGGCACGCATCGGACTTTTCACGGCGAGCTAGACGTCACTGGATGTGCGCTGACAGTTCTGCTGGCATTGCCACAAGAGGTTGATTTCCAAGGTTCGTAAGACGTGGGCTGCATTCCTTTATAGCATTCCTCGCAAAAAGTTTCCTCGTTAAAAAGCCTGCACAAAACGTTAGCGTCGCTGCGGGACACGTGCAACGCATCTTGTCGGTGCCACCTCAACCTTTCTGCTTGGGAATTGGATAGCTGGGTTTCACCTACGTTTCTGTCAAAGTAAGTGTCAACGCGCGAAGCCAATGTTGCGTTACTCGGAACAGGGGCTAGGGTGCAAGGGCTCGCTCAACTCGACGAAACGAAGGGCACTGCAAAACTAGCAATAGAGGGTTCGGTCTGAGATCCACAAAATGCAACCTAGGAAAACTCGACACAGTAAAGAACGAGGAGGCAACGTGAATAAAAAACATCCAAACCACAGGTTAAAAAAACAAAACAAAAAAACCTACGACTGAGAGACTAGAAGGGCAATCAACAATATTAGTTCTCGTTATATATATAAAAAAAAAAAAAAATGCGGCGGAAGAACACATTTAAAACACGGTTCAAAGCACGTCAAAAACGACGTTTTGGCAAAATACGGCACGAAACTCTAAAGACGCCCACGTGGAAGAGTGTACGGCAAAGACGAGAGATCGAGGACACAAGTGTGCAAGACGTTCCTTCTCGGGTATCCCGAGAGTGAAAGGCACGCGGTTAAAAGAACAAACAGGGGAAGGAGTCGGGTTCGAGAGCAGGCGGTGGCAGACTGCCAAGGGTGCGATGCGGAGTGCAAGTTTGTCTGCTTCTTGCGCAGGGGTTGTGGCGACGTCAGAATGTTGAGCTCTGATTGGATCTGATAGGGGGGTAGTGGGTCGACCTCAATGCTAGCTGCCTTGAGGTTTACCAACTATTCCTCAATCGGAGCCAATCAGAGCTCGGTCTTCCGACCTCACCGTAATCCCTGCTCGAAAAGCAGACCAACTTGTGCTCCGCATACCTCCCTCGTCAGCAACTACATCTTTGGGTTAAACACACTGCGTGCTGTAGACCAAAAACTCGCAAAAACACCGCAAAACTAGTAATAATAATAAAAAAAAAAAACAAAAAAAAATGGGGAAAAAGAAAGCATTGGAATTATCTCACATCACCACTTTTGACCAAACTAGTATGTGAAATGTGCCCTACGTGCGCTCAACTCGTATATACTTACGGAGGAGGCAGACAGTTATTCTAAGCATTTCGTTCGTCAGTTTCTCCGCCTTGGCCGCTCACTCGCAACTTGCGGCCGTTTATTTTCCCACGCCCGGCTCCGGGATGCGCCGTTTGATCTTACGCAAAAACGGAATACAGTTTGGAATAACGCGGTCGTGAACGCACCACCGTCGGCAGAGCTGCTCTCCCATTATGCCAATGTTCCTTCAACCCAGTATTGTTTAGAAACAACAAAACAAACTCCTCCTCCATGGTATTACGACACAAAGTTCGGACTTAGGTTACGCTAGCATCTCCGGCAACCGCCCTCCTCGCGGAGCATGCAACGTAGAGGTGAGATTGGACTGACGTCCCCTGCCAAGTCCGACCGACGTAGCATCAGCTGCCATTGCTAAGAGAAGGGTTGTACGCTGCAGCAGACCACATTAAACGATCGGAGGAGGAGAGTGCGGCTGGGGGGGTGGCCTAGACGCGGGTGGCGTGCCTATCCCGGAGCGGCACCAGACGGAAGATTGGAAGAGGATCCTCGTACGCCCCTAGACGAGCTTGCATCTCCGCTGTCGGCGCTTCAGGGGCTCTGGCCGCAGGACTGCTCGCACCGCTTCGTCGAACACCTGTGCAGAGCAAAGGCCACCGGGTTCGTTCTTAACACTTTGGGCAGATTACCCCCTAATCTGTGCTTTGCATACCTCCCTTATCAGCAACTACATCTTTGGGTTAAAAACACTACCTAGAAAAAAAATATTTTTTACAAAAAAAAGTTGATTTTGAAAAAAGCTAAATTTATATCCACCAACACCTGAGAGTATTCCCAGAAAGTTTCATTTGTTTACACTGCAGTATTTTTTTTTTTTTTTATAAATTATTTTTGGTGTATTAATGCTAAAGAAAGGGTAGATGTTGGAGCACTTTGAACACGTTTTTTTCCATTCCATTTTTTGGCATAAACATAAAATCACTCATTTTTTTTTCCTAACCAGAATATAATGGGAAATGCAAATGTGGCCTTGTTTTTTACTTTGTGAATGTCTTTTATAAAAGACGATAAGATTTTGTCTACGACATAAAAGACAAAAAATACACTTGATTTTTCAGAGCGATGTTACCAAAAAATAAATTCCTTTTTGGAAATTTTGTTTTCATAGTTGCACTCTCCAGGTACTCTGTTGCTATCTAATGAAGAAAAATGTTGGGTATTACATTAGTTTCCTAACAATAGTCTTCCTAAATGTTATCAGTGTGTTCCTGATAAAAACAACTATAATTTCTTTCACAATTGATGTACACAAATGAAGCTTTGCGCTGCATTCTGCCTCGCAACTGCCAGTAAGTATATACTGTAAATTTCATTCATATTAGGCCAAAGGTTCAAAAGTTGGCCCTTTTGGGTAGTGTCCTCCCCTAAAAAAAATACACTGAAAAGAAAAAAAAAAATTTTTTTAAACAGTTTGGTTGGGACACGTGTGTCTAAAAACAAATTTTTGTGAACAAACATTTTTTTAAGGCAATAGTACTGACGGCGAGAGATTTATTTGAAATTCTGAGCGTGAAGTCTATGACATATTCCGGAATGACCATCTTGGTCGTGAAGGCGAAGCCGATCCACCTCTCCTCCACGCGCCCGAAACGCCGAGAGAAAACAAATAGAAAGGAGGTGACTGCCAACTAAATCGCGTATCGCACCATCAACATTGCTTTAAAAATTTTTTTTTTTTGCGTAAAATTAATTTTTTGACACGCGTGTCCAAACCAGGCTGTTCAAAAAATTTGTTTTTTACTTTTCAGGGGCCCTTTAAACTTAAAAGTAAGGACAGGGACCAATGCTGCTCCAGGATGCCAAGTGTTCTTAAAGAACCCAACATGTCTCGCAGAGTGGCACCCATGTAAATATGTCAATGAGGGCTGCAGGGTTACCAAGAAGGAAAGACAGGTGAGAAAGGCCACAGGTATAAAATTGAGCTAATTTTCCTAGATGGCGACATAAAACAGCTATAGCGCATGAAACGTCCCCAAAGAAAAGACCAAGGCATGGGCGAGTCAATACAACCACTACATTCTATGTGGAAGCCAAAAAAACCTCAATGATGAGGTACTCCCCCCCCACTAGATAATGAGCGGCAACACTCAATCAAAAGTTTCGCTGAACCTGGGGTCTTCATAAACTCAATTATCTCTCAACTTGTCAAACAGATAAAACTGGCAGGCACAGCCAAGAAACACGAAGGGTTGTTGCAGGTTGTAGCAGAGAAGCGGTAAGCGTCGGAATGTCTGCCATGCCAAGACGCGTAACAAAAAAGACAAGAATGTGCCCACGCACGCACATCTTTGTTCATTCTCTGCCAAACAAAGCGTTGAGATGCTGGGTCGCTCGGATGCCAGGATGAGAAAGGCTGTGCAGCAGGTTGAAAATGGGCGGTACTACTGGTCGAGGTGTACCTGTGGACATGTCGCAGATGACCGTTGTATCACAGCCTGGGAGTAACACGTCGCATAGATTAAGGTTAGTGGACGCGGAACGTAGTCTCAGGATCTGTTGGTCGCCCTGCTGAGCTGCTGCTAGAGCAGCGAAATCTACAGCGTTGGGGATGGCTTTGCGATAAGTGATCCGAGACAACGCATCAGCAGCTGAGTTGTCAGTGCCCTTGATGTGGCAAATGTCACTAGTAAATTCTGCGATAAACGAACGATGCCGACTTTCCCTGAAGGAGAGACGGCTGTGTGTTGCTTGGAGTGCAAAAGTGATCGGCTTGTGGTCGGTAAGGATGTGGAATTCCCGACCCTCTAGGTAGTGCCGAAAATGTTTGATGGTGAGGTAGATACCTCAGAGTTCTCGACTGAAGGTACTATAGCGGGACTCCGCTGGTGAACGCTTCTTGGAAAAGAATCCTAGAGGTTGCAAGTGTCCACCAAAAAGCTGCTGAAGCACTCCGCCGAGAGCGACATCTGAGGCGTCTCTCATCACACAGAGGCGCACCAGTTAGCGGATGCGCTAATAGTGCAGCTTCTACGAGTGATGACTTGATTGCCCCGAACGCCTCCGCTGCTTCTGGAGACCATGATAGAGGTGAAGAGTCGCGCTGATTTCCCCTCAGGAGATCAGTCAGGGGCTGCAGAACAGATGCACTGTGTGGTAGAAAACGCCGGTGAAAATTCACGAGTCCAAGGAACTCCCTAAGCTTCCTGCGCGACGTTGGTGTAGGGAACTTTGTGACCGCGTCGACTTTTCATGGAAGTGGGAGTCGACATGGTGACCTAGAAAATCCAGTTCGGAAACGCCAAACTTACGTTTGGCCTTGTTGATAATGAGTCCATATTGAGCCAGACTGCTTCCTATCCTTCTACTAGGCCTGCGCACCACCCTCAAGACAGACATAGGATGCACTGCCGCACACCTTGTCTATAGACAGACGATTTGCCTCCCAGCTCAAACGATTGCCACTCCGCTTATTTCCACCGTGCCGGATCCTCTCAGCTATGTCACACAGCTTCGAGAAGCGATACGGAACCTTCGTGCCACACCAACAAGGCACCACGACCGCCACCCGATGTATGTGTAAGACGAGTAAACTTCGGCCACACATGTTTTTGAACATCGAGACGCAGTCAAGGAACCGCTCGACCAGCCCTACGACGGTTACTTCAAGGTACTGGACAGACAAGAGAAGTTCTCTCTGCTAGACTTAAATGGGCGGCAAGGCACCATCTCCATCGACCGCCTTAAACCTGCCCATCTTGAGCCAAGAGATGTTTCAAGTGTCCAACCTCTATGTTGGCCCTCCTCTGCCCCATATTTGGCACCACCTCTAAAACCCGCCCAGTGCCAGAAAAATCGCTCCGTCTCTTGGACAAAACATCACCCTAGAGACACCTCTAGGGGGGGAGCCCTTGTAGTGGACAAGCGATAAGCATAGGAATGTCTGCCATGCCAAGACGCGTGACAGTGATGCAACGCCTCGTGACGCACGCAGCAATGCGTATCGGATATGGATCTTGAGCCCCGCCCGAACGGCAAGACTGGCTGGGATCACAACACCAGCAAGATGGATTTTTAGCAGCTCCTTTTTTTTTTTTCTTTGTTAATTGTGATGATAAAGATTTGTTTGTTTTTAAACCGGCAAACGTCTTTCTGTCGCCACAAGGTCACATAGTCTATGATAGCATGCACACAAGACACCATACTACCTGGCTTCAAAGAGGGGCAAAAAAAAAAAAGAGGGGCAAAAAGGAGATCGGGGCCGACCTGCTTGAGCCCCCTCTGGGTGAGGGCGGAACACTCGAGGTACTTGATGGCTCGGATCTTGGAGCAGAGCTTCTGGCCCTGCTCCCGCTTGATGGGGGACAGCCCCTGCTCAGAGAGCTGCTGGAGGGTCTCCTTGTCTTCGCGGAGGTCCATCTTGGTCCCTGGGGGGGACACGGGGACACGGTGAGGGACGCATGTGCTCACGTGTTAGAGTGTGGCATGGCGGCGACTATGAGCAACGTCTGTCAGTCGACCCACTGCCGAAAGGGCCCAATTCCAGTCATTAGGAAAACAGGTAGAAAGCAGTCCTACATCACTGCAACCCTCCTTTCCCTTTTCGAGCTTTCTGGTAGGCCACTGACTAGTCTGTCCTGCTTCGTGCGATCATGTAAAAAACAAAACAATCTAGACTTGAAAATTGAAAATGGCAACATTTCTCTTAAGGAGACGGCTTCCATGGATCTAGTTACTATAAACCAGCCAAGGGGAAAATTATCGGCACCTCCTGAATGTTAAACCTTCTGTCTGTTGGAGGATCCCGTCAGTATTCTTTCGGTAAACAGGTTTTACACCTTTCTCTTGCCATATAAAGCCTCGTAAACAAGGCATAACAATAATAAAACAGAATACAAAAAAAAAAAAATTTCGGCAGGTGGGAGTTTTAGAATTTTATATATTATATAATAATAGTGTTTATTTCCACCATAAGATGATGCTGCTAAAAGGATCACTGGCTGCCATTCTGAATGCACTCGAAAGAATTTCCGCTTCAAAGCCTCCTTGTAATTTTTTTTTTTTTGTTTTGTTTTGCTGAGCACATATTGCAGGATCTCACCACTTGAGTCACAACGAGAGCAAAGGCCCACCTACCTACGAGAATGATGGGTGCATCTGGGCAGTGGTGCTTAATCTCGGGGAACCACTTGGAAGTGACATTTTCGAAGGAGGACGGGCTCACCACGCTGAAGCAGATGAGGAACACATCCGTCTGCAATGTGAACAGGGTTACGTCATCACTCCTGCCTTGTTGCCTGCTTGCTTGTAGACTTCTTTCAGTTGACAATTCAATTCATTTGCATACCTGTACTATAACGCGCAGGTACAAAAGGCACGAAAGCAAAGCCGACGTGTTGGCTCATGTCGACCTAATGCAGTCAAAGGCAGCTGAATCGCTGGGACTCTAGGGCATATGTATCAGACTGTCTGCTTTTATTAACTTAGCTCATTGTTGTGGACAATGTCTCAAAGGACCTGGAAAGAATTTTTAAGTTACTGCTTGATTAAGATATTGTCCCGTCAATCAAATTTCTTACTACTAACCTAAGCTTCGGTGCCCACCAATTTTCCAAACGAGTACAAGGCAGAAGAGTGCCAACGTCATGTTTGTGTAATCTTCCTGTCTGTGATAACACTTTGTCGCATGCGCACCCAATGCCCGGCAGAGGTTAACAAGTGCGAGCTGGAGGCAGAGCATCTAATACCGGTAATAAGGTTGATAGCTGGGCTAGTTGGTAATCGTTGTACATAATGGAATAAAACAGCGCAAAAGATACAAAAAGGAAGAGACAAACCGGACAGGACAGAGTGCTGTCCTGTCCGGTTTGTCTCCTCCTTTTTGTGTCTTTTATTCCATTATGCACCTAATACTGGGTTCTTGTCCCGTCACCAACTATAAACCACGAAACCCTACTTGTACGGGAGGCTAAGACTGGACAACAGACGAGCAAGACGTGTCGGGAGGTGCTCGATTGAGCTCTGGATGCACCCAGTACAGGCCGTACCTGCGGGTAGGACAGGGGACGCAGACGGTCGTAGTCCTCCTGCCCCGCGGTGTCCCAGAGGCCCAGGCTGACAGGCACCCCGTCGCACATCATGGAGGCCGAATAGTTGTCGAACACAGTGGGCACGTACTCGCCCGGGAACGAGTCCGTCGTGTACGAGATGAGCATGCATGTCTTGCCCACCGTGCCGTCCCCCACCACCACGCACTTGATGGGGCGCCCCGTTGACACACTGCCCGCTGCCTTCTGCATGACCCTTGGCAACCCTGTAATTGAAGCCACAAAAGTGCTTTTGTGCACTGTGTACTGTGTGTGGGGGGCGGGGGAGGGGCGGCTAGATTGAGAGTTTGAATTGGCAATCACCCGATGCAGAGGGTTGAGCCACCTTTGTCGCATACGTGCAACGTAACTCATGAATGAGCTGAAAGGAAAGTAGAAACGAACAACTGCTTTTTGTCGTGGTGCCTCTGCCCACTGCTCCTAACTCACTACATTGTCTTTTTCTATTCCAGTTACTGGACACGACAACCGTAATTCAACCCATATTGAGATCGTCTTTTTGTGGAGCAAGGTCAATCTTGCACCTTAAGCATCATAGAAAAAAACTAAATTGCAATCATGAATGGCCTTTTTTTTCTATTGCAAACATAACCAAAAAGCCAAATGCCTCTTTTCTAAGGTATATCTCAGAAAAAGGGATGTCTTGTCCCTTTTCTGCTTACAAGATACTGTAGTCATCTGGGCGCAGCATGTCACTAGTGGCCAAGCTACCTAAAGTCACTTTTCTTTGCCACCTAGCTGTACACTTCCCAATTGAAGGAACCTCAAAACAGATTAGGACACTATTCATCTCATTTGGTCCACTTCTATGGCAAGATCTGAGACTAGCTGGCACCTTTTTCTCTTACAAAACACAACTGCAAGTGTTGACATCCTAGTTGGTGCCTCGTGTATGCAAGCATGTGCATGAAGGTAGCTCTGGCAGCCTTACGACAGCACATGCTTGTTTGCATGAGACATGGCAGCACCACATGATGCGCTTGCAATCGTGCATATGCACTCACAAAGATTCTGAGAGAGTGTTGTATATACAAAGAGATACAACGGATCTCTCGGACGCTATAGAAAGATTTGGGAAAAAAATAAAAGCTAATTTGTCTACTGGAAAATTATCTCTCCTGGCACTGGAGTGATGCAAAAAGGCACCCAGCTCTTGCATGAAAATGAAATGATTCAATGGAACATGGATCAGTTTGAAAAAATTCTTAAATACAACATTTATTGTGGCACACATTGTATTCATAGGTATTGCTAATTTGTTATACTGTTCACAAATTACTGCATCACCACTACTCTTTCTTATTTTCATTCCTGATGTCCATATATCATTGAGAACACATGTGCAACTCAACAAGTTCTGTGCCATGCACAGTGACCGATTAATCTTTCCAGCAAAAAGACACGCTACTACTGCTATTATCACAACTATCGTTATTTTATGAGCTGCCGGCAAGCCATGCCAGGTACTGTTTTGCGACAGATAACAAAGTATAGAGCTAAGAAAAAAAGAAAAAAAAAAGTACGGAATCGAGTTTAAAGTGCCAGATAGAGAACAGTGGAAGGGTCATGTCTAACTGTCAACCAGACGTGGAAGGTTTATCGGCATAAAAAAAAAAGCTGAATCATCCGTCACTCTTCGTTGTGCCTCACAAATCAAAGGCGCCGATACAACTGCCAAGACCTAGGAGTTTTGTCGGTTTAGCGAGCAACACTCTTCCGAACGACTTTTTAAAGAGCTGCGAACACGTGCGGTGGCGCGGCTCAAGCAGAAAAGAAAAAAAAAAAATCGGTTCTAAAATTGTCATTAGTTGTATCGTTACACACACACACACACAAAAAAAGCAAAAACACTCGCTATCAGCATCTCGCCTAGCCGCGGCGCTAAAAATATACACTCCTTTCACGAGCAACAAAGAAGCGTAGGCCTTTCGCTGTTTCTCGGCGAGTTATCATGTTTTTACAGCCGCACCATTTTCAGCACGGGACACAGACAGTGACGGCACGTCGAGATCCGTTGATGAGACGTCGCCAGTACCGGCGGGGAACTTCCCAACAATGAAGTCACCGGCGGGGCCCGCTTTGGGCGTGATATCAAAACGGATCAAGCAAAGACGAACACGCCAGTCACAACTTCGAGAAAAAAACGGGCGAGCGCGAGGCACGACGTCCCACTATCACCGACGATGAATCACGCGAAGGATGATTTGTAAACAACGTGTTACCGTTAGTGACGGCGGCCGAAGTTGAGAGGCGACGGCTGGGCGGCCCGTCGCTCCGACGATGCTCTGCTCCTGCTGAGCGCGATTATTAATAACTCGGCTAGGCTAGTCTCGGGCGGGACACACATTTGTGCGTCCGTCGATTGGGAGTCAGAGTACGCGGGGCGCACGATCATAAACACATCCCACACAATGAATTTCCTGCACGCACATACACACGCCAACCAAGCCTATCCCCCCTCCTCTGATCCGGCATATGCAATGGCTACAAGCGGCCGCAAGCGGCGTTGGCCGGCCGGCCGCTCATTTCGGTTATGGTAGCAGACGCCGATATTAAAAAATAACAAAAACAAACAAAACGGAAAGCAAATAACAACAACTAAATTAAACAGATGATAAAGAGCTACGTAAAATTTGTTCGCTACAAGTATAAAAACAAATAGAACATTTTCTACATCGGCAAGTTAGTTTCGGTTTCGACTTCTTTTCGGTCTTTCGGGTTCGGGAAGTCGAGTCACCGAGTGGGCCAGTGGGCAACAGCCAACAATGGCGACCTTTCTGCGGAGGACGGTACGGTTCGCTGAGAAATTCGCCTTGCAGCGGCACTTGAAGGTGAGGACCGTTCATTTGCATCGCCCATACTCAATCTTCGAATCACTCTCCTTAGATTGCCATTCGCCGCGAGACTTTCAGTCTATGCCCGAGCCCGTAGACGACGGACACATTGTCAAGTAGCTTGTGCACGGAAAGGAAGGAGTACGTTACCATTTCTCCCTTTTTTCCGTTCTAATAAAAAAAGTTGCAAAGACCCTCATCGCTTTCAGTTTGACCGATTACTATTAGACAACGTCGGCAATTGCCCTTAGGACGCATCTGATCCTAGAGGAAGTAGCGTACGACATTCACAGATTCTCACGTTTTCGGTTTAAACCGGCTCCTGGGGTATCCCGTTGCATATGTGCCGGTTCAGTAGGTTGAATCAAAAATAACCGTCAACCTGGGGACGAAACATGCACCAAATTCGCAAGCCTGAATGTTTTTTTGTTTTTTTTTCGGTTTTAATGTTTTTGAGCTGGTGGTCTTTGCACTTTAGCTGTCCTTCAGAAAACCCGAATTTCGGGGCCCATTCATTATTTTGTTTTTATCTACCAAGGTCGCGCACGCACTCGGTATCGCTTGCTCTTTACATAACGATAGCTCGGAACGCTGCGAAGTCAAACCAGGCATCTCGACTACCTTTTTTTCATCCTTTTTGCCTGCCCGTTCAAGGTCAATCAAGATGTGCTGGGTGGCTGGCATCAGCGCAGAAACCTTAACCTGCACGAGAATGTCAGCATGCAGCTCCTTCAAGACAACGGAGTCAACGTGCCCAAGTTCGGGGTCGCATCCACGCCCGATGAGGCTGAGGAGATTGCCCAGCGGCTAGGTGGGTCCCAAGAAACGCCTGTCCACATCTGTCGCACCCCGCACAATTGACATTTGTGTCATTTTGAAACACACCCATGTTTATTCCTACTGCTGCCCTTTCACAATGACTTGCTGTCGCAGGTTGGCGACCGCTATAAGCGGTTACCGCCCTATGAGAACTCAATTTAACCTTGCGTGACCAACCGTGCATAGAGAGGAGACAAAGTGGGCACGTGTCTCACCACAGTCATCTGCCATTGTGTGCAAATGAAGTGTTCTGCGGTGCTGATGGTTTCTCAATGGAATGAGTTCATACCTTGGTTACATCAAGCTAAACGGATTATTTTATTAATCCTGAACATGAACTGAAAACAGTTGGAACCAATCCAATATCTGTCAACTCTTTGCAGTAGTGTCGATGTATCCATATGTCTTGAACCTGCTGCATTGTTCCTGCTGCACCAATTTCGCTCGCAGTTGGAAGTTCGATCTTCAGTTTGAAATGGAGGGCTTGGTTTTTTTGGCTCTTCAAGAAAAAGACAGTTTGAGATTGTAGAAGAAGCAAAGAGAGCATTTAAAAAAGCATTTCACAAAATACTGGGCATTGTGCTGTCAAGAAGACATTAAACTGGTTGAACCTTCAAGTCTCCCCGTATCAAGCTAAATTAGCTTTGATGGAACCAATATGGCTACTGTTGGAACTCTTTAATTGTGTCACGCTGTCCAGTGTCGCAGCATGCAAAGTTTTCAGTTCCCTTTTTTCAACAGGCTCGAAATCAGATAATGTGGGTAAGGATTTATTCTTAGTTTTTTTCATCGCTGGAACTTCTATTCTTGCATTCTGTTGTCATGTGTTCACAGGCTCTGCAAAACTTCATAATTTCAAATCCCCTCTAAATGTTTGAGCTGCATAATGTGACGGACTGAAACTGCTGCATCTTACTATCATCGCTAAAAGTTACCTGCAAGCAGAGATTGATATTTTTGTGTATCATAGCTTAATCATACAATCAGAGGAAACCCATACAGTGCAAAGGTCACCCCGTACAGTGCCAACAACCATTCATTTTCAGTGGTCCAGGTCGGTGTACAAATGTCACTTAAATTCTTGTTTTTTTTTTATGGTCAGTGCGTTATCCTCTTGAAATTTTTGTCATTTCAGTTAAGCCATCAGGGACACTCTCATGCAAAGTGGTGTCGCAAGAATGATAATAGCTTTCGACACCATCAGCGTTCATTCACCCCAATGAGATGCCTGATCATTTGCAGAGTCATTAATTTTAGACATACATTGGTGACCTTGATGGCAACACATTCTAGTACTAAGGAGAGAGGTCATAGAGGCCTTCCACATTTCGTGTCATGGGCGTTCATGTGTTAGTGAACCTTCGTTGGTGCTGTCAGCAAAAGAGATAGCCTTCCTGGGGGAAAGAATAGTCACGAAGTGAATGGGTAGAAATGTACATTACTAACATGCTTCACAGTTGGCGAGTGTGGTCCTTTGTTTCTGTGCAATCTTTTGAGATACTGCGTATTTTTTTTCTGTCTTTGCTTCCTTCATCAAAAATTCTTCAATTGCGAGTACGGCATTGTCCTGTCGTGTTTGTTCTTCTTCGTAGTCCGTGTTTTTTTAGCTGTTTTCCCATCATGTATAACATTCTAATACCTTTTTTTAGATGACAAACGGAAGCATGTAGAGGAACATCTATTCCTCTCTTTGCCTTAGAGCCAAGGCACTTGACGGAAGGTTTACTCTTTCTCATCTGGGTATGAGTGTGGTCCCTGTATATATCTACAGCAAGATGTCTTGGGTGTTTTTAAAGGGCAGGCAAGGAAAATGTGTAATACGTTGACCCTCTTTTGTTCATCTTCCTTAGGTGCCTCCGACGTTGTGATTAAGGCATTGGTCCTGGCTGGAGGTCGTGGCAAGGGCACCTTCGACAGTGGTCTCAAAGGCGGCGTTAAAATGGTCTTTTCGTGAGCGCATTTCTTCATTTGTTGCTTTTTAACATCTGGTGTCAAACACTGATGGCATTGACATTGTTTAGTAGAGATTATGAGCTAATAATTGGTCCATTCATGTACAGTCGAATCTCGTTAATTCGAACACGCTTAATTCAAACTTTCGGTTTATTCGAACTCGCGCTGTGGTCTGGACTACACTATATGTATTTCAATGGGCGAAAACGTCCGGTAATTCGAATGCTTAAACGCCCGCGCCGGTTAATAGTCCGATGTCACCAAGCGAACTGCGCAGGCGCGCGCATTCCGGAAGTGGTGCCGCCGCCATGCTACTTGTAGTCATCCCTTCCCAGCTACCGACGGCTGGGCGTACGTACATCACCATAGATTATCATTTGGCATGCCCCGGTATCAGCTTGATTCTCTTGTATGTTTTTACTGCATAAGATTGTGTTGTTTGTGATGTTTTACTTTCCTCAGCAAGTGCAGAAAAGCAGTGTTAGTCCTCTTATCGCTTTAAAATCGCTTTGTCGTCTGCTTCGTCGCCGTCTGCTTCTTCGTCTTCGTGAATGCTTGAGCCCACTGCCGTTCACGGGGTAATCCCCCCCACTGCGGCCGCGGAAAAAACAAAACAAAAAAACAACGGCACCGCTACTCGAGCATTCCGACTCCTCGGACGTCTCAATTACCTTGCAAACAAGTGAACATCTAGTGCAATAGCAAAGAACAAGAAAATTCGAGGGACCATCGGCTCGGTGTAGCACCACGGAACAGCATCAAATGTGATGAAAAACTGAGCTAGGTGGTGCTCAGTCTTGTGCATAACGTTTAATCAGCCATCAAGTAAGAGGAGCTAGACTTTCTCGGTCAGCGATAATTTTCTAAAAAAGTTGTTTTATTCTGGTTGACAGCCTGTGCGACAGAGTACAGATGAACAGCGGAAGAAGCCTGTACACAAAAAACTGATCTACAGAAAGGCCATGCCTGACGCGCTGTAATAATTAGCATCTATCAAAAATAAAGCAACCATGCCAGATACCTGAAAGCTCGGGGTGGAGATGATTTTTCGTGCACAGTTTCTATTCAGTTTTATTTTGTTTACGCAAGATCCGAACGCTAACAGTCGCCCGACATGGGAAGCTTCTTTCTGCGGTCTCGACTGGTGCTAGTGCAGAATGGATCAGTAACACCAGCCTAATAGACCACCACAAAATGGATGATGTTCGTTTGTTACAGTTTTGGTGGTAAGTACGCGTTGCACTTCTAAATCACATTATGTAATCTTTTCGCGTTGGTATGAAAACAAATAAAAAAATGAAGGCTGCTTCCGAAAAAAAGTTGTTTTATATCAAGTGGTGCATATCGGGAATCGCTGCTCTTTTTTAGCTATTGCCCTGATCTTTTCAAGCACAGTTGTGCTTGAAACATGTCGTCGCAATAGCACTTATAACCACCAAAATACACCGAGAAGTGTATTAAAAACGGCCTCCGCAAAGTAGTGCGGAGGTCCTATTTGAGATAGACCAACGAATAGGCCGGTACGGAGCAAATGTTCAGATTTCAGCTTACGAAACACTTCGGCCCGCTTGATGTCTCGTGCCCTGTAATCTTACATATTTTAGCTGACTTGCAATAGTTGGATGTAAATTATGAAGCAAATCGCGAAACAAATCGTAAAACGCTATTTTTTTTTTTCCGCTCTGTCCGGCTCTGTTGACCTTTCTTTGCCATGCTTCTTTCTTGCGGGAAGACATAATATCCGAGGCCTTTTGGCCTGGTGCTGTTATTATAGCTCCCATGTGAAGCCACCCATTGAAAACCATGAGTCAACACCCGGCTAAAAGTCTCGTGCTAACCAGGAAATTTCCAAACGCGCGTACAATGCGCGTCGACGCAGCCGGAAAACTGGGGAGAACTACAGATACCAGAATGCACCGCGGCAGCGGTGGCGTCGCGCAACACCTCGTGAGATCGGTCTATTCGAACATTCCGCGCCGCCGAGCATGCCTCCAGGAGCGGGCTAACTCACGCGGAGTGCGACAGTTCTGTTTCTTGCCTTGCACTCGCACATTGCTGTGGTTCGGCGTGTTTTCGGTGGGCGCGCGACTGACGTTATCTCGATTCCAAGCGTCGTGGCGAGCCGGGGCACGTACCGCCCACCAAAGGAGCTCAAGACGAAGGTAAAGATACTGCGAGAAGTTGACCAAGGCGCACTTTCCAAGACGGAAATAGCGAAGAAACAGAGCATCACGAAGAGCACTCGAAGCGCTGGACACCACCGCGCGCTACTTCTCTTGCCAGAAGAATGCGGATGCCGCGTTAGAGCTGGTCTCTAAGCTCCAAGCGATCTTTGTTGATTCACGACTGAGGAACCGCGCACAGGCACGCATTACGCATTACTTCCCTTTGTGATCGGTGAAAATAAATGTCCTGGAACTCAACACTCATGTGTTAGCTCAGTGCACATGCGCCGTCCAATGCAGCGCTGCATGTAAGTACTCCATTTAATGAGCTTTCGTTAATTCGAACTTCGTTGAATTCAAACAAATTTTTGGTCCCCCTCGAGTTTGAATTAACGAGATTCGACTGTAATTCTTTCTTTGATCTAGCGATCTCCACACACTCATCTATAGATGCTTCCTAGATGCCGCGCCATTTCGGTCACATTTTGTGATCTTTGGGAGCTGGCATGGCCTGCTAGAGTTGGCTTTGCAGTAATCCGTTTCCCCACCATGCTGTGGTGCATCGTGGAAGAAGTGCTGTCTGCAAGATGACTTTCCCGCCATATTTCGCTGTGTAGCTGAGAAACAATGATCCAAGGCACGCACTCTTTTTTGGCCCGGTGTGTGTTTCTGCACTCTGATAATTTGTGACATGCTTGGATGTTGATATGTTGAATCCGTGCCTGGGCAGAGGCTCGAGATACTTCACCAGCTTTTTTTAATTTCAAATGCTGTATTTTTTACACTAAAATAAAGATGTATCCCTCTAATAATTCCATCTGCCACCAGATGCGCATATAATTCACTTTTAAATCTTTAAATCAGAGGTGCTTCTGTGCACGGAAAAGCTCTGTCTGTTGCCCTCAAGTGGCTATTAGCCCCGAGAGCGAACACAAGCGTCGCTGCGGTCGCCGCGCCCTGATTGGGTGAGGTGTACCGTGACGTCAGGGCGAGTACCCCGCTCCGCGATCTCGCATCGGGTCGCTTCCCAGCGCCGGTTTCCTGGTTTGGCGTTGTGTGCCGCAAGCTCTTCGAGGACCCGGACTTCGTTTACCCGGTGTACAAGACGTTGAGTTAGGCCGATATTAACGTGCTTCCGTACATCTTATAAGCCTGCTTGTCCCTTTTACCTTTAAAATTGGGTTACAAATCCCGAAAACTATCGGCGGAGGCAATTACGCCGATGAACCTCCCCGTCTGTCCACACGACGCAAGGCAATCTTGAGAGGGGTCGGTGAAGCGGTGACGCAAGTGTTTCAGACGCTGGAATTCTGTTCCTTGCATGTTCATGATTTAGGACGATGTTACATCCCGCTTTCAAGGCATCTGAAGCGGCCTTTATATCATGGGCCTTTCGGTGGTCGGCAAATTAGCTCGCAACCCCGACTTTGCGCTGCCACTCTGCATGCGCTGGTTTGCAGATGTTTTAAAGGCCCTGCGTCTGATGATCTTTGAAGTGCTCATGAAACAGGGTTGTTTTACATAAATGTAGCTTCTTCCTGAATTAATTATATAGTTTATACGCTTATGCAGGCATATTTCTTAGAGGATTCACAATTACTGGAAATTAGTTTGTATGGTAGCAGCAAAAACGGCCGAATTTCCCCCAGTTGGCTCTATGATATGCAGTAAACTGCCCAAAATATGCACAGCAATAGTGCCGTAATTTGGGATGTTTATACTTTTTCCTGACATTCTTTATTCCAGCCTTTGGTATTCGGAAAATGCACCGTTTAGTCTGAATTGTCATTTCCATTTAAGAGTCACTGCCGCAGGTCCCCAAAAGCTTCCTCAGCCTCCAAACTCCCTGCAACTGGACTCTCTGACAACAGAGGAAAGCAGGAGTAAAAGCAAGCATTCGAACGTCTGTCCAGTGGTAGATGCAGCACTAGTAGCAGAAAATGTGGAACCTGTGAAGGGCGACAGTCTGCGTGAGAAAAGCTTCTGGTACTTTAGCTTCAGGACAATTGGATTTAAGTAAAATCTAAATTTTAGGGCTTAATGGACTAATAACGAGCTAGACACCCTAACTTATGTTTGTTATATATTACTTGAAAATTGATATAAACAAGTCCACAGATACCATCCGTGTAGTTCATTGAAATACTATCCGAATCCAGCAAAGGTCAAGTGCGAGCAATGTATATAATAAATGTTCCTTGTGTGTTTTTTTACTTTGCCCCTGCACTTGGGCTGTCTTACTTGTGATTCTCTCCCCATGGCCGAGACTGTATTTAGCACGTTGCTCGATCAGCATGCAGCTTTTCTGCTTCGGCGATCTTGTTTAAAGACAGAGATACAAAAAAAAAAAAATAGTATACATAACCTGCCAATTCATTTGGACCATCAGCAGCGTTCATTGTGCGAGATGTAAATCTGTAGTGATGCCCCTGCAATTGTGGCCATATTTCTTTATTTTCACATACCAGCTGTGGTTCATGCGTTGCCTGCCCTGTCAGCCATGCTTAAAATGCTCGTTGAAGTTTCACCTGTAGCTACAGGCAATACCTCAATAAAGGCGTATATAAAAATTTACACTTCCTACGAAAAGCACGCCAAAAAAAAAAATTAAATAGAAACGACCGCGCCGACAGCTAGCGTCGTCACAGCGTCCACAGGGCGAGCGGGACGAGTCGGGGAAAAATTCTCTCCTCGCCGTGACGTCACCGCGGTTCGCCGTTTGGGGGCGCCAGGCGAACTTCTCGGGGCTAATACCGCGTAGCGGCGCTTCCGTAATGCAGGTTATAATTTTTAGCAGTAGTGCCATTAACCTTCATGTTTAAAGTATTAGGCGCGGGCTAACTGTTGTCATTATGAACACAATCCAGGTGGTGCAAACTACTCCCCAATTTCAAGGGTTTAGCTGCATGCATGCACTCATCCAGTGTGAGCATGTAGGCACATTGCGGTCTCTTGTCTGCACCCATAGGCCAAGCGAGGCAAAGCAGATCTCGAGCCAGATGCTGGGGTACATGCTGCGCACCAAGCAGACGGGTGAGAAGGGAATCCGGGTGGACAAGGTCATGGTGACGGAGCGCCTCTACAACCGTCGGGAGTACTACTTTGCCCTCATGATGGAGCGGGAGTTCAACGTGAGTGGAGCATGCTCCCTTGTTGCACCGAACGCGTCTTTGACCCACATGTTTGGCACATACATCTCCATTTTGTGCTCTCGATGTCAGCCCGACGGGGTCTGGAGCCACCAAGTAGGCTACAAAGTAACGACACGTCCGCCATCTTGTTGCTTAAAATTAATGTTGCCAGCTTTCTGAGGTGCTTCATCCGAAATTGCAGAGAACAAGACAATCAAGAAATGTTGGAAAAACAGTCTGCAAAAGGGCAAAACGGTATCTCATGAGCTTCCCGACACCGTGTCTAAAGCTCGAGAAGTTGCTGTTTCGAATTGTAACTATTGTTGGTAGCACCCGCTCTGCACTGAACAACAAAATGGCTGCGCCCGCGAAAGAGTTGGGGAAGCTGGCGTTGCTACTCTTAAGCGTAGCTCATTTAGTGGCTTTGGTGACGTTGGAACTGCGCGACACCGTGGTCTGCCACAGTCCTCGTGGAGGCGTAGCTGTCGGGTCTAGCTTCCGGCGAAGTTTCGGGGTTCTTGAGTGCACGGTCGATTTTTACCCCACAAAGGACTCCAAAAATGTTTTCTTGGGCAAACCCAGCATTTGAAACGGCTCGCTGCAAACAAAGAAGCGCATTTCTTGCTCTCTTCCTCAGGGTCCCCTGATCGTGGCCTCGTCTCAAGGCGGCGTGAACATCGAGGAGGTTGCCAAGGAGAACCCAGATGCCATTCTTAAACTACCAATCAGCATCGACAGTGGGATCGACCGGGACGAGACCTCGAAGCTCGTGAAACAGCTCGGATTCCACCCCAGTGCCGTGGAAGGGGTGCGTGCTGCCCTTTGTTCAACCACCTTCCTTTTGAAGCGGTCTCTTGCGCAAGTTGCTCGTCCCAGAGGCTGGTGCGTAGAGTGAATGCTCATTTTTACGTGCAGGCAGTGACACTAATTGAGAACCTGTACAACGTGTTCCTCAAGTACGACGCGACGCTCTTGGAGATCAACCCTCTGGTGGAGGACAATCATGGGAAAGGTAGTCCTTCAGTCTCAACACGGGAGCTGCGAACCAGGGTTGCATTGCCTTCCATGGGAATCAACCACAGCCCACTGGCACATTCCTGACTCTTCGAAACTTCTTAAATGACTGATACTGTCACAAAAATGTTAGAGTTTAAAGGTAACGGACTATCAGACTTCCTTCAATATGTGGTGCGTCGGATACTATACTCCATGCCACTAGCTGCGTACAGCGCTTGCGAAGGCAATGCCAGACGAAGAGAGGAAGGGTGAGTACTGGGAAGGTGGGAGGGGAGAGGAGGGTATGGGAAAGCGAAGGGAGAGCACTAAGAATGTCAGAGAGGAGGTTTCTCTCCACCTCCCCAACCTTCCTTGTGCTTTCCCTTTCTCCCCTTGCCTGGCTTTGCCTTCGCCTGTACTGCACGCAACTAGTGATACGGAGAATAAATTGATACTCCCCCCCCCCCCCCCCTTTTTTTTCTTTCTTTTTCTTTGTAACAGTTAGGAGTAGGGACTAAGATAAGAGTTAATGTGCAGGCAAGCCGGCGGTGCATTATTAGTACTAAAAATGTGGAGAGTAGTTAGGACTGGGGACACTGTCCCTACTTGTTAATAAGGTGCGTACGAACACATGTAGGAGTACATAATCAAGGCCTCGTGACCCTGTTCTTCCCTGTAGGTGTTTCCTGTCCGTACTAGAGTCTGTCTTTTTTATGCTGCACATGGGCATTAGCCGGCTTCTGGCTTCCACATTATACGCTCCCCACTCGGCACCCTCGGTGCAGTGTACTGCCTGGACGCCAAGTGCCGCTTCGACGACAATGCGGACTTCCGGCAGAAGGACCTGTTCGCCCTGCGCGACTGGACCCAGCTGGACGAGAGGGAGAGGGAAGCGCACGACTGCAACCTCAACTACATTGCCTTGGACGGAGACATTGGCTGCCTCGGTGGGTGTCTCCCTCCACTCCAACCTGACCGCGTGTGCGGCAGTGCCGACTTGCTGGATCGCGTGATCAGTGGATGTGTGCGAATATTCGAAACTGCGAATAGTTCCCGAGTAGCGTTTGCTGTTTGATTAGATTCGCAGCGCTCTATTACTGTTTGAGGTATCCAAGGTTTTTGAACGTCCAAAAATGACGAACGAATCATGTCTTCATAATTCTCCCGTTTCTTGCGAATCATGTCTTCATAATTCTCCCGTTTCTTGCATCAAGCTTCACTGCTTCGCACCAGTGTTCTGGCGTGAAGCTTGCGTCGAGCTTCACCGCTATGCACCGGCGTCCTAGGAGAAACGGCCGATGCGTAAGAGCGTCTGGCTGGCTCGGTGGTCTCGGAAAACAGCGTGGGAAAAAGAAACTTAAAGCTACTATATATTTAAATAAATAAGGTAGCCATTGCTTTGCTTACCACAATACATTGTTTTACCTAACTCCTCTTATCAGGTCCTTCTTTTTTAAATCATACAAGTAGGGTATGCGAAATGTTTCTCATGTAATAAATCTCTTCCTTTTAATAAGCATTATTTCGAAAAAAAGAATTTCCAGCTGTGAGCTGGATTTGAAACGCAAAATATTTGTATTCAATTTGCGGTAAAATTGAATACAAACCTCTAGTAGTGATCAGCAAGATGAGCACAAACAATGCAATCCCCGAACAAACTGCCAATGCCAGTGCGATCCTTGTTAAAGAATTTTCCCCGATCTTAAAGGGCTTTTTGTAGAAGCTTGTTTTTGATGGCATATTGTTTGTGGAGCTTTATTCAAGACAGATGACTACTTCTAGATGGCAAGACGTTCTAGTAAACTCGCAGAAATAAAAACATGCGGGCACTATTTTCTCTTGGGGCGGTCATTCTCGAGTCTTAACACTTAAAAAAATTCGACCGATGAAACTAGTAAATTGTGTGGAGGTTCCGGACATTACTATTATTGCTCTTTTTAGGCACGTTGTGCATTATATATTTCTACAAAAACGTCAATTCTCTGGGTGTAGGAGAGGTAATGCAGCAATTATTGTGTGAAAACGCTGTCTGACAGCGCCTCCTGGTGTCTGCTCCAAGGTGTAGGAAAAGTAATGATCATGACTCTTTCTACACCTGTCATGATCATGATCATGGTGTCATAATCTTCGATTAGATTTTTAATAGGAAAACCGGCCTTCCACGTGTATAATTTCTGGTTTTTTAGGATGCTTAGAGCCCATAGATCGAGTTAATACCATAAATACTAAATAGACAATCTCGGAATCTACTTGAGTGCCTGTTTAATTTTAGGTCCTGTCCCGACGCAGTTTGTAGATACTTTGTCTGTGTCGGTTTGCTTACTGTGTGCCCAGTTAACGGAGCTGGTCTGGCCATGGCAACTATGGACATCATCAAGCTACACGGTGGTAGTCCGGCCAACTTCTTGGATGTTGGAGGCGGAGCCACGGCCCACCAGGTCACGGAGGCCTTTAGGCTGATCACGTCCGACCAGAAGGTGACGTGATCTTGCTTCGACATTCACCCCTACGGCGAAACCTCCTCTTTCGCTACAACCGTTTACATCTGCCTCTACAGTAAAACCCTTTTTTTAACAAACCCTTACATCAATGTTTGGCTGTACAGTAAAACCCTTTTGTAACAACCCCTCACATTGATCTTTACTGTAAAACACTTCTGTAATAACTCATTACGTTGATGTTCAGCTCTACAGTAGGACTGTCTTTTTTGTAAAAGCCCTTTACATTGACATTTGCCTGTACCGTAAAACCTTTTGGAACCACTCACCTTTACTACAAAAAACACTTCTGTAACTCATTATGTTAACCTCTACTGTAAAACCCTTCTGTAACAACTCCTTACGTTGATATTTGCCTCTACTGTAAAACTGTTTTGTAACCAACAGATTTGTTTTTGAACATGAGCAACTTTAAGTGAGCTAACATTTGTATAGATAAGCCCAATGCATAGCACTGCTGGATAGGTTGGGAAACAGTTTTAAGACTCTAGCAATGTTTTTCAACCTATTTGCAATATAGTAAATTTTTACCTGCCTTGTCCGTGTTTTGAATGACTGTCTTGAACAGTCATATTGTTTCACCAGCAAAAAGAGGCAGTGGTTTATTTGTGTTTCAGCATAGTATAGACGAGATAAGCAGGTGTTCTTGGCAATGCCTCGCCGATTATGCTTGTTTCTTTAGGGAGGGACTGCATGACCACCACAAAGGTCTTAAAAATTAGACCAAAGTAAGCAATGGAACAATTTTAAATTTTGAGGAATTTGCTATTTGTATTTTTTATATTCCTCTAGGCACAGGTGAGAAAAGCTCACCACCTTCCCTTGAAAAACTGCCATCCCACCACATAGTCATGAAGGTAAAAAACAAATTTGCCTGTCTGCAGCCACGTATGGTGGTTACAGGAACTACAGTGTTGCATCAGTGGTGCACACACGGAATTCAGCAAAACCTGTCCCCCTCCGCTGCTACACCGACCGTCAGCGAACAGTCATTTGTCTCCATTGCTTGCCGCAACCTTCCACGATGCTGTCTCTGAAAAGTTGACAGTTGCGGAGGGGGGCTCTGAAAACAGATCCCAACGGGAGACCAGGTGGTCCCCCCCCCCCCCCCCCCCCCCCCCAAAGTAACTGGAAAGCCGGCGCGAAAGTAGAGAAGCACCTTGACCTTAGATTTTATTTATTTTTGAAAAAATAAAAACTAGAGTGCACAAGAATTTTTTCTGCTCTTCGTTCTATAGGCGACGCAGATTTCCCAAAGTCTGGAAATTGTTGCACTGCTCCGGTTACTCTCTGCATTTGCCTTTTGTAAAACCCCGTTCTGGGGCAGTGTCGCGGCGTTTACGACTTGCTTGCATGCTCGTTTTTTTTTGGTTAAAAGTAAGCTGTTGTGTTTCGTTTGTGTTCAAAACAGAAATCAGCAGAAGTGGTTTTGTACGACGCTTCGCAGTCTGGCACGTTAGGAATGTGCATGCACAAGCATGCCGTTACGTTCACATGGCGGGTGCGAATGTGCGCTTCCCACGACTTTGACCGACAGGTGCAAGCCATCCTGGTGAACATCTTCGGCGGCATCATGCGATGCGACGTCATAGCAGAGGGAGTCATCCGTGCTGCCGAGACGCTTGATCTCAAAATACCAATCGTCGTCAGGCTCCAAGGTACGCTCTAACGGGCAGGACCGGTGCTTGTGTCTGCTCCAAGAGCCGAGCAAAATCTAGTGCTTGCGTGTGGGTCATGCCAGGACAGCGCGTGCTTAAAGTTAGCAACAATATAAGAATTCAGCATAAGCTCTACCTTCAATGTATGCTTGTTGCCCTCTGCCAGGCTGTTGGCTCCGCATGCACCGAGGTGTTTTACAGTGGAGCTGTTAAGGGCTAGTTTCCCCGTTTCGTGTCCATCACCAAATAAATGCCGACACAAAACTCTGGACAACTACCGCCATCAATGAGCGACGGCGGCAACCCGACAGGCGGCTTGCCAGTTGTCTGGTCGCCGCCGTCGCTCATAGATGGCGGCAACCTTTCCACTTTGGTTTTCACCAGAGTGGAAAGGCTGAATTTCTCTAAGCGTCGTCCTAGAAGTTGTCTTTGAGGTCGTCCTAGACGTTGTCCTCGAGGTCGTCCTAGACGTTTTTGAGTTTGTCCTCGAGGTCTTTCTAGAAGTCATCCTTGAAATTGTCCTGGACAATGTCCTTGAGGTCGTCCACGAAGTCATCCTTGAGGTCGTCCCACCATAGTACAGCTTCGCTGGTCTTCCTTCTTCACCAGAGTGGAAACGCTGACAGCTTTTTTAAAAGCAGAAAGCTTGTGCCGGAGCATCTCCCGAGTTTTCAACTGGTGACAAACTATTGGCGATCCGGCGACACCGACATGGCTAGAACAGGAAGCTGCGACAGCAGGTTCGCTCTCCAGCCTTTTTGAGCGAATCGGATATTTACGGCGCATCGCGGTCGAAAGACGAAGCAGTAATAGTAGGCTCGAAAACACGCAGTGAAAATTGCCAATAGGTAGTAGATACAGTGCATGAAGCTACAAACAAAAGTTGCATTGCTACAAGCTCCAGAAAGATGTTATTAGCGTTTGTTTCAGTTCGAGGAGAGACGGAATGTAGCAAGATAGAATGTAGGAAGTTTTGGTGCTGGCTATGAAAAGGTAGCATTCTTTTGGCTTCACCATTCAGCTGGACTGTTGGAAATGTTTACCCGTCAGCCAATGGTGTGTAAACGCAGAATTCAAAAGCCGGCTAAGTAACACCTCGGCAGATATTGTGCTACTTGGCCACGGCAAGAGATAAGAGAACATTATTGACTGGGAACGACATTTGTATTTGGTTCATCGCTCCTTCCTGCGATCACTAGTTTCGCAGTTCACAAAATCTAAAACTTGCACTTGTTATTTTCAATTTCATCCTTATTTTCTAGGGTTGTGCGAATAATGGTTTGAATTGAATAGCGCTGCATCATTCTTAGCCTTGACAATGCAAGGGAAATCCAAGATTGCTGGTTCTTTCAGCTATACATTAACAAGTCACACACATTCAAAATCAGAACAACCTTTTTTTTTTTCTTCAAACAAAGGTACAATGCAGTAAAGAAAAAAAACGAGAAGTAAAGTTGGGCAACGAACAAACTCTTCCGATGTGAGGGAGCGATGCAGTTTGATCCGGTCTTGGCAAAAAAAGTGCAGGAGCAGGTCGCGTGCCTTGACACAACCGACTGCACCTCAGTGATAGAGAAAAAAAAAAAGGGAAAAAGAAAAAAAAAGGAGGGCCTTTACTGCTCCGCACCTTGACAGTATGCATGTGCACGCGACACAATGCAAGGCAAGAAGAATCACATGAGGGCGACTGGGAGAAACCGAAGTGTCCGTGTGCATCATGTGACGAGATTTCCGTTGTTGCTTGCGTGAGCAGGGACGCAGGTGGACGAAGCCAAGGCCCTGATTGCCACCAGCAAGCTTAAGATCCTGGCCTGTGACAACTTGGACGAGGCCGCCAAGATGGCAAGTGGTGCTCCCTTTCTAGCTGTGCCAGATTCAATGTCCGGCTACAGTGCAATTTTTTTTTTTTTTTACTTCAACGGGCGTCTGGGAAGTTTCACAAGGTGTGTTAGGCGTTTCCAGGAGGCGGTGCTGCCGCTATCGACTGGGCCCCTCCTGCAAGAAGAAACGAGTGGGGACTGATTTTAGGAACCGGTTTCAATGCTTGGCTGGAAAAGAAATTACAGGGATATAAAGGACAGGCTTTCTGCCTGACCTGTTCCAGCCCAGTTGTGAAACATAATGTCGCTGTACCGTTAAAAACACAGTGCAATTACAAATTGGCTTATTGCAATATCGTGGGGATGATCGCATTAGTAGCTGCCAGGACCAGTTCTGCAGGCTACTACACAAGGAGTAGCACCAGTACTAACATATGCACTTTTCGTTTCTCTTGCCCAGTGTCCGAGACTGAGCAGACATGTATAGAATAAATTGGGAAGGAAAAAATGAAACGTTTTTTTCTCGAGGAGGAGGAGAGGGTACGATCCTCCTCATCCTCCTCCCACTGAATTTGTTCATGGGCACTAACTCATAACGTCATTTTCCCTGCTAAATTTAGCAGGGAAACTGAATTGGTGTTGAGGTCACACGACGTCGATTTCTGCTTAATTTAGTTTGAAAATTTCCCCACTAAATATAGTGGGGAAATTTTCAAGCTAAATTTACCGGAGAAGCTTAACCCGCTAAATTTATTGGGAAAATTTCGCGCTAAATGTAGCGGAAAAACGTCCCATAATGAAACGCACGCGACACCGCCACTCAACCCGGAAATAAGCGCCTAAGAGCTGCGCTTTAAAAAAAAAAAAATTCAGGGAACGTCAGCTATTAGCAATAAATACTTCTATTGTTTCTCATTGTGCTTACTCACTTCTACAGCGTTAGCCGAAACAAGAGGTAGGGTCTAGTTGGAATTTTCGTTTGTGTGCTATGCCGCACTAGGATTTCATCTAACTATACTTCGTATCACCCTACGATGGACTAAAGGCAAAAGCTACGAACCACCAGATCAAATCACGGGCCACTTAGAAATTGCCTGGTATTTCGCTTCTATGAACGTTACTGAGTGACTCATCAATTTTACATTGCAAAGAAAGCCACGAGATACAGGCTCTTTGCAGTGTCGAAGCTATAGAAATGATGCAGCGCATTTTGATAAGGAGCATTATTCGTCCATCCTTAATCAATGTTAAGCATGTCATAGTTTAGCGTGGAGCGTGATTGTACCTGGCAGCCCGTAGCTTTGGCCTTTAGTCGAACATAGGATGAGAAAGTATAGCTTTCAAAGAAGTGCAAATGTCGATGGGTGTTTTGCTCTCCACTGCGCAGGTGGTGCGTCTCTCGACCATCGTCGGATTGGCCCGCTCGGCAGCCGTGGACGTCAAGTTTGAGCTGCCTCTTTAGCGTCATTCTAACCTAGCCACAGTGGAAGGGGAGGCTACCCCCCAGCACTATTGTTCAGTGCCACTTAAATTATTATTGACCTCTAATAGATGCCCCCATTGGCGAGGTTGAGTGGACTGGCAGCCAACCCCTCCCTTTGCTGCCACCCGTTTTAAAAATATAAGTTACAGATTTGAGATGCTTCCGACCACTCCCGCTCCTTGTTCAATATTGCAGAAGCAGCCTCCGATACATTAGGCTATGGAATGTCACACTGTTGTTGGCCACCCTGAATAAAATGTAAATATGCCACTAGTCTCGTGTAGTACATCTTGTGCCCTGTCGATATGCACGGAGGCTGTGTCTTTCTGCCTCCAGTAATTTTGATTGGGGTGAACCCTTTTACTAAGTTGATGGTGACTACGTTACTAAGTCGATGGTGACTACGGCAACCCTGGTTGTGATGACCTAGCCCCACTACTGCAGTGAACACCAACTTTTGTGTACCAACCCAAGGACACTTTCTTGGCGATCTGCATAATTTTCACCAATGATTGCACGTTCACAAACAATATTTTCTTCACTCGAGGCAACTCTTCGGCATAATGGTAGAAATTTGCCAAGTGGAGTGGGGCTCCAAGTCATGGAAGCTATTATTGCTTGGGAACTCTTACTCTCCACAAGTGTACAAAGGCAGCTACGAAACATACTTCCGACATAATCCGAAATCTCCTTCAAGGTTTATTGAGCAGGTGATGCATCCAACAATGCTAACCCTCCAAATAACACCACAGAAAAAAAAAAAAAAAATTTCAGCATGCAAACTATGCTTTACTATTCTTTCTGTGCATTATCTACACGAGTCATGGGGCACAAAAGCCCATTGCCAAACGAGGCACACCAAGCAAGCAAAATGGGCCGCCCTTCCACACAAATGACAGAGTAGGCCGGTCAAACATGCACGCCAAACAAGCCAACAGCAGCCAGTACAAGCCATTCTCAAATGCATGCCTATCTACATGTCCTCAAGACAATGCCCCCAGGGTAACGCGGTACTAATACTAGACACGAGTGCCCCGTCGGCGTTCGGCTGGGACTCTCGTACGATCAGCAAGAACACTAGTCCGTATCATCTACGCAGGGCTCGTGTCCCACCTGTGCTCATAGAAACAACATGGCCTTGTTACCTATCATCGGTGACTGGTCAAGGATTCAGTTGCGCGTCCAAAGCGACCTTTCTGCCCTCAAAGACTCGCACGCACAGCCAAAGCCCAGCAGAAGACACCGGGCGCATTTTGGAGGCAAAGCGTTTAACGAATCTGACTGTCACCGCCTACGGGGGTGGGGGCATTGCTTCACACCCAATGGAGCAAAGACGAGCGCGGTCAACCGCCGAAACGGTCGTAACAGCATCCCGAGTAGCAGCAGCGGCGGAAGCCCCTGAAGAGGACGGAGAGCAGGCAAGCGAGCAACAAGGGCAGGCCCCCACCCTTGCGACGAGCAGACGGGCTCTTCCTCGCATCCGTCTGGCACCGTTGCATGCTGTCCGCTTCTGGCCGGGCAATGGCGGCCGCGGAGGAGCCATCGTCGGGCGACCTCGGGCACTGGTCTGGAGAGACGCAGCGGCCCTTGATGCCGCCTGCCCCGCCCGCAGGGAAGCCGGACAAGGACCCTGCGAGAATGCGACGAATGGTCGGGAGTTGGTTTGTTGGCTCGACTGACTTGTTTTAAGCTTCCATGGTAGAATCTCCCAAGATGGAATTTGTGTGTGTGTGTGGGGGGGGGGGGGGGATCCCTCCAAGGTCAGAAAGGGTGAAATGAAAACGGCACAAAAAAGACGAGGGACAAGTAAAAAAAACATACACCAGGTGCTGACTTGCAACCGAGTTGAATGGGAAAACACAAAAACACAAACATTGGTGTACTACACCGATGTCACTTCCCAGCCACTTCACAATGACTTAGATATAGTACAAGTTGCCATCCTGCAATGCAACTGATGATGAACTGATGCATGTGCCCTCCCACCATTGGTTGCATTGTACAAAAGCGAGACAGCATATCTAAGTAAGTGATGTAATTGGCTCATAACGTTGTGGAATAGTTTCCTTTTGCAGGTTTGTGCGATTTCCTATTAAACACAGTTGTAAGTCGGTGCCGAGTGTGTACGTCTCTTCAACTCGTCCCTCGTCTTTCCTGAGCCATTTTCATTTTGCTACGCTTTACCAACTAGGCCAAGTTTACACTTTTCTACAGTGATGGAGAGGCTGCTCGTTATTTCCGCAGTTGGTTTAACGAGCTTGTGGCGTAAACCAAACATGTTTTGTGGCAAATACTTCCTTGCTCCTCCGTTCTGCGACACATGTCGCAAGTCTGAATTCGAACGTGCTTTTTAACTCCAAACAGGGCGCACTGTCAACAATTTTCTTATTTCTTGAATTCTTGAGGCCCGTTCACACTCTTGCGACCGAGTACGACTGAGAGAGACGAGATCTCTTACAACTTCTTAAATGTTTTTAGAATGAGGAATCATACTGACATTGTGGCGCCATCTATGCGGTGACCCTGGAACTGCATTTCACAAGAGCGAAGGTTTTGCGGGATTTTCGAGGTCAAATGTGCGTAATACCCATAGAAAGGCTCGTTTATAACATTGTCAAAAGTTTTTCGAGCCAAGAAAGAAAGAATAATTCTCGAGAAATAAAAAATATGCCGGACCACCGAGTTTACACTGCTTCCCAATAGATGGCGCCAGTGTGTTTTCTGGTTTAACAAGTTTTAAAGGGGCGATGCAACAATTTTTGTACTTTGCGCAAATACCACTTAGAACGGATCCCTGACGTTAATGACCTATGAAACACGCGTTCGTTTTTCACCCTACGCAATAGAAGTCCCAGAAAAAAATTTAAAAAAAACGAGCAGCGTTCACCCCCTCAACTCGCAGTCAGAACAAGCGGCCACGTGATCTGGAGCCGATTATATGCCGCCAATGTAGATCACAGCCACGCGCTGGTGTTGGCAAAGCACAGGACATGCGGTGAATTCCAGAGATTGTTATGGCTCGGTTATTGTCGTCGTTGCAGCGATTGGACACGGGCCACTACCCGAATGCTTCTCGAGCTAGTAATTATCACGAGCCCAAATCGAGTGCCCACGCAATGCTCGGGTCCAATCTATGAACAGCATTCAAATATCGTCATATGGGTGTACTGCGATCCCCACGTTACGTCATGAAATTTTGCAAAGGAGAGATTGAATGAAAAATGATCGCTTTTGTCTTTGAAATTACGCCGCAACAAAGGAGTTTCTTGGCCAGTGGCATTGCGTACGAGTATCCTTGACTCCCACTAGTGCCAGTAAGCTCGTGTATAGTGAAAAACATTCCAACTGAATATCGTTGCACAGCTCCTTTAAGGAACCCAGGTTTAAGAGGTCGCAAGCAGTCGCAAGAGTGTGAACGGGCCTTTAGATCACGACGATCAGATTAAAGCTAGAAATATAGAAATTGGGAAACGTCGCGAGGGCACGTTCAGCAAACGCTTGGCAACAACGCCACGAAAACCGGATCCGTCCACAATATCGGTTTGGCAAAACTGCAAGATTTAGAGCCTCGAGATGGAACGCTGACAGTGTGGCTATGGTCAACGTGCACCCAGAGATGAGCGCGAGGATTAGGCCGGAGTGAAAGCAATTGCCCCGTCCCAAAAACCTCCTTATTCCAAAGAGTAAGCAACACTGAGCAGCACCCACCTGTACCCCTCCGCTGGTAGAACAGGATGTACGCGTTGGCGTGGTCCTCTTGGCGTGGCGCCTGCTTGCAGGCTGCCTCGTCGTTGTAGTGGTACCACTCCCCGGACGACCAGTGGCGCGTGTACGCCGTGTAGTGGCCACAGTTCACCCCTGCCGAAGATGTGGAAAGCGCCCCAGTCAGCAAGGCTAGCTAGAGTGCTAAGCTCCGTTACACTCTATGCCGACAATGCGGTAGCCTGCCGGACCAATCAACTGCCTCCCTTTCGTCGGCCCAGCGCCTCCTGCGGCAAAATTGAATGTACGACTGGTCCAATGGGCAAGTAGCTTCCACCGCACCGTCAGCTTGGGGGTAAACAAAGGGTCCAACGTGCCATTTTTCTGCGGGCGTCGTCGGGAAACGCCGTGGGAACGCTGGTGAAGAAACCAGACAGTCTGTGGGCGTGGCAAATAGTGAAAGAGCTCGGCCGAACTTTTGTTGAGTCGAACGAGAGCATAGGTGAGGTTGTGCCAAACTGATCCGTTCAAAATTAAACATCCGAGCAAAAGGATATGCGTTTGAGATCTCCTCGTCGTTTTGCAGTGCCAAATGTCAGCCTTGGTTTTAAAGAAGACATGAGGCTGACTATGCAATCACAGTTTGCAGAGATTAACAATGTCACACACTACCGTGCTGTGTGGGGGTCAACCCATAACACTCGTGAATATTTCACATCTAAAACTGTGCTTTAGCATCCAGCCCTCTTGCACATGGACAACCAGGGGCCATTGTTCCAAACATGACATTGCCCCTTAAAGTGGAGGAGTGGCCCACCTCCGAAGTGGCAGATGTAGGCGTGCAGGTCGTAGAGACAGGATCCCCCGGGGCAGGGCCCCGATACAAAGGGCCCCAGGTCCAGGCCCTCCAGGGGAAACTCCACACGGTCGTCCACCTTGCTGCCAGAGTACTCGTGAAACACAAACCTGCAACGTGGGAAACGTCAGGATTTTCGGAGTTTTGTGTCTCCGTCCCTTTTTTGTCCCCTCGCTCCAGGGTTGCCAGGTCTATCCTCAACCAGAAAGCCTGCCTACTTGCTTTAAAGTGAACAGTCAAGGGTGTTAAGAGTTGACTGGAGTCGTGCTACAAGCATCCGCGTCGCCGGTACGCCGTGCGACCGAGTTGAAGCATGTGCGCATTGAAGAAGGCATATGCTGAAGTAGCACCCGTTGGCAGGCTATGTTTGTAAAATCTGGTTAGACCAAGGATCCTGGACTCTCCCCCAGTCGCCCAAATTCCACGGCAATCACAGATTTCTCGTTTTGACCGTCAATTCTAATGGGATTCCCAAGCATTTAGTACCATACTTCGATTCACTTTAGGTGCCAGCAAAGCTGAAGCTACAAGCAAGTTTCCCCGAACAGTGCTTGCACTGCACAAGCACACGCACGCTTGGCAGACGTGGAAAGCCCGGAGCTCGCTCTTGTGGCTTCTGCTACCCTCACTTAAAGCGAAACTAAGTTCAGCTACCCTCTTTAGATGTGCCCTGTCCATTTGAAAGCACAGCCCCACCCACGGGTCAACCAACGGGGACTCCTCGTAACCACCGGCCAACAAAACCTGACCGGCATGGCCACCCTAGTGGCACAAAAAATGGGGAGACTTGCCTCTTCAGGTAGACCATGAGGGTGTCGGGGGAGCGCCAGACGGAGAGCGTTTTGCGAGCCCTCTTGTTTCCGCAGCACGTCGGGCAAAACCAGGGGTTCTGCTCGTCCAGCGTCTCGCTGCGAGGGACAGAGGGATTGATTGATTGATTGGGGTTTCATGGCACAAGGGCTGCTAAGGCCAAAATGCGCCAAGAGCGGGAACAGAGTGAGACAGGGCAGTGCTCAGTACAAGTGGCTGCAATTGTTCACAAAACTAAGAGAAATATGGCTAACACCTCTGAATCGGGAACAGGCTAGCCCCTGCCTAGCATGTGCATTGAATTTCGAAAGCTAATGTACGCAGTCAAACTCTGTTGTAATGAAGTCGACGGGAGTCTGAAGCATTTCTGGAATGGAGCGGAGTAAACTGCACATGCAATTAGTGCATTGGCGGTCCCCAGAAAAGGAAAGAGAGCGAGATAAGGTAGGCACGTTAGTTTTGCCGAGATCCGTGGAGGCTGTTTGTCAACTTAAAGGAGCTGTGCAACGATTTTAACGTTGAAAGAATTGGCATTTTCTGCTTTTGATATTGTTCACTGTGTCACAAATGGCAGAAAACACACCTCCTTTCATCGCAATGTTGCGATTCCGCCGCGTAATAGCGAGGCAAAACTTGGAATATTTCCCGACCTGCAGCCACGAGCGGCGGCCATGAGAAACAAGCGGCGTGACGTCACTTGGGTCGTTGTAAGAAAGATAGCAAGTTGTGCGAATACCTGCTCGATAAAAGGTAACTCTTTTTACAAATCTTGTCGTTCCAACGTATATATAAATGCGTCAACACCCTGGTATCATCGACAACTTTTATTATACGGAGTTTTAGTGGCGCCATCTATCCTAGGTCCACAAAACCGCGAACAGCCGCCAAAAGCCGGATGGGGAGGGGAACAGCGCCGGACGGGCAAGGACGGGTGGTCACGCAGTCGGCAGCGGATGAGTTCTCGCTGCTCGCTGATGGCTCTAAAGAGAGAACTTTTCCGGAACTCCGCGCCTACTCTAGTGACGTCACTGTGCACGTGACCCGGAAGACGATGCACGAGTTGAGAGGCGGCAAAAACCTGGATCTTTTTCATTTTTTTAAGTAAAAACTAGGGTATCCAGGCAAAATCTGTTTTCTGTAGTTCACTGCAGAAGTTCACTGCATCAACTTCCACAATTATTTAAGCAAAGCCCTGAAATTGTTGCACAGCTCCTTTAAGTTCTTTATACAGTGCTTGACATGTGTGTGCATTCGCAAAATAAAGCTAGAAAAGACTTAGTATTGACCTTGCCAGTGGTATTTTGCTTCTTTGCATTTATCCAAGCCTGGCCAGTAATTTGGCCATACCGGGACCACTAATGTCTGCGGCTATGCTCTGCAGTTTCAAGGCGGTGAAACGCAAATCAACCTGACAAACTATTCTCTAGAATGTTTATAAGAAATCTACTGTAAAAACTTTCAGCCTTTCCACTCTGGTGAAGAAGGAAGACCAGCGAAGCTGACTATAATGGGACGACCTGAAGCACGACTTCTTGGATGACCTCAAGGACGAAGTCTAGGATGACCTCAGGGACAAAGTCTAGGATGACCTCTCAGGGACAAAGTCTAGGATGACCTCAGGGACAAAGTCTAGGATGACCTCAGGGACAACTTCTACGACGACCTCAAGGACAACGTCTACGACGACCTCAAGGATGACTTCTATGACAACCTCAAGAACGACTTCTATGACAACCTCAAGAACGACTTCTATGACAACCCCAAGAACGACCTCTCGGACAACCTCAAGGATGACGTCGAGGACGACCTCGAGGACGACGTCTAGAGAAATTCAGCCTTTCCACTCTGGTGAAAACCAGGGTGGAGAGGCTGGAAACGTTGCCGCCATCTATGAGCGAGGCCGGCAAGCCGGTTGTCTGGTTGCCGCCGTCGCTCATAGATGGCGGTAGCTGTCCAGAGTTTTGTGTCGACATTTCTTTGCGGGGGACACAATCCTCGGGAAACTAGCCCTTAACAGCTCGGCTGTAAATAATACAGGCAGGCATAAATCTGTGCACAGAGAAATCCACAAGCAGACATATCAAAGGCAACTTTAGGAAGAATATATAGACGCTTTACACACGCGCCAAATTACAGCCGCCATTGCTGACCTTCTTTTGTCTTTCCCAGATGCCGAGCCACTAAAGCGGGCGTTGACAAGCCTCCAGAAAGGCCAATGCTGTGGAGAAGGACACTGTAGAAACTAAAATGGCAATACCTTCCCCGTTATGGTAACGATGAAGTGAAGTAAATGTAATAAGAGGAAACAAGAACTGAAGGTCGGTTATGGTGGCGCCCATGCACAACTGCTGCAAAGCGTCTATAAACTTGGCTGAGTTGGTGATGCACATCGAAAACAAAACCGCGCAAAAAATACGAGGGAACAGGCGAAACAATGCGGAGGGCAAGTTTGTCTGCTTCTTTGCAGGGGTTGCGACACTGATCTCTATGTCTATTTGCTGGATCGCGTTTGACCAGCTCCGCCTACGGACAGGAACGCGGCCATGGTCGGCCATCTTTATGGTAGAGTTATATCATCTCTAGCCATCATAGTAATATGGCGGACAGCGCAATGGCGGCAGGCTGCCATAAAATAGCCATGGATCTAGTACTCTGTATCGTGGGTGATATTTTGTGCTTGATTGAAGTTGTTCGACGAAGCAGATTCTTGAAACCCGGCGTGAACGGTAGCCTCATCTTTGAGGACCTGGCGAAAGCTCTACGAAAGCGCAGCACCAGGTGTAAAGCAGCGCCGCTCGCATCGAGAGCAGACTCCGTACCGGCGTTTGCTTTTGATGCGTGCTGTGCTGCTTTTCCCCGGTGCTGCGATTTCGTGAAACTTTCACCGGGTCCTCAAAGATCGGGCTACCATTCACGCTGGGTTTCAAAAACATGTTTCGTCAAACAATTTCACTCAAGCACGAAATATCACCCACGCTACTATTTTGATGGCAGCCGGCCACACAACTGCTATAACGCTGTCTGCCATGGATGGATGATAGTGGCTGCAGCAGCTGTACCTTGGCTAGAGGTAATATAACTCTACTAAAAAGATGGTCGCCAGTGGCCGCATTCGCGGAGCGGGCAAACGCGATCCAGCAATTGTCATAGAGATCAGTGGGTTGCGATAATGTTGGAACGCCGAGCTCTTATTGGCTTGTTGAAAAAAAATAGTGGGTGCACGTGAAGGCATCTAACATTGAGGTCTACTCACTATCCTTTCAATCAAAGCCAATCAGAACTCAGCATCAATCCGACGTCACCGCAACTCCTGTGCTAGAAGCAGACAACTTTCTCTCCGCATCAATGCGCGGTGCCCGGTGTGTCCATTTTTCTTCGCCTCAAAGCCCCACGGCTGCCACGAGGAGTAAAGGGCTCGGTGCCGTTGTCTCTCCCTCACCTCTCACTGAACGCCCTGAGGCAGTCGTAGAGGGTGAGTGCCCCCCCGCTCCCAGAGGGCCTCAGCTTCCCCATGGAGGAGTGGTCCACGACAGGCAGGGAGGGGCCGCCATGCTCCGCCTCCGGTCCCGCCTCCAGGGGCGGGGCTTCGTCGGGAGGTCGGCGCAGCGCCAGGCAGTCTCCCGGCTGCAGGCACACCTCCCCTGCACGCGCCACCTCGCACCCGGGGCAACGGCCCGGACACCGCGAACACCGGCGCCCTGATGAGTCCACTAGGCACAGCCAGTAGCACGCACCTGTCGGGGAGCGCATGAAATGAAGGAGGGATCGAGGAACCTTGGCAACCACTTGTCGCGAGAAGTTCCAGAGCAGCGGCCAATGTCTCGGGGCTGCGTCCACGCTATACCAACATACAACAGTACGAGGCTGTTCTTTTCAAGTTTGTTTCAGAAGACAGATCAAACTTGGCTTTTCCGAGTCCTTGGATGTATATGATTTCTTCGATAGATAACTATAGTCGGCGACAGGTTAAAAGTTCAGTAGATGCTCTATCTCCAGCTTGAATTTTCTTTCTGCCAATGATAACACTTTGTCGTCTGCACAGCCAAAGTGCAGAGGAGGGCAATGAGTGCATGCCGGAGGTGGAGCTTCGGCCAAATTCATAGCCCGACGGCGACTTTAATTTTGCGCGATTCTGAGGGAATACAACACTGCCCAGAAGACAAGCCCGTGATGTGCTTCTCTCCTACTTCATCGACAGTAGATCCACGACCTGCCCCACGCGGCAAGCACGCCGAAACTCGACAAGGATGTGTGACAACGCGGCAGACGCTCTCGCCACGCACTCATTGCAAGACACCGCGTGATGTGCTTGCAAGATAGCCAGCGCCGAGTGGATCAGTTAGTGATGACGTCGGAAGAGAAAAGGCGCAGGCACTGTCTTCTAGGTAATATCCGACACAATCCCTCCAATCTTGCACTTCGACAATCAGATGCCCAACCCTCCAACATAACGCAGCTCGAATTTAAGGTTCCCGTCGTTCGCACGCTCCACCATCATTAGACACACAAACCCTCTCCTTCACCCCAGATTGGGCCCCGGGAAAGTTCAGAGGTTGACTCGAAGGCCGCTCCGTCACGCACCTGGGGGCAGGTGGGCGCCGGCCGCCGCGTACAGGTCTCCGGCTTGGCTGTGGCAGGCCACCCTAAGCAGTGCGGGGAGCCTCCAGGGGGCGCTGCCCTCTTGGCAGAACAGCAGGGCAACCGTCACGGGCCTGGAACCCAACGGTGACGGCGTTGACCGTAAGGAGCGAGCGAGGCAACCAGGAATCGGGATTCTGCAACGACCCCTCGCAGTCTTTCGTGCTTTTTTTTTTTTTTTTTTTCCAGACGTGGCAACATTATTTATTGCCACTTCGGGACGATTTTTAATGCACGGGTGGAACGGGGTGGTAAACACGCCAGTCAGAGGCGAGTTTCAAGCACCGTAGCATCGTACCGAATGCCTCGCCCGTTCGAGATCGAAATTATGCGCTCGCGCAGCAACACTTGCGGTGCAGGAGGGTGGGTGGGAGCTTTAGCCATTGCGTGCCCATTCTACCAAAAATTAGGGTTGCGTTTGGTAGCCCTTGAAAGCGTGTGCAGCCGACGTTTGCACAAGCTTTGCGGGGTAGTTCCCTAGTAGTGAAAGAGGATGCAACGCAATGTTTCCAAGGAAAGCAGTCATTGGGCAATGGTATTTATAATGGCCCGTTTTTCTGGTGCTGGCATGTTAATTTAGTCTGGAAACAAAAATGCTTTGGCTACAGCGATGCAAATTTCTGACAGCATTCGTCAGGAGTTCTGCGAGCAAATAAAATTACTTTTAACAAATGCAACATTAATTAAAAAAAAGAAAAAAAAAAGAAGAGGTTTTGTTTTTGTAAAAGATGTAGAAGCTAAAAAAAAAGCTACCTCGACCTGAACTTGTGGTCACTCATCCTGGTCACGGGTATAAACTCATCTTCAGCTTTCACGGGCAAGTTACAGACCTGCACGAAGGAAACACAGTCAGTCAAGTTTCAGCAGCCACAAATTCCTATTTCTAAGAAAAAAAAAATAGTGATGTCTCACCGGACATATTAATGAATCACTCCCATAGTGCTTGCAAGAAATCTGAAAAGGAAAAGAAGCTGTTACGTTTCACACGATACCCAGTGGCACTGCAGATATCATCCTCTTCATTCATAAACAGAAAGTTGCGGGAAATTAAAAGTTTGGCTGTGGGGCTTGAAAGTTGAAATTATCGAAAAGCTCGGAAGTTTCTTCAAAAATAAAACAATTCAAAAATATGTTCTAGAAGTATAATACAGCGGGTAAAAAAGAGTATGGCTGAAACAGTGAAGCAAGACCCGACACTCTCCTCTTCAGCCCAGTTGCACTCGAAGGCACGGAAGTATACAGTGGAACTCGACTCGCGAATAATTCAAAGTAACACGCAGGTCCTGTCCTATGTGTTTGTAGGAAGGAAACTCCCGGTAATTCAAACCTTACATTATTCAAACAAAGTTCTGATCCCCCTCGGGTTAAAATTAAGGAGATTCCATTATATACCTTCTTCACAAGGGCGCCGCCGTCTTGAAATATTGACCCGTCCAATATGGGAGAAAACATTTCTTTTGTCGTCTCCGTGCCAATAGAATACATTTAGAATATAAGCGTAACTGTCACCCATTCTCATCTTGTCTCTCCTCTATTATTTTACTATTTGCAGGTTGAAATGTTTTATTAGTTTTTCGTCGCCCACAACGGATATGCCTACCGGGTGGCTGGGGATGAGAGTAAGCGAAAAAGGTCTATGGGTTCAGTTTCCCGGAGTGGCAAAATGCTATGACGCGTCTCCTTTACTGCGCATCACCGTGCACGCTAGCCACAACCCGATACGAAGGACTCGGGTACCATCCATTCATCCATTCACACACGTAGCGGGCTTGTCTTTAAAATCCAAACGGGGGCTTTTCTCGCTCACCTCGACGCAGTTGCGGCAGAGCAGGCAGCGGCACGAAGGGTGCACATGCAGGTGGTCGTCCGCCATGTCCTCCAGGCAGATGGCGCACGAGTGCCAGGCACGGTGCGGGGGCAGGCCCAGTGCGGGCTCCGTCCCCTGGCTGGCTCCGGGCCCCGTCCCTCCCTCCTCCCCCTCGCAGGGGGGCGGGTCCTCGGGGGGACCCAGGGCAAAGGCATACACTGCACGGTCGTTGTCTCCGACGCAACGGACCGCCATGTCGCCGTCCTGACGCGGAGCACAGAGACAATCGCCGGTCAGAGAGTGCCAGGCACGCACAAAATACGAAAATTATTTCTTACGCCTTATTCTTTTATCGTGAGCTCGAAATAATTTTAACAAAGTTACAAGGAGCCATTTCCTGTAAACGGTAGATAGGTTTGATATTGCAAATACTGACTGCCCAATAGGCGATGCTAGTGCATTCTCTCGTTGCTAGCGTTTACACGCGGTTGCCATGCAGTCGGTCACACTTGAGGAGAATTGCTACCCTAAAATTACATATTTTTAGAAAAAACATACTTCCCTAATGTATTGTGGCTCCACAACTAACAGTGGATACTAGTGCAAATTTTTATTGCAATATCTGAACTATCTACGGAGGAACAAAACATTTTCAATCAGCCGACGATGCAAAATCGTACATTCTGCAAATGTGAACAATTCATGTTTCCTATTTCCTAAGTGCTGTACCTCTGCATTGGTACGCCCTAGAACGATGATCACACTCTCGTTGGAAAGAGCATTTCTTCGCAGTTTCAGTACATTAAACGTCTTTGTTCGAGAGTAAACACTATTTGGGCAAGAACGTCGTAGGAGTCCAGCTTTCACGTGGAAGAGGCTATGCACATGGACAAGAATCTAAAAGCTTGTCCTGATTGAACAGAAAACAAACTAAAACCGACATTCAATTACAAAAAGTAGCATAGTTTCGTCTGCTTTGCTTCTTGATGATGCTTGCCCCACCCACAATTGCCGTGGCTGGTTAGTGTATTGCAAGCATGTCCGATTCCTCACTAGTTTCATGATCAATGTCCACATGCTGACAACAAAATGACACTCGAAGAAAGCTATCAAGGCTCGGACTCTCTCGGCAAAGCCATGCAGGAGATTGGGTGTAAGCAGAAGGCACCACCTATGCTCTTGGTGCCTTCAGTTTCTACCACCACCTGTAAAATCAAATGTGATGTTGAAACTTCAAACAGGTTTTTCCTCAGTTTTACTTTTTTGCAGCAACTTTCAGTTTAGGAAATCAATCATTTCAATAAATTGCCCAATTTATTCTTCGCTATGGATGTTTCTAAACTGAACTTTAATAAGGAATGTGGCTGGATATTTATTTTTCTAGTGTAAAAGAATAGATAGCCACACTTCCCATATGTTCTAGTTGAACCTGAACCTTAGAAATGCTCAATGTTTTTAAAGCAATTTTATATGATAGATTTCCTCTTTAACTGAGGAGACTTACATCAATGGCTGTAAACCTCCTCCTATAGCTTATCGGAAAATTGTCCTACAGAGATGGAACTTCATGCAGTGAGTTTAGGTAAGGATTTAAATAGACCCTCAAAATTTCATCAATATTGAGTGACTGGTTTAAAAGTTGACACTTGAAGGTGGTGTCACCCCTTAAACCCAATTGTGTGAACTAGTAGTTTGAGCCTTTTGTATAATAAGCACAGAGAACACGACAACAGAAAAGACGCCACAAGTGCTTTGATAAGCATGCTCTTGGTGCTACAATTTCCGTGTTGCGCGATAACCAGCTCCGTTAACCGCTTTATTTATCACTCTAGTTTCTTCCTCCTTCCAAGGAGCACTCGCGCCCGAACGCGCGAGCGAGCAAGCAACGGGCCCAAGAACTCACCAGCACCCTGTGGACGAGGCAGTCTGCCACCTCGGCCAGGGCCACCCCGTGGGGCGGCTTCTCCTCCATCATCTCCTCCAGGGCCTGGCTAAGCCGGGACACCCTCTCCTGCTTAGGCACCCGCACCAGGTAGCGGGTGGGCACTCCGGCACCCAGGGGTACGTACGTCACCACTGGAACGACCACCCACCGCCATTCACGTGCCACGTCGGCGGAAAACAGTTTCTTGACTCGTCTTTCGAAGTGAATTCGAGAAGAGAGGCTCTCCCGTCGTCACCTAACCCCACCCCATTTAATCCCTCTTCGCGGCCCCGTTGGCAACGACAGTGCAGTCCTTAGATAGTGAGGCTGCACACTAAAGAGTAATAAAGAGATTGTTGATCAATCTATGAACCGTTCGAGCTCTTGGTCCACATTGTCTCATAAAGTTGGATCTGGGCGTTTTGAACCCTATACTCGGCATTGACTATTCCGTGCTGCATTGTCGAGGCTATTATTGTAGCATCCACGGTGCCACGACCCCGCGCTGCTGCGAGAGCTCATGATTTCATCTTGTGTCCCCCCCCATTTCCACACACTCTCGCGCGAAGGAGACTCCAAACAAAGCCACGCGCTTGCGCAAGTAGCTTTGACTGCGCTAGAGCACTGTGCAAGCTATGCTAACCTAGCAAACATGGCACAAAATAGTTGGCGCCGAGTATAGACTCTCGGACCATGAGAGTGGGAGGTTTTGAGTGATGTTATTTCTGGCACGAAACTTTGCAGGGATTAACAATGCAGGTAAGCTAGTTGCCCTACACCTTCTGTGCACAAAAGATGCACTTGCCAGTTCAGCCTCAGCCTGAAATAGTCATTTGTGTCGCAATCGGTCAGGACGAAACAGCCTAGCCGAGCAAGGAAGAGAAAAGCCGCCTGGTAATCAGTTGCTTCCAAACACGGTCAACTTCAAAGCTCGATTACCACGAAGCAAGGCACGAGCAATCCCCAAACTAAAGGTCCGTCTAACAAGAATGGCTACACGGATACACTGCAACTTGAAGACGGAAAAAAGAAAAATCGAAATGGATACCTTCCACCCTGCTCCACGAGTTCCGTACCCAGTGGTGCTACCGTCATGCTTCGTTTCTTCGGAACTGTCTTTTGAGCCGTACGTAGGCCCATAAACCCAAGAATTTCGAAATTATGCGAGACAGCTGCAGTCCTGCGAGCCCACTCCTCCTCGACTCACCGATCTGCCTCTCCATGGCATGGGGCAGCGGCACGGGCAGGTACATGAAGGGCTCGTAGGTCACCGAGACGTGCCCACACTCGGAACACACTACCTGCAAGTCACAACCGGAGAAGTGCTCATCACGAGCGCCAAGTTCACAGCACACCGTCACAGGTGTCACAAAAACAGGGCTTCTCCCCATTTGTGGCACTTGCGAAATTGCTCGCTCGCATGCAGCAGGGGTACAAAAACATATCTTCAAAAGAAATTTATTTCTCGTCTTACGTGTCCCTACAAAAATTTTATTTTTATTTAATCTCGAGTAGACTGACTCTTGGTGGGTTCTATTAACAAAGATAGTGTGAATCAGCAGGTGTTCTGCATCTGTAACCATAAACATGAAAAAAAAAAAAAGGACAAGCTGATTTCTATTATGTGCAGCTTATCAGTTACTCTCTCCTGCTTCATATTTTTCTAGGCTCCTCAAAAAGAAAATTCTTGCATACTTTCCTATAAGCAACACAAAATATATGAAAGGTTCATCCCCCGTGCGATCAACAATGTCCACATCATTGGATCTTAACATTTTTGCTTCCAGATTCCGGAGACGTCAACTGCAATTACGCGACTTCCCACTCGTCGATAAACCAAAATGCCACCGTAAGTACATCAATTTCCTATGCTGTTCCAACCCATTGCTTGCTTCCTTACAGCCCCCGACAACATGCTGCCATTGCAGGTTCTCAAAAGGCGTTCCCAAGGTAGCCCCATGGGTTCCCTAAGAACTCCCAAACATCCAGTACCGTTCCAGCCCCCAAGTAAAGCCCCCACTGATGCACAACTATGAGCCAAATGCCAGCTAGATTTGTCATTGATGCAGCGGTTCTGCACTGCTTCGCTGCGTCAATGCCAAGTCTATCTAGGAGGGGTTGCTTGGCTGTCAAAAAAAAGTTTCAGGTTCCTCAGGCCAGCACTATAGTCACTGACAAAATGAGAAGAATAAGGAGGAGCTTCAGTTGTTCCACCCCCAGCAGAAACTTCCCACCTTCAACAATGCTTCGCCATCTTGTGCGCCTCGAGCGCACGCGCAAGCAGCCAAAGAATGGAGGAAGGCACGGGGCGCATGCTGCAGGCAGGGCGTTCGCAAGACCCGCCCTGCCATTCCCGCCCTATCAGTAACTAAAACGAGCAAAGAAAGCGAGGAGAAACACTCACTGTGCTCTGGAACTGCCCCTGGAAGGTGTCCACAACGACGGACTGGTTGCGGGCGGCGTACTGGGCCCAGGCCTGCTGGGCGCACAGCTCCTCCCTGGCCCCTCCCAGTAGGCCCTGCCGGGACTCCCAGGGCCCGCAGGAGAGGCGGGGCCTCTTGGGGGAAGAGCCTCCGTCGGGCGATGCACCCCGCACGCGAGCGCCTCCTCCCCCGCATCGCAGGACACGCCCTCCTTCCCGGGGACAGGACACATCCCCTTCCTCCGGGGCACGTGCAACCAGACTGGGGCCCTGAGAGGGAATGGGCAAATACCATCGGATAACAAAATTCGCAGGGTTGCGCATCGTCCGAGTAGAATGCCAATGCGCTCGCAGCTGAACACGAAATCGAGAAGAATCAAATTTTGCCGATGTCCTTCACGAGTTGAGCAGAGAGCTTTCCCACCTTGCTATCCTTGGCGAGGTCTTCGAGGGAGGGCAGCATGCGACGTCGGCCAATGGCGGCCACCGCCACGGCGGCTGTGGTGGCCGGGCTGTCCCCTCCCACAGCTGTCTCCACAACAACTGCACTCTCCTCTGCCTCAGAATACTTGCTCTCGCACAACGGCTGCACCTCCTCGGGGAAGGGACGCAGCCTGGGGTACAAAGGGGCAGAACCTAAGGAGTTGTTCCCTAGATCTTGTATAGGGAAGTGGTTTCATACAAACTAGTCACACTGTTCCCTAGTCTGTTTTCCCGTTTCCACATATAAGGCCCGCTTCAGACGGAACAATTTTCCCAGAGATTTCGGGGTTGCTGGCAAGTTGTTCCCTAGCTTTCCCTAGATCCCCGCACTGCAACACGAATTACTGGGATCGCATCCGGCTCGAAACGGGCGAGCAACCCTGACAACTCTGAGACATTTGAAGCGGCAGCAGTCAATCAGGAATGCTGTATTTTCATGACACTCCTGCAGTGGTGATGACGACTACTAAAGATGGGGTTTAACTTAGTTCTGGTTTGAAATGGATCAATTTCATGACTAAATAATTTTAGGGAGACGAGTTAGCATTCTCAAGGCCATTTACAGATATAAAAGCACGTCTTTGTGCATAATTGTGTTTCTAAATAGTGTAAAACATTAAGATTGAATGACGATGATGCCAAATCGTAGCAATTCAGTTGCTGCGTGTGATTGCCTAGGGCCCGTGTTGCAATGCCAAGACTGAAGCAGGTCCAGCTATCTACCCCTAGAAGTTCTTCTCTAGAAGCCAGCCATAGTTCCCTAAAGCCCAGTAACACTCTTCCCTAAAACTTCTATAGAAGGTTGCTCCAGAGGTGCCAGGAAACAAAGACCTAGACAGAATATATGACAAACTCCACTCATGTAAAACAATAACCAGCCCATTTATTATGAGCTTGCATAGGCTATGAACAGTGCGAGACAGTAGCAAAATGAGGTGCTTTTCGGTGTAGACGCACAACTACAAATGATACAGACCTGAAGCTCAGGTTGTTGTCCCAGGAGCCTGCAGAGTCGCTGCCCTGGGGGGAGCCAGTGTCCTCTACTCCGGGGCTGGTGCAGCCGGCCCGATTTGTTTGTTCATGCAGGGTGTCAAGGAGCAGGGTCAGAAACTCCTGGCAGTCATGCTGGAAAAACCAAAGCTCACTTTAGAAAGCCTCATGCCACCAACACAGAACTTTTCATTTCGGGCACCAGAAATATAAAAAGATTGTAGGGAAAGCTGATTTAAAGCCTCGATTAATTCATACACTAGGAAATAATTCCAAAATGATCCAACCATTCGAAAGTAAAATCACATTGTACAATGATCCAACCAATCTAAAGTAAAACCATTACATGATCCAACCATATTAAAGTAAAATCACTTATAGTTCACTACTCCAAAAATAATAAAGTGGAACATCCTTTCTCAAAAGATTGTAAATTCCGATTTTCTTTTTTGTAACATGTCCCTATTTAGCACACTTGTACAATCGTTTCTCTTTGACCCGAGATGATATAAGGGGGGACAACACCTGGGAATGTCAATTTCTGAACTGCTCACGCACTTGGCGGGGCATTGGCAGGTGGTGTTTGTAGCCGTATAGAAGGAGGGCGTACAAAGTTTCAGCCCTGTGAACCAATCTTAGGAAATACTATACCCACAAAAAGAAGTAGAGCATAGCTTTGCATGGAATCTGCTCAATGAATCTATCGTTGAGAAATGGTGTTGATAACCACATATTTTAATGTTGGAATGAATACTGGAATACCTGTTGCCAGTTCCTATATAAATTTCAGAAAATATGAATTTTTCAAGTAAAAAAAAATTATGAAAACAAATATATATCTTTTTATAAAATTTACTAAGTTTTGCTAATTAAAAGTTTTCTTAATAAAGGATCATCAAATTGCAAAATCTAAGTTCATAGTAACCGGCTCCATAAAATTTTGGCATATAAGCCACAAATATCAAGTCTTTCAATAGTTTCATACAGAAGCAAGTTTTATTAAGGTGGGATTTATGCCAAAAATTAGATGGAAGAAACACAAATTCAAAGGGCCCGAACTTCTACCGTTTCTTTAGCATAAGTGGACTGAAAGTAATTTATAAAGAAATAACTATGCACAGTAAACAAATGAAACTTTCCGAGAATGCTCTCTAGATGTTGGCAGATGTAAATAGGGCATTTTTCAAAATCAACTTTTTCTGTAGAGAATGTTTTTTTTTTTTAAGCAGGGGGGGGGGGGGGGGGGTAGTGACCCCCTTTACACATTAAAAGAAACTTGAAAATTTTTATGCAAGAAATGTTATTTGCACATGCGCGTTGCACATGCATGTGTTTGTTCAATATTGCAAACACAGACTCTGCAGTAGAGCTGTAAGGTAATACAAAAATTAATAGAATCTTAATCCTACGGATGAAGTCGGGGCAGAATGCGCAGTGGCAAGATGGGTATATTTGTCTCCTCGGGATTAACTGATTAGCTAAATTAAGTGTGATGCAAGTCTACTAAATTTAGCTGCCGTGCGACAATTTTTCGTGACACTCTTTTGTAATGTGACGCACTCAATTCGTGGACACCCGCCCTGTAACACTCTGTGTGAACGAAGAAATCGGCAGCGTGGGTTAGCTCTTGACCTCGCCCCTAAACCTTCAGTCTCGAGTTCCGGCCGCGTCACCCTCACCCCCCAGGCCCACCTGTCTGCAGTCCCTGAACTGCGGGCAGGAGGCCCCCAGGGCCTCCTTGAAGAGGGCCGGCCGCAGGCAGGCGTAGGCCCCGCTCCACACCTGGCCCACAAGGGAGGCCAGGCGAGCCGTGAGAGAGTCCCGGCCCACCCCCGCCCGGGCCCCTTCCCCGCCGGGCAGGAAGAAGCGCACCAGCGGGCCGTTGCTCAGCAGGCACTGCAGCCCCGCGTTCATGAAGCACGTGTTGCCCAGGTTGCGCAGGCCGCACACCCCAGGCAGCGAGGACTCCGGCGCTGGAAGGCGGTCGGGGCGGGGCACGTCAGACAGGGCCTCGCAAAGCGCCGCCTTCCCCGCTGCCGCTGCACGGGACGACCCCGCCCCGGTCAATTTTGGCCACCCCAACACAGATGCAGCGCAATACGTTCGCAACGATAACTAGAAAAGCCCAAAAAATGTGATCGTTTTAACCGATTATCGTTGTATCTGGACTAGAAACTCAAGAAACCGATCAGTATAAGCAGCACATTGTTATAAGCGCGCTACCACGGTGCCTATGGAACGTGTCTTCGACTGGTACGTTTACCGCATTAAAAGAAGTGTAGATTTCCGTCCGATGACTTCAAAGAAGTGTCGCATGCCTGTTCTGGCGCAGGTTGCCCTCTTGCGTGACAGTCCACAAAAGCTTCGGCAGCCACGAGTTGGACGCCGTGACCACGGCAACACGTGCGTTTACTCGCGATTTTTGCAGGTACCGCGTCTACGGCCAACCCCCCAGGATTGCGACGTCCGACGGCGCGACACTCGGGCCTTTGCGACGTCATTCTTTTGGCACTTCGGGACCACTTTTGGTGCACGGGCAGGATAGGGCCCTAAACACGCCAGTCAGAGATCCGTTCCAGGAGTGCTACGGACGGGGACCAGCCCCTGACAAGATGGGAACGGCAAGGAGGTCTTTCGACTGCTTCGCCCGCCTGCATTCAAACTTTGCCGTCTCCCGAGCCTTGAGCACACGGTCAAAGCGCTGCGGAGGAAAACGAGTGCGTGCTAGATGCCGGGCATCCGGGAGAGACGCCGCATCGTTCTCGTCCCGTTAAAACAACTACAGAAACGAACGGCTCGTCTGCTTCTCCTCTTCTACTCGTTTTTATTTGTGGCACTACTTGCATTCTTGCAATGTTTACCTAAGTACCCAAACCGACCGTTCTGAATGACTTGAATTTTAAGAGCTGGTTCGGGCTTTTATGTCCAGCGTGATGCATTTCGTTGCTACACTTTGAATGTGACAGGTGACCCTCAGTTGTTATAGCGACCCGGCATGGTACCTCGTCATGACCAGTCGTAATGCAGTCAGCCGTACTCGAAACACAAATGTCTGAACTAGCCGTAATGAGTGGCAGTAAAAATTGAGCACCGAAATATCCTCGCACGGACAGCCGAAAAATTCCATTCCCAATGTTTGAGCATGCACGAAGGTGGTAGTCTCTGAACTCGTATGAAAAGGACATCCTTTAGATACCTAAAAATGTCCCGCACAGGAGTCCACCGTGTATGAACAAGATAACGATCGCATTTCTCTCGTTGGCATTAACTACAAATAGATGGCCAAGGCATCAAAAACAAGGGGACACCGTCAGGTTGTTCGTAATGCCAAAGGCTGTTTATAATGCCAAAAGCGGTTCATAATTTCAAAGGCGTGCACTTCAAGAGATCCTTCAAAGCAGCGGCGCAAGCTCCGTCACCAATATTGTTCTACGAAAATATGACCCACTAAAACTCCCGAATGTCAGTGTTGGACACTGTTCAAACCGGTACACCAAACACCACAAAAAGAAGCTTCCAAAGAAGGCCACCAACAGTTTCTTCCACTTTACACAAGAGCGAAGCAAAACCTAAGAGTATGAGCACGTTGCTCCTAAACAAAGCTTCCACCAAATAATTTTTGCACTGCACAAGCATGCATGATTGGCAGGGGCGCCAAAAGTTTAGAGCTCGCTCTTGTAGCTTCTACTACTCTCGAACTCAAAGAAAAAATGAAAGTATAGCACCAATTCCGAAAATCTTGCATACACAAAAGCCATGACTAAAGGACTGACCAAATAGGACACAGTAGACACAGAGCACGGCATTTGCTGTACCGGAAGGGCAGGTTTCTAGGTTTTCCTCCGGTTCTATTTGCTTCAAGACATTTTTTTAGCTGGGGGGAAAACTATTTTTGCTTCTGTCCTTGGACAGAGGCTGCGAGTGCACTCAACGCGAGGGTCCGGACAGCCAACCACACGCTCTGCTGGCCGTCGTCAAGACCTCCACTGTTGTTATCGGACCCCAATCTCCCAAAAACAAGAAAGGGTAAGAGACGACAGCGAGGAGGCAAGCCATTTGTGTGGTTGATGTCGTCACTAAAAACAAATGCACACACTTTTAGAAGCGCGCAGATTTTCTATTTGCCGTGCTCCATTTACACAACCCTTTAGAAAACAAGAGGTTGGAGCTGCGACGAGAGAGAGACCTCGAAAAAGGGGCCCACCCTTGACGTCGTGCAGCAGCTCGTCCGAGGCCGTGAAGAGGGCCGAGTGCACCGGGGAGGAGAAAGGCGGGGGCGGTGCCACCAGGTCTGGGCCCCCCATGCGGGCCCCCCCCTCCTGCTCAGGGGGCCAGGGCTCGGGCAGGCCCATCTCCTCGCTCCCGCTGCTGCTGCTGGCGGGGCCGCTCAGGGGCAGGTCCGCCCCCCGCTCCGTCTCAGGCGACAGGCTGCTGCTCGTCCGCAGAGGCCGAGACGAGAGAGACAACAGGTGTAAGGGGTCAAGGAAATGCAACGGATCGAGTGATACTGCGACATACCGAGCAAGCGCCCACCCAAAAATTAAAGATAACCTAGAAAAAAAACAGCCTCTCTTAGATTTTTGTCAAATGCAAAAAAGGCAATGCCTTGCGCGTTTCTGCGCCCTTGAATTAGGGCTAGACTCAACTTTTGTCGATGTCTGGGCTCCACCCGTACCAGTCGCCAGCAAGAAAAAAGAAACCGACGTCTTTAAAAGTGACTCTTCCATTGCCTGCCATACATCTCTGCGGAATGTACCTTCAAATTCATTCTCAAATAAAAGATATTGTGGGCCTGCACGTTAGAGCAGGGGTTCTCAAATTTTTTTAATCTCGAGGAATGCCTTTCTTTTTTTGACGAGTAATCGAGGACCTCCTCCTAGTCTCGGCAATGGTGCAGTAAAGCAGCCCAGAAGCTTGCAGACCTTGTAGCAATAAGGTACATCCTAGGGAATGTGTGGCACATAGTCACGCATAAATGGATGGCTCGGATCTTATCAAATAACGCTTGAACAGGAAGAACACTTTACTTTGGGGCAGGGATGGCCGAGCGAGTTTTGGGAGCTTAGGGAACCCCCAGGGGTACTCTGGGGAACTCCTGGCTAACCCAGTTTGAGGACCCAGGATTTAGAGCATATAACACTGAAACGGTCCATCTCGCGCAAAGCCCGGAGCCCCATTACCCTTCTTTCCTGCCATGCGGGCGAGTAGGGTGACGCGGCGTCACCAGTGGCGTTCGTCCCTCACCAGAAGAGTGGTCGCAACCGGATGCATTCAATGAGGGCCTTGGAGGAGACGGCGGAGGAAGGCTCGCACGAGATCAGGCTGTCGCTGGAGGCTGACGTCGACGGGACAGACAAGTCCATACCTGGACCAATGAAAAAAACGAATGAGGTTTTATTTTAAAAAAAAAGCAAGAAAAGTTCAATTTGTGGTATGGAGATTTAAAGTCGGAAGTTAAAGAGGCACTAATGTGGTTTCTGAGATTGTCTATTTATGGTCATAACTCAATCTATGGGCATACATACATTTAAGCACCAAAACAATTTGGCGGGAAAAAATAAAAAAACAACATCAGATCGCCCAACAGACAATTGCGAATGATTGCTTTTCACATGGCAGCCTACCAACGGCAGACTGATTTTTGAATGTGTGCAATTCGGGCGCAGGAAGAGATTGCTTGCGATTGGCTGTTACACGTCCGATGGCACCCCCTGGCTTCTACGCCATTTGTGAAAGGAAAATTGAATGCGCATCACTCTAATCTCGGGATTTTTGGAATTCTTAGAGGTCGTAGATTGAGTTATGACCATAAATAGACAATATCAGAAACTACTTTAGTGCCCTTTCAAGGCTGGTTCACACGGGCTCTTTATAATAGTTTTACGTCTGCCCTTCGGGACAAGAAAGCCGTGCAAAGTAAGAACTGCAGGAGCATATGACTGTGAGGACTGCCCTTCAAATTGTTTTCCCCTTTCTTTTCTACCAGAATAGTTGATTACTTTGGATGCATGTATGTGGTTAATGCCAGGTATGTAAAGGACCTTGCAAGCTTCAGCTCTCCTTACTCAATTAAAGTAGAAAAAGAAAGCAATGAGAGTGTAAGAAGTTTGCAATTACAAAAAGAAATCTGCTTTCCCACAACAAAAAAAAAATCCTCAAACATAAGGGAAGGATATATTTGAGCACCATCTATTTAAAAGTGAAAATGCAAATCACCCTTCAACAGGAAAGTGAACAAAGGATAGAACACCAGTAACGAAAGGAATATTCAGATGTAGTAACACCCTAACTGTTATCCAAGCCTCAACATTACATCTCCAGGTCAGTGCCCATAATTCCGACTTCAAAAAGTAATATATCTTTGTCGGTGTAGGGTGAAACGTACGGAAAAAGTATGTCAAGTGCAAAGTAACTGAGAGACCTAATATTTCAAATAAAGCAAAAAAAAAAAAAAAAAAGAATTGAAGAAATGCACCTCAACAGACTTTCAAAGCAAAGTATTTTTTTAAACAGTTTTTGTTGGTACTATCTCATTCCCACCAAACATGTTCAATAAAAAAAATTAGTGCATTATATTTAGTTGCTAAAAAATGTCAGCATTTGGGTAGGGAAGCAAAAACTTGCTATAATTAATCAAGTGGTTCATTCGACTGAGGAGATATTGGTGGTTTACATCGCAAAGTAACTAATGTTCCGAGAGGGACAGCATAGCACCCTCAGAGCGCCGCAAGTGACCATGTTGCTCGGGCCCCAAAGCGGGACGCATATGGGAAGGGATTATTGTGCTGCGAGACTTGATGAAGTTTAAATTTGGTAACAAATCGGATCTTTTTATTATTTTGTATACACCGTCCACATTGCTTTTTCTTGCCATTTGCATACTGTTTGGCATGCACATCTAATACATTGGGTTGGAATATTTCTTTAGTATAGTACTTATTTTTGTAGATTCTATGTCCATAGTACTGTTCAGATGTCATATGCAAATTAACCTTCAGCTTCATCATCTTCTCTGCCAAGCATATTTTGTACCTTCATCAGGGAAAGCAATTTCTCACTGGTGCAATATTTTCATTTAACCGCACATTTTTTTTTTTTTTAAATTCGGGGTTTGGGGCAGCTGAAGCGGGACAAGACGTCCCACAAGCACGCTGGAGGGACAGCAAGACCATGGCCGGAAAAGCGGGACCTGTCCTGCCTAAATCGGGACGTCTGGTCACTTGAGCCATAAGGGAATCTTGATGATATGGAAGGGGCCCTGTTTCATCTCTTCACACACAAAATTTCAGAAACAGACTTTGACAGCCACCACTGAAGTTTTCTTGGAACACTCCAGAATGCACTTTAGCTAAAGCAAAGGCATGCTTCTCAAAAAACATACATAGCAAAAAAATAAATAAAAAAAGCCAAGGTTCATTTGTTTTAAAGATTGATTTCTCTACTGCCGATTTTTGTTGTATTTTTTTAACCTACTTTCACGGCTTCGTGTTGTGACCGCCAAGGGCTGTGAATATCTGATTTGCTCTGAAAGGCTAGAGAGTGAACCTGCCGCCACAACTTTCTATTCTAGCCGCTTAGTGCCGTCGATTTCGCTGGATTCGCCAATATCTAGAACTTGCTATGTACCTCGAATCATCCATTAATATGCTATCCATTTAGGACATGCTACCTCTCCAGATCTGAAATCAGGCATAAAAGGTGAGCTGAAATTAAAAAATTTTCTATGCATTAATGACAGAAAATGTTAAAAGGAGTCACCAAGTTCTAAAGCAATAAAAAAAAACAAAAAAAACGACCAGTTAGCTAGGATGCTGCAATGTACGACGAAGCATGGGAAGAGTGTCAGAGGAACTACAAAGCTAACTAATTGACTGCTTTCTCCTTAAAGCTATCTCCTCTCTCTCAGTTTCTACGAGGATAAACGCTGGGAGGAGTAAAGCCAAGGTATTCTGGAAATGTAGTAGTAAGATTGGGCAGCTAAAAAAACTGCCCGAGGTCCCGCTTGAAAACCTGCTGCAGCAAATGACATTCCACAGCTGGAAAAAAGCTTGGGCCATGATTATGTGGCAGTACACAAAGGCTTGTGCAGGCTATCTTTGTACTGTAATTAGCACGTAAAAATAGGTAAAAGCCATACTAAGATTAAAAATAATAGATACATACTTTCCACACTTCGTTCAGTTTATGCGAGGTGCTAATGTTCCACGAGTGATGTATGGTGCCAGGAAATTACTCACTTCTTATCTACGCGCATTTAATTTACTCCCGCTAGCACTTTATGAGTATAAATAGCTTGCATAAACATTAATTTGTCAATGTTTGTGATGGCTTTTCTGTTACACGTATAAAAAGTTAAGAGTACTCTGAGGCAATCAATGAGTAGCAGTAACGTGGAATGGCATAAGCTATTATGTAGTTACAGCGAATGAGAGCAGCTTGAAATGATTATGATAGAGCAGGGCCGTACCCAGAAAAAAATTTCGGGGGGGGTTTTCGGGGACAACGGCGGCCATTTTGAAAGTGTCTATTGTCTTATTTTCGCCTATGAATCATGTGCATCGGTGGCATATAATGGAGAGTTACAGCAAACCGGAGAACCGGTTCCGGTTTGGTACCCGGTGGCCGACCGGCGCCACTGCGCGTGCGCAGAGGTGGAGATTAAAATCGGCTGGCTGCCAGTGCACCGACCAGGGCCGTACCCAGAAAAAAATTTCGGGGGGGGGGTCAGAACCCCCTAACCCCCCCCCTGGTTACGGCCCTGCTAGAGCACTACATCAACGCAGTTTAAAGCCCCAGGTAGGGATATTAATAGCACCCCATTCAGAGGGCGGTGATTAGTTTTAGTGGTGTATACTTAATGTCAGTGCCACGGTCTGTTGCCACAATCAGTCTTCGCTGAAGTAAGATTCCTGCTGCGTGCTGAGCAACATGTTGCCAAGAAAAACGATTTCGACATCCCAGGGTCACAAATTTACAGAAGCCGCGATGTGTGTTGACGGCTATTTTTAAACAACCGCAGTGTCGCAAGCGAGGGGAAGCTGTGCCCGATAGATCGCACTACATTCACAGCTGTCAAGATCAGAGTATGTCGGTCCACATCCAAATCACGATAACGACATACTTTGGTCGGTACAAATTAAGCTTCTTTTGGCGGCCTCTCCAACAAAACCATCTCTCTGGTTTTTGCCTAACGACAAGCCCTTCCATTTTCTTACGTAAAACGCTCTTTCATAAGGGACGTTGAAAAGGGAGGACACAACTTGGACGGTCGATAGCTTTCATAACCGCAAGCTTTCACAGCTCCAACCCTCACGCGACAAGAAAAACTATGACGCGTTGAGCAGCGTCATTCCCAGACGAACGGCACAACACACACACGCAAAAAAAAAAAAAAAAGAACCTAATTGAAAACCACGCGTGTAATCCAGTTCAGGTATACATTGTGTCAGCGAACTAACTGCGTTCTCGGCCAAAGCGTGCGGTATCCGAAACGCAGTCCACAGCTGACGACTCGCGCCCTCGAAACCGCACGGCCGTTAAGAAAAAAACGAGAAATGAGGCAAGATTTACAAGGTTGGAAACAGGAAAACAAAGACGTAAGGAAGACGCACCTAGAAACCACGACGTTCGAAGGCCAACAACGCCAGCCGCGAGTGCCTTGGCTTCCACCAGAGACTTCGCACGCGGAAAACGACAGACCCCAGTGTTTTTCGAACGTCGACGTTCGAGCTAGCCAAACTCAGCAGCGACAACGTAGCGATTCGGCGCCCTGTATTTACATTGTGTTCTCTGACAAGCAACACGACGGCGGAACCGCACCGGTGCAATGAACTGGCGGTAGGGGGGCCGCCGGGCGGGCGGGCGGGTGCTCTCGGTCGCGCCGGCCAGGGGAATAATAGCGTTCTCGCACCTAGGCCTACCAAAAGCGTCAACCGCTGCCCTGCCGGCCGCAGTCGGCTCACTTACCATTAAAAGAGGCTACCTAGATGACGGCTCGCTGCTCCCGGATCCCGCATCAGATCAGTTGTCGTGGGAAATCACCGCGACGCCGGGGAAAATACGGCTACAACGCTCGCTAAGAACACACACAAACAGAAGCGCGCCTTTCATTCCACCGCGTACTCTTCTCCTCGGGTCGGTGTCTCGCACGGCTGAACCGAAGAGGCGATTCGTGCCGAAGAAAACCAAACACCAAACTTGTAAATGAATGAGCAAAATTAGTCAAAATGAGCCATAGCGTATTTAGATAAATTGTAAAAAAAAAGGAAACTAATCGCGTAGTTTTGGTTTATTTTAAGTAACTATTTGTCTCGCCCACTTTTTTGTGTAGCACTTCGCATAGAGAGGTTCGCGACGCTCGTGACGATGAAGGAGGATGAAGGCTGCCATTAGCAAACTCAACAGTTTTATGGTCACGTGACACATATGTGACACATGACACATGTGTGGGTTGTTTTGTATCTTGGGAGTGTCTGCTCCGACGGCCGTCGCTCGAGCCATGTCCACACGGAGACGGCTCCTTCGACACCGGAAGTAGTAAAACGTCATTTCCGGTGTCAAAGTAGCTTGCCCTGTCTGGGCATAGCCAGCATAGCTCCTTCGACACCGGTAGTGTATCTTTTGCGCGTGTTCCATCCGGTTCGAAATGTGTGCTACAAAGGAGTTTATCTGTAGAGTGTGGTTGGGAAAAAGTTCCGTGAGTAGTTAAAGGCTGTTTGAGAAATAAACCAGTTAGCTGAGTTTGAGACGTATTTGTGTCTGTTCCTTCTACTGAAAGTTCTTCCGATTTCTTCCACCGCATGATTAGCTACCACCAGCTCGCCTGCACTCTCACCGTCTTTTCACATAAAAGCGAATGACGTGCTGTTATGGGATGTAGTATACAGATGGCGGTGCTAATGATGAGCGACATCTTTCATCCACCGAAGCTACGATGGCTACGATTCTTTTTCTGCTTGATCAATCAAAGCATCCGGTGTTGCCATGACAACCTCCTTGGGCCATGGTGTGGCATCCGGCGCCCGTGCCGCCGCTGCCGCCGCCGCTCGTGCCGTGCGCTGCTGTTCGGGCGCTTGGGTACGTTTGGGTGTTTGGTCGGTTTGGTCGTTTGGTCGCTGATCTTGCCTTGGATCTTGCGCCTTGCGCTCCTTGCTCGTTCTTCCACCGTATTCTAGAACCACCACAGTGTCGCCGAACCGTCGCTTGTGATCTACTCGCTGATCGAGCGGCCAAGCATCTCGCTGGACATGAGAAAAAATGCGGCCGACGCTTCATCGCCTCCCCGGTACGCAGTCCAACATCGAACCGCCCTTCCTTCGAAACCGAAACAGCTCGATCCGTACTCGCACGTCGGCTCATCGCCGTCCCATGCCTGAAAGAAAAAAAATAGACCAAAGGAAGAGCGATCGAGGAAGTCACGTAATACACTTCACGATCGTAACGCCTCTGGAATTATGGTAGCGCATGCCATTACCGTCTCTTCATTTACTTCGTCGTTTTGTTTCCCCCGGTGGGCAGGCCTTCTGTGTACGGTGCTGGACCGTCGTTCGAGTTTTATGCGCTATGTTTTAATCTTATCGCCAGCTCCTGCAGGTCATGTGCATGATGCGATCTAGACTTTCGTCTTTTCCACCGTCTTTTGATGTTTCTTTGCTCTATTCCTTCGACTGATCAGATTCCGCTGAACCGCGTAGGAAATTGATTAGACGTATTTTGTGTACAGTACGTTAGATGCAGATTAGCATTTACATCTATCCCAGCTCGCTACCTCAGCGGGTGTGTCTCCATTTTTACGATTTAAGACCTTTAATGCAGATAAATATGAGAAACTTCAATGCTTAAGTCATCTTGTTCTGTTATCCTGCATACTTTTTCGGCTTTCTGTAACTAATGTAAGTTTCAGCAACTTTGCAACTGGACAGCTCTGCATGTGTGTTTGTGATATTTTGGGTCTCTCCACCCCTACAGACGCTGAAGCCACAGTGCCAAGCTTGCAGCACTGCACCTGCCCCACGGTGACTCCGCCTTAAACCCAGGGATACGTAGAAAGGTATATATACACCTCAGTTCTAATGAGCGAAGATAATAAAAACATGATGGTACACCCTATATACTCTTTACCACATGAGAGTGGGACAGAATATACGACTCCTTCAGTACAATTTACAAAGCTTTGTAGATGGTACACCCCCAAATCAAAACCTGGATATACTTTATTGCAAAAGAACCCATGTTGTTCATTTGAAAAGAGCAAGCATTGAATATCTCTTCCAAAAATTTAAGAAATACGCTTGTATTGGATTTGCTTTAATTAGAATAGTTTCCTCCTACAAAGCCAAGTGAGAGTCGAGTGAATGCAGCAGATATAGAATAATTTCCGAAGTAACTTGAGCAAAGTGCCATCTCAATAGTGGCTCCTGTTTCACACATCTGAAGCCGCATATATGGTAATTCTCAATTAAAATGATATTCCCACAACTCTAAATAAAATGTATGACTCTTTGCTTGTCACTGTAATTGAAGTTTAGTTGAACATATACCTCCTACCTTTAATCTGAACAGATGCAGAAATTTAAGTCGATGTAAGAATAATTACCGCCACATATATGGTCTGACTTTTATGGTCATGGTAATTTGTGTCGAATGAGGTTCTACATTACAGTTAAAGTTAGCATGGACTTAAAATCACAGGTAAAGCTAATGTCCACCATATATATATATATCCCACGTAGAAGTGCTTCCAGTCCAGGCTGTGTTATGAAACCGGATATGGACTACGGCTGGAGCTGGAAATCTATTTTACCAGCCGAATTCCAGGCTGTTTCTACCCAGAAATGAACAAATTTCTTGCTGGAAATTAGATTTTTCCTCATCTAGCTGGGAAACTTCCAGGTGGATCATGTACTTCCAAGCTGCAATTTCTGATTTCCAGCATGAGCAGCATTTATTTCCAGCTGGAAACAGGATTTTCAGCTGCTGCTGTATAATTTAGCCAAAAATGTGACATCTTCATTTCCAGCTGGAAGTGCAGCTAGCTTATTTTCATGTGGAATGGTTCTCAATTGGAATTAATGCTGCATTCCATACCTTAAAGTGACAATTTTCATTATGTAGGGCTAAAAAATTGTGACGAACCAAACCCTCAGTTAAGATACGAACGTAGAACAATTAATATCCCTGAATAAAATTGAAGGTTATGCTGGTGACATTGTTTCGTTTTTCACAATTTTTTTTTAATGGAGGTTTGTGTTTCTACTTAATAGCTTGGCCTTATTTTGGTAATTTGTGTAAATGATAAATGTTTTCTTTGCTTGTGCAAACAAGGAGATGTGCTCTTGTAAAATGTAATAAAATTTGTATGCATTCCACATTTGCGATAGCATCATGCTCCAAAGTGATGAACGAAGAGACGAGAAAGTTTAAGAGAACTGAAAAAACCTCGACCCATGATGAAATGCAAGCTAATACGTGAGCTAGCTGTTTGACGGAAGAGAGTAGAAAGATCAGACAACATAACCCCAACTGAACACCTAATCCAGAAGACACGCCCGCCACAATTCCACGGGTATCCAAACGACATTGACAGGACATGGGACATCAGCAGATGAGAATTGGTTCCTTGATCACCTCATAATTATTTCTTGATTTATTTCACTTTCGATGGTGGAACATTAGAATTGACCAGTACAAAGCGGCGACCCTTGCTTAAATTTCCGCTTTCGAAAAGACTAAAGCCAAGCTTATTCCAAGAGATTGATTGGGTCATACCAAAATAAGCGCTTACGCGGCTGTTGTATCTAATTATTACGTCTGTAACGTACAGGCTTCATATATCTCCTTTGTTTGGTAGTATGTATCTTCTTCCTTCATCAGCCTCAAAGAAGGCCGCCGTTAAGAATTGGCACAAATGCCAGACACCGAGATGGATGGATAAATGGATGCAAATGACTGTACCCTTCATAAAAGTCAGTATCCGACTCCAGGCAGTGTGGGATATCGCCAGGATGACCTTTCGAGGATTGGACAAAGAAACTAGAAACATTACTCTCTGCCTTCTCTTTTCGGCGAGGGAGTCGCCAATTTTTCTTTGGTAAAACCTAGTCATCGATCGCTACCTCAACACCAGGCCCATTGGGAAACAGGGTTGAGACTTTGGGCAGAGCCACGCGGGAGGGAGTCCCAATTTTTCTCTGGCCCGCCTGTCCCCAGCTATGCTAGTTAGTTTACTTAATTCAATTTTTTATGGATAATTTCTACCAATTTTCTAACCTTCTCTTTGTGACTGTACATATTTTCTCCTCCATTCTTCTATGTTCTGCCTCCAAAACCTGGCACTTCGCCATATCCGTTACCCCTTCAGGGAGGGCAAAGGCAAAGCCCTGTGCACTTCATAACCAAATTATTAGTTTTTCATTCTCACTATGGCACATGGCACATATTGTGTCTATCTTTTGAAGTTCAGCCCTATACATCTTTGTTCTTAACACTCCCATTCTCGCCTCGAACAGCAAAGAACTTCCAGGTGAATTACCGAACACCTTTTCCTTTCTTATGCCTTGATTTTTCTTGAGATGATGATAGTGATCAAAGTTGCCGCACTGAATTTTGAAAAGGGTCTATTGAGAAATGCTTCTCACACTGTGTCAAGTCTTACATAGGAGTGTTGTCCTGGTGCAGGGGCTATGTCGATGCCTGCCTGCTTCCAAGCCAGCCACGTGGATGCCTCCAAGATCCCCAGGCCCATCCCTACAGCACCCACTGCCATCACCAAGGCCTATGGCGACGTTATCCAATACCTCAAGCAGGACAAGATGAAGGACGTGAGAGTCTTTTTTTTTTTCTTTCTCATTTGCTTAACAGTTTGTCCTAGCTTCATCATATGGGATGACATACAAAGCAATCTCAGCTAGGATCTAGGATGTCTGAATCTGCCCTTTGGCCCCTGTTGCCAGTTGGTGTAGCTTTTTGAACTGCGGACCTTCGACGTACATGCTCGAGCTGATTTGGCTAATTAAGTAAAATGTGTTAATTAACTAACTAATGAAAATAGACATATGGTTTCAAATAGAAACTTGCTGACCGTCATCAAAAACCACTAAATTAGTAATTTTAAAAAAAACTGATTGCATGAGAGGCGCAGTAGAGCGCTAAAGTTATCAATCGTGCAGCAGCGGCAAGGCTAGCGGTGCGACAAAGAGCCCATGCGATTTTTCCGTCTCTTATCGTAGCCCCAGCCTTGTACCTGCTGTACCAGTGGTAACTCTAGCACACTATTACGCTTCTCACGCATTCAGTCTTTCTAAAAATAACTGGTTTAGTTGTTTTGGACGACGCTGAGCAAGTTTCTAATTGGAACCATATGTCAAGTTTCACTAATTAAAAAATTAATGAACAAACTTTACTTAATTATCCGACTGATCGTTACGATTAGCCTCCTATAGTATGTCCCCCGGGACATATAACTCAGCTGCACAAACCGCATATGTGTAGTTTTCACGGCATTTTTAAAACAAATATGTAAAGCTTAAAAAAAATAATACCCTTTATTCCATGTTTGTTTATATTGAAAGCAATTATTTGACTAAAGCAGATCACTTTTTGGGTAGTACTCAATCACATTAATTTTTTGCAACATTAGCTCTGCTGCAAAAGAAACTGACCAGGGAGTGTTATACATGGAGGAAATATGAATACCTCATTTAAGCATATATGGCATATACTTGCATCTCATTGTCGTTCGATTAAAATCTGGGCTTCTTTTTAAAGCTGCTTGAGGTATAAAACGACAGGTTGCAATCAGGGCTGGGCACAGATACTCCATCAAGTATTCGGGAATACAAATACTGAGATACATATATTTTATGGCCCAAAATGCAGATACTAAGATACATTTATATTTTATGCAATGGGATATCCCTGAGATACTTTTAAAACAACATCCAAAAAGTATTCCGGAGTACAGATACAGATACTTATAGAAATGCATTTGTTCCCAGACAGTGCTGTGCGGGGAGGGCGTAGTTCGTGGTGAATGCAGATGGCAATTTATGCTTGTGCTCCTCTTTTTGTGTCATTTTATGCACTTCCGGCCCCTTACCTCGAACTAATGCTGCTAAAAAAAAAACATGTCGCGCCCGGTGACCCACATATTTGCTGAACGGTAAGGACTGTGTGCCATGCTTGAGAAAAGGCGTTTGCTCGAAATGAACCCTGTTTGGCCGTGAGGGCGCATCTCAAATTTCTCAAATTGTTGTCTTATATATGCTTCTGAGTCGCCCATAGTGTGAGGAGATTCGACAACAGAGCCGTATACCTTTCCTCCACTCAACACCTTTACAATATGCATGCTAAATAAGATTGTTATTCTTTGCAAATAACCTTTTTTAAACCACGTTTTTTTATATGTTGGTGATTGTGATAAATTATGATATAGGGCAGGTTCATGCTATAAACTCTGAAGAAACTTGCACCAAACACATGTCTTTATGTTTTAAATTTATCGTAACAATGGCAACAAACTTAATGAGATATCTAAGTCTGGCAAAGTATGACGACACAAGTGATACATTGTAAATGTATTTCACTACTGAGGTACAAATACATTTTTGAAATGTATCTCGATAAAGAGATACCGATACTCGATAGTACCTCTAAGATACTATCCCGATACATTTGTATTGTGATAGTGCCTAACCCTAGTTGCAATACAGATGTATGATAATAATATGTGCTGCAATATTGTTCCATTTACGAAAAACAGCTGCTCACCTCAAGTGAGAAATGTCTATTTTTATTCTAGTAAATTGCCTCTGTAGTAGGCATATAAATAGTTAGCATTTATCTAATTGGAAACTCCAGAAGTTTGGAACTGACTACGAGAAAACCCAGTTGTTCTCTGAATTTCAGCGTAAAAAAAAGCCTGAATTTTTCTCTTCAACTTTTTCAGAATATATGTCGGAAATCAGGTAATCCTGTATAGACCTTGTGGAGCTCTCCCATAACCCGGTCGTACCAAGGGACAACTTCTGCATCAGGGATGTCAAAATTAAGCTACGAGCACTTGCTCAGCTTGAGCGCACTCGCACACACTCCTTGCCTCTTAAAATGCCATAGAAAGTTGTCTCAGAGCATATTTTCGGAAGGAAGACTCGTGCTCTGTGTAGCTATCTGATTTTCTGTTTGCATAGGGTACTGTATGTTGAGTATTTATCCAGTCTTACGATAAGCACTAGGATATTGTCTCTGGTATGCCTATATCAAATCATTCAGGATATCTGTGGGAAAGCAAATATACTCTTGAAAGTCCGGGTAATCTTTCAAAAGCAGTCTACATATCTTAGTGGGCGTCTGATTTTGTGGGCTTTTAGGAACTTGTCAACTTCTGTCACTGACCTTGTGTCTCTATACGAACCCTTCAATAAAAACCAGCATGCGACAGTGCCAGTCCTGTCGTATGCATGCATCTTTGTTTTTGTCCAGTTTGTGCTATTTTATTAATGTCAAATATGAACCAACTAGCCCAATCAAAAGTCGCACTACCTGTAAGGGCTTTGTACGAACCAGCTTACTTAGGGAAGTAAAGACAAAAGTTACTCACTATGCTATTCGTGCACCCCTGGCCTTAGTTCTGTTCTTCTATGTCTGCAAAGTGCTTTTTTATGCTAGTGTTCCTCAGCCATGCCTTTGAAATGGGCCCGTCACACTTCTAGTGTGAGCTGGGAGTTTGTCTTTATGTAGTGGTTGTGGGCAACACTATCAAAAGAAAAGTGCAAGGAAAGAGCCATTATTCTGTGCTTTTCTTTCCACAAGCATTTTTGCTTCGGAATCCAGTGCCACTCACTTATGCCTGTACTGCTTGCAATGTTGCATGAAACTCTTGGGATGCTCTAAAAAGAACGCATTTCTCTAGAAACAATTAAAGCCTTCTTTTTATTTTAATTAAAGAATGAGGCCTTGTTGCTGGAAGTTTGTGTTAGTGGCATTTTAAAGTGCCTTTGGGTAAACCTCTAGATTATTTTTTTTTACTGATTGGAACTGCATCTATAGATAAAGAAAGATGCCTGTAATATTGGCATTTTAGAAACTGATAACTGAAACTTGGTGTCAACAGTGATGGCTAAAACATGTTGATAGCAGCCTCATATGTAGCTTTTGCTATTGAGGAAGCTACAAGGACCAAACAGGCAAATTTTGATTCTTTCGCTTTTTTTGTCAGCATTGACCTTCATTTTCACGAGGTTCGTGATATAGGCGATTATGAAGTTGTTTCCAGGCCCATACATTGGGTAGTGGAAGCAGGAAGTCATATTTATTAGAATTGACAGCCCTTTTCCCGTTTCTGGTGAAGGTGGTATTTTTCGTATGTTATAGAATTTTAAAACAACAGATAAGTGCTTTCCAAGGTTTTTCGGCATCACTTCCCCACAGCACACGAGAGAACTGCAGAGAAGTTTATTTGTGAAGTTTTTTGCAAAGGGTCTTTTGCCGAACCAGAAACAACCTATTGAGAGCTAGCGACTGTAGAGTGCAATAGTACTTAGCGACCCGATAACGAATGCAACATTAATGTTTTGCAGTTTTTAGAGTGAAACCGAATTGCTAATGCTGCCACTTATTGAGAGATCATATTGTTCCCTGTCCTTAAAAGATTTTGAACCGTAAGGAAATTTTAGCGAACCTGGCAAAGACGGTGAGCCTGACCATCATGAGGACAAGTCGGTGAACAACTTAGTATACACGTTTTGAGGGGTGCAGTTGTAAGGGTTTTGACTTTTGTTTTTGAATGTTCCAGAAGTGCAGTTCCTCTATTGTTATGCATACAGTCGTAGACAGTCGCTAATTGCTCTTAGCCGAAGCCGAGCATCGTTCCAGCCCGCATGCAGCTGTGGTCATGGAATTTGACGCACCTCCGTCTCCGTTCGACTCAGCTTCGGTGAACAGGAAATTTGGGAGTGCAGTTATGGGTGGACTTTGGGTGGCAGACGAAGGGTGCACTGATGCCTGTTTGTCTGTGTGGGCAGGCCAAGAACTTGGTGCGTGCCCAACACTGGCCTGTGGACCACCCCAACCGAGGAGAGCTGTGGCTCGGGCTGTGCCAGAGCCACGCCAAGGGTTCCATGGAAGACGACTTCTACGACTCCATGGTGCAGGAATCTCTAGGTGAGGCGTTGTTGTCTACTCTGTCTTCTTGCTCTCCTGACTGCAAATGACGAGAAAATTAGAGGAATCAATCACGTTCCGTCCGCCAGCGAAACGTGGCCGTCCATGCCACTATGCCACAGACAAACTGAGGGAGCGGAAGAATGACATTCATGCTTTCCCATTCACCACTCATAAAAAGTGCTTAAGCGTCCTCAAACTTTTTCTCCCAAACACCCAACCAATACTTAAATTTCTTTTTATATGACTCTCTCATTGGACTTTTTGAGAACATTAGAATGCTTTCTAAATGCATTTTAAGAATTTTATTAAACTGTCTCTCAATGGATGCTGTAATTATTGCTAACTTGTTTACTTTTTTTTTTATTTCAGAGTTCATAGCTATGAATTTACAGATACATGCTGTCCTTGACATGCTAGCTGGAAGAGCATAGTGCAGATTAATGGTTTCGGTACCTTGTGTCCTAAGTGTAAGGGGCTGGTAGAGTCAACGCCTTCTGTAGAAAATCGCACAAACTTCAAGCTTATACTTGGAAAAAGACTTAATTATTTTTTACTTACTTTTTGTTTTTGTTCGTAGCACGAGCTGAAACGATAAGAGATGCAGGGGTCGTCCGACATTTCCCACAACCCGCATCCCACGTGCAGGGGGCCTGTGGCCCATGAGCTTGCCGACGTTTGCGGACCCCATCTACTGCGAGGACTACCTGCTGTCCGAGGAGGGCCAGAAGAAAGCGGAGCGGGTGCTGTACGTGCTGTCGGTCAGCCACCCCTTCATCACCTACTGCCCCTTGCTGCACCCCCTGGCCTCCCTCTTCCTGCACTACCTCTCCGAAGAAAAGGTGGGCTGCTACCCCGGCGCTGTTGACAAGGCGTGGGTCATCGTACCCTGTCTTATCTTACGACGGTCCGCAGCGGACACTACGAGCCACCCCAGCCAATCCGGCGTCGTGAGCTTGTCGCGTGACTGTGCACCCAGCACATTTCTGTGCCTCTCTGGTAGAGTCACGTGACGCTTGCACGGCGTTGGATTGGCTTCAGTTGCTCGTAGCGTCTGCTTGAATTGGGCAATAGCTTGCGCCCCCTGGCTAGAGGCAGATAAATTTTGGCAAAATGTTGTCAACATTGTGCAGCATGGGGAAGTAAGAATCGAAATTTAGTTGTTGCTGAGTGTGTTTAATAAATTTTTTTTAATGCGAAAGCATTAACTTGTTTCATGGAGCGAGCCAACATTATCAGCTTGGAAACCATTCGAAGCGGCACCTTAATGAAACCATGTGCAAAGCTAGCCAACGGCACCTTTTACACTTCGGTCCCATTGGCTGGCACACGTCGACGAGGCTCCCATTGGCCGCTGCGCGTCAGTTTGTGTGTTATCATCCTGACTGTGTTACCACACTATTGTGTTATCACCAATTACCCCATTCGCTCGCCTCTTATCGGCTGTATGGCGCACAGAATAAGCCAAAGGGTTCGTTCTGCTGGGAACTACGTTGCTGTCTGTTCCTTCCTCGCGCCGCAAGGCACGCGGCAGTTTAAACGATCGCTTACTCGATGGCGCTGCGTGTCCACGCCCAAGGTCAGCGCGTTGTACGCCGCAGATTAAAGAAGGAGGCGAAGAGCGGCTTGCGTGCTTTCGCATTCATAACTCATAAGAAGTGCTTAGGTGTACCTCGAGCCTTTTGTTTTTTATTGTTCAGGGAGAACCACTCCTGATTTCTCTGACAGTTGTGGAGTGTGATATTGAAATGAATCGTAATAAATATGGTGATTACAAGATAAATGTTTAATTCAAAACGCACCATGAAAGGCAGCTAGATTTCTCAAGTTTCTTGCTAATTGGTTAAAATGGCAGCTGTGATGTGTGATACTCACATAGCAAAGACTTTTACTCTGTTCGATTTTTATGTTGTTCAGGCACCTTGTGGGAAAAGAAACATTTGGCAGCATTCACAGTTTTGAGCAGGTCAGCTTTGACACAATGGACCTTTTTTGCAAATGTTGGGCGCCATCTATCGGCAAGCAGGAGAAACAACATTTTTGATGGCCTACCTTGCTTCCGATTGTGCCCGTTCCAAGCTATGTTGGCTGTCTGAACGCGGTCGGTAAATGCGCTCAGCGTTTGTTTTTACTCTATCCAACGGGATCGACGTGCAGATTTGTTTTCTATTAATGCGTTAACTACGGATGACTTCGTCCGTTTGTACATTTTTTCCAAATGTTCGGACGATGGCAAAGCCCGTCATTCGAATGGGACGGGGGACTTCGCCGTGGCGCCCGTTGTGACTAACGGCATAGTTGAAGCTCTCTTCGAGCAATGAGAAAGTACAAACGGTTACATTAAACTAGGATTCATGTTATATGCAGTACCGGCAATAAATTTAGATAATATTCGAAACCAAGTTACAGTTAGAAAAATATTTTTTTTAATTGCAAGTTATTTGTATAATCTGCTCGAAATTTTTAAATGACAAGATGTATTCTCCTAATTGTAAAGGCTTACTTTAAAATCATCCGAAAAACTTCGTGCCTGTACGTACAAATGTAATTTCCAACAAAGGTGTACTTTATTGGTGAAATTTCAACACGTAGCTCCATTCCTATAAAAAAAGGAGACCAACAAACTTGGCCGGGTCAACGGCGGACGCGTTCAGTGCCCGCCGCTGCCCCTGGCGAGTTGGTTGGTCTCTCGTTTTTTTACTGTAAGGAAGCAACAATTCGAAATTTCACAAGGTAAAATTCACCACTAAAGCGCATGTTTAATAAATATCTAAGATGTATACGTGCAGCCGCCGAATTCTGAGCGAGCCTCATCATTAATGTTACCCCACATCAGGCTACAGCTGTGTGGGACTAGGTCCTGGAGAAACATGAAATCGGCCACACCTGTACTTTTTTTTTAGTCTCGCGCCTGTAGAGAATGTTGCAAAATTTTTTTTTTACTCGATACATACTTAAGGACAACACATGAAGACGATTGTTTCCTCTTATTTAAGCACAAGACTAGCAGATGTGGTCGTGGTAGTGAAAGAGCAGCTCCAATTTCACGTTCTGGGTGGGCACGTAGCAACAAACTGTGCAGCATAGCTACTTTACCTCAATGGTTTATAAATATTTGGAAGCTGTGGGCGATTCCAATGTTTGCAACAACCAAAAATGCATACCGGCAGTTTGCGTAGCAACGTGAGACTGTCACATTAATTTATTAGTAAACACAAACGTGTGCCAGTGAAACGCACCATCCCAGAAACGTCAACTCCGAGACGCTCGCTCTGCGTGGCACATAAGCGACACGACAGCATACCTAACCAATCTGCTGACTTGTATTCACACACAAATAAAAAATGAAGGAACAAAAACATGAACGTTCCTTGAAGTGGCCACTGCAAACGCGGGAGTGCTTTGGAGGCTGCATTGTTTCGCTGGATCGCCCGAATCAAGAGCTGCCGCTTCGTCGGGTGCAGGTTTTAGTAGAAGGAAACCCAAAGAAGCTTAAACCGCGACAATGTTTACTGTCGTTGCTGCATCCAACAACGAAACAGCGTTGGGGCATGTCGGAGAACTTGGAAACGCGCGACTACCGCTGCCTCCAGCAGTCCCCAGCCGGACGCACTACGCCACCAAAAATGGCGAACTCCTGTCTGCTACTGCTGCGCATGCGCCGTGGAAACCCCGGAAAAGGCCCATTAGTGTTGTACACGTTCCTCAAAAAGAGGAACATAAGCTTGTTCCTCGTTCCTTCTAATTTTTAAAATGTGTTCCCGTTACAAGTTTCATATGAGAGAAAGGAACTCGTTCCCGTTACTGTTTAAAAAATGGAACGCATTGTATATACTTATACGTCGCATTTGTATTTTGCGAATTACCATATTTCGTTGGATCAAACAGTTTTTTTTATCTATCGCATCAAATGGCAACATACGAATTTGAATGCTGCGATGGAGGGACACCAAGAAGAAAACAACCGGAAGCAAGGTTTCATTTGTTGATATAGTCACCTTTAAAAATCTCAGCGCTTTACCATATCCATGTTTGTGGAGGGCGATTCAGACGAGCCCGATGTACTGTGAGCCGGGAAGAAGGAGCGGGTTTAATTTTGTTACTTTTTTAAATTAAAGGGTTGCCCCACATTGCACCAGCGTTTTACAACAACCTCACACATTTTAATCTAAGTCCCATTGTTTGAACTTAGCAACAGTTGCTGCTCGATGTTGCTGTACACGACGAGCAATTGTGGTGAAGAAGGTAGGGCTTTTAGAAGGTCAGTCTTTAAAACTACCAGTCCTTCTTTGTAAAGGTCGGATTCCTTGTTCAGTTTGAAGGTGGGAAAGAATGGGAGAGGAAATAAAGGTAAACTTTTGTGTATCTTTTAAGTGACCAATGTTCGAGCTACATGGGTGCGTTCAATGTGTGGTAGCCTGCTTTTGTTGTAGTTGTAGGTCTCTTTGTGGAAGTTCAGTGATGGCTGTAGTTGGGCGCTTAGATTTCTGAGTGTATGATAACTCAAAGAAAGTTTTTCCTCACTTTGTGTCTTTTCCTTTGACTTAAAGTTTTGTTTTTTGTGCTGAAATCTCGGGCACTGAAAAAAACACGGGGTCTCTTATGTTATCGCTAAGACAACTTGAAGGCGAAAGCCCAAACGCCGATGCATTAAAGTGAGACACATGATTTACTTAATTCACTTATATTCCTCTTAATTCGCTTTGTCATCCTTCTTAATTTCATTGCCTCTAATTCACCTGAGTGGTCACATAAACATGATAGCAAACCTCAAAAGACAGCGCGCTCTCTGACGACACACTTTTGGTGCCGTCTCATTGGTACCTTTCGTGTCGCCGACGTGTTTTCTGAAGGTCGACTAAACGCTAAGACATATAAGGCTTCCGCCTTAAAAAATCAATGTCCACCAGCTCGCCTGCACCCAACTGTTACCAAGCGAGGACCCCACAAAATAAACCCTAAAATAAGTAACAAAAAAGTTAATAAGATCCTGCTCTTCGTAAAGTTGTTGTTGTTATACTAGTTTCGCCCTTAGAAATAAAATAAAAATTGCCTCACTGGACAAAAAAAAAGGAATGCCTTTCCTTGTTTTGTTTTCGTAAAAATGTAACGGGTTCCTGCTCCGGTTCCACCGATGCAAGATGGAACGGCGGCGTTCCTCCTAAAAGGAACGCGTTGCAGGAACGTTATTCCATAGAACACTGGACACAATGCAGCTGTGTGAAACGGCAAAGATAGCTTTACCGGGGCAACTATTTTTGCATTATATTTCTATTTTGGCACCTCATACCTGATGCCCCATAAGCGACCAAACAGAAATTACACAAGCATGTTCCTGCTCCAATTTTTTGTCGCTGTTCACATTCACCGTTCTCCCGCTGTGTGTGCATTGCTCAGATCTGCGACTTACTTTGAATTTGCCACTTTTTCACCGTATGCTAAGTTTGAAAGTAATCGTAACCGTATTCAATGCGACAGTATTACAGTCGAATCTCGTTAATTCAAACTTGAGGGGGACCGAAAATTTGTTTGAATATAGCAAAATTTTAATTACCAGGAGTTTCATCCCATAGAGATGCATAGGATGAAATCTGCATGTTAGTTTGAATTATCCACAGGTTTGAATTAAGAGAGGTTGAATTAGTGAGAGTCGACTGTATTAAGCTACCCATCACAAATTGTTGGGTACCTGGCCTCTAATGTTTCCCGCTAAGTTTAGCGAAAATTTTACATCACATGGCCTATGCACCAATTCAGTTTCCCTGCTAAGTTTAGCGGGAAATTTGATGTCAAAACCTATCTACCAATTCAGTTTCCACGCTAAATTTAGCGAAAAAACTGACGTCATGACCTATGCACCAATTCAGTTTCCCTGCTAAATTTAGCGGAAAAAGTTTACGTCATGACCTATGCGCAAGTTCAGTTTCCCCGCTAAATTTAGCGGAAAAATTGACGTCATGTAACCGAACGTCACGTGACCTATGCTCCAGTTCAATTTCACCGCTAAATCTGGCAGAAAAATTGATGTCACGTGACCTGACGTTACGGTACGTAACGACGAATTCAGGTTTTCCACTAAGTTTAGTGGAAAGTATGAATTTAGTGAGCCTCGTAACAAAAGAAGGTAAACATGATCAAGGCTATCACAATAATTCATAGACAACCAACAATAGTGGTTTCTGATGCAACCAGATATTTTTTTTTTTTGTTTGGGACTGTGTTTTAAAATTTATTGAGGGGTCTTTGTCTTCAAATGAGTGATGCTCAAGTACTTTTCACTGCCGAACCTTCTGCTAAGACTGCTAATTAGGGGTCACAATGTTGAATAAATGAACCGAGTGCAGAACGAAGCCATCTAAACGGTATTTCTCACGAGTTCCCGCCTGTCTGTGTTGCAGACGTACGAGTGCATCAGTGCCCTGATAGGGGGCACCATAGTACGCCACCTGAGTCAGACACGTCTCATGCACGACACCTCCGCCTATGCGCTGATGCAGCTCACCAAGCGTCTAGCCGTGAGTATACGTACCCGCTCGGGTGCATGTTTCTAGCCACCTCCTCGAGGGAATCACCTGGATGCAGCTCAGCTAGAAAAGGTTCAGCATGAAAGATGAGGTCCAGGCACGATAGATGGGTGTACGTTTTCTGGTAGCTCACTAGGAATAGTGCAAACAGTTAATGTTTATTGATATGCTGTATATCACATCATTCCAACGAGTGGACAATTCCTCCTGCCTTTATTCATTACACTGGCGTCCAAGTCCGATGAACTTAGCTGCACTGGTTCATGTCGTCTGCCTAGATTTGAGAGTGGTTCCAGCTGCTCGGTCTGAAACACGTGGTTTGTTGTTTGCATTTGCAATACAAGATGCGAGGCGGTGGCAAAAGCGTCGACCGTCTCCGAGCTTTTCTCAGCTTCTCTGCCCGCCATCCTTCTTGCCACACGGCAATGAACCCATTCGCATGAGCAACCAATCTGCACAGAATACATCTGCTATCAGATTGCAAGTGCTGTTCATGGTTTTAGTTCATCCATCTCTTAAATCTAAGCTCTCAGAGTTTATGTTTGTTGTGTGACACTGATTTACTTCCACTTTTTTATCTGCAAAGTATGGCCTCCATTTCTCAAATTTCATTCTTGGGATTTTGAAATTTTAACCTTGAGGTTGTTCTGCTTGCACGAGCCAGCTGGGGCGTTTGCGAGCAGCGCCCTGTGGTGTGTGTGCAGAAGAAGACATACCTGCGCCTCAACCGCAAGGTGGAGAAGGAGGAGGACCTGGAGAGGGTGTTCCACACCTGGGAGCTCTGGATCTTCAGGGGACTGCCCTTCTACCATCTAGTGAGCAGGCACCTTCTTCATCCCACTCTCAAATACTGCTGGCCGTTATACTGCACATGCTAGAGCTGTTTCAAGTGGACTATCCAGGCACTACCTCCCCTTACCTTTTGTGATGTTTAGGAGTTAGTTCTAGCTGGGTTACTTAGCTACATTCTGTTCGCCCCCAAGCTGACAGTGCTGTGAACCAGTGATACGTCTATCCTTCACCATGTGATCACGCCCCCCCACCCACACCCACGTGCAGTGAGGGGATGAAAGGGAGGTGGTTGATAGGTTTGGCGAGCACAGAGCTCCAACAGAGTGTGAGAGAGAGCAGGTGTTGTAGTAGCCAGTTTGGCAAATGATAGGAGTGGTGGGCTGTACTGGTTCAGGATATGGTTTGCGCATTTTCATCTTGACCCCCATTTCAAGCAAATTATTTTAAGAGATCTTTTTAAGGGACCTTTTTCCATTGAGTCATTCTTTGTTGAACTTCTTTGTTGGTGCGGTGATGTGCAAGCCGGTTATGAACTAATGACTATAGCCTCGATCGCATGTAACAGAGGGGCAGTTGAAGTGGTATAGTAGAGGTGTAAAGTTAAATTTTGGTAATACGTAGAGTATAGTAACATTGACTGTAGTTTCTAGTGGAGGTAGTTACATCATACATTAGCGGCATGGCACGGAGGTCATATGTATTATCATTCTGCCCTATCATTCTCGAAAACAAGAAACAAAAAAATGGGAGAAAGGTGGGACTTGATTTACAGGTTACCTGGTACAGCTCTGCTTTGGCCGAGCTGTGGGAGCAATAACAAATGTCTGGCATATTTATTATGTATACCGTAAAGTTTCGAAAGAATGCCCACCCAAAATGAGGAGATAAATGGTGAAAAACGGGGGGGGGGGGGGGGGGGGTTATCTTTAAAGACTCCACAGCAAAACTTTATAAAAAAATAATGATAAACACCCTGGCACCAGCTACAAACCACGTGACGCGGGAACTGATACTGCAGGTCACGGATACCGCAGATTCGTGTTTCACGACGCGATAAACACGCAGGAATTTGCTGCAAACTCCTGTGTCACGGGAAAGGATACCGCGGGTTGTTGACTCCCCAGATTCGCATTTCGCGGTGCGAGGGACCCGGGGAAACCCGCCGAGAACTCGCATCTCACAGGAACGAATACCCAGGGGTGGAACGGCTGCGCCATTTTGCACCATTTTGTGCCATTTTGTGCCAGACGCATGTATCTGCGCCATCCTGCGCCATGTTCTAACCGCCACAGCCAATACCTCGCGCCATTATGCGCCAAATCGCATAACGTACGCCAAAAAACTTTTGATTTTGTCTTGGTTTCGGTTTTATTAACGCGATTGGCAACAATGAGCGCGTTTAGCTTGGTCGGCCTTGCAATTCTTTGTTCTGTTTATTCTCCCTGTGTATCCCGAGTCTGAAGCGCCCGAAAAAACTCGGATTCTAAGCGCTACACCACCTGCAACTGGATTGTTATTCTTCAACCATAAGCGATTAAGCAAGTCGACTGAGGTGAGGTCGAGTCGGTAAGCGTCAGATTGCCTGAGGCTCTGCGGCCCGGGATCCGGACGTCAGCCATTTGAAAACAGATGAGCAAAATATTCCTTTCAGTGCTTCATCGTTAGAAGTTGGAACCTTATTCTCGCAAGATAAATCGTGATTTGATAGAACTGAAATGCAGTCTGATCCAAAACCTTGCCGGCCAGCAGCTCTTACGCGAGTGGTAGGTCTACTCGGCGTACTTTAACCTTGCTCCTGCTTATCGCTTCAAATACGAAAACTTCGTTAATCATAGTCTGCTGCTTCGATATCGAGTTGCGCAATAAAATAAACTCGAAATTTGTTGCCCTGTTCCTCCGTGCAACTGCACGTCCATTGCTTACGCACATCACGTGGTTCGCACATATAATTACTATGTCGAGCATGTGTGGGTTGGGCGATAAGCAGTGCTGGTTTACATTTTGAGCAGCTGAAGGCCACTCAGAAAATATGAAGGATGCTATCTTCAGAAACATTGGGTACCAATTGCTTTTTGATTCTCATAAAGGCTAACAAAGTTTCAAGTTTTTGCATCTGTTACACTGTGATCCCATCTACCTAGGTCCCTTATCACTCATGTTCATCTGTGCTGCTAAGCTCGATTGAAATTGCTCCCGTGCTTGTCTAAGACACGAGCTGAAGTGCAATAAAAAGTAATCTGAGCTGCTCCTAGCCTGCTGCAGAACTTAGTTTTAGCTGCTCCCAACCTGCTCCAAAACAGGTGTTTCAGCTGCTCCCATGGCTGCTCCCAAGTACACTTCATGAGTTCCATTCCTGAATACCGCAAATCGCGGATGCAGCAGATTCAAGTTCTATAGTGCAATAAACACGCGGGAACCCGCTACAAACTGGCCTGTCATGGGAACCGATATCGTGCACGCAGATCGCAGACAAAAGTGCGGAAACCCACTATGAAGTCGCTTGTCAGACATGCCAGTACAGCAAATTGCGCGTTTGATGTGATTCCCATTGGACATCGCATGATGTCGGACGGGAATGAATGGGGGGGGTGAGCGATGTTTCGCAATTTTTATGTTACAGTAGCCAGAAAAATGGAATGGGCAATCTCTCGTGGCGGGCGTTCTCTCGGAACTTTACAGTAATGTTAATCAACTAGGTCGTGTTGCAAAGCTGGTAGTATTACCGTAAAATCCCGAGAGATGCCCCACCCCCGAAAGATAGCCCACCCCTATTTTTGGCTCGGTTTGCTATATTTTTTTAAACACCGAAAGATAGCCATTCCTATTAATCGTAGTGCTGGGATCAGTAATGGCCTCGGCATAAATGCGGCTAGTTAGCTGTGGTAGGATATACGCGAACGTTGCTGACTGGGAAGTACAGATATCTTTGCTTCGTTGCCGGAGGGGACACGACCTTAAAATAGCAATTTTTTAAAACTTTTCTTGATTGTACATTGAAAGTTAGCCCACTCCATATTTTCACCCGATTTGCTCTTGATGTTAGGTGGGCTATCTCTCAGGATTTTACGGTAGATATATGGCTCCAACTGCTCATCACTAGTTCCACAGCTCCTGAGGAATGCTGTAATAGAACTTTTTCAAGAGTGTGAGCCATTTGTTGGCTGCTGCACCAATCATCCAAGTTCGCCATTGTTTGGGCACACGCTCCGAGCTGGTATTGGACACGAGGGTTTTGTCAGCTTTTTCGGCGAGGACTCTGATCCAGTCACATGCTCCGTGCCCAAGAGATGGCGACTGCCAACGTTGCTCGATGCACAGGTGAAAAAGGTCCGTCGCGCACGAATTGCACTGCATTGATTGGTTCTTACATCATACTGGGATTAAAGGAACGCCCGCATGTTTCAGGTGCGGGCCGTGGACTGCTACTTAATCGAAGGTGTGCGGGCCCTGTACCGGATTGCAATGACCATCCTCATTCTCTACACTCAGGAGAATGCGAGTGAGTTGATGAGGGCACTCTCCTCACTGCATGGGCAGCATACACCGTCCAGCATGCGTTTTTCGTTTTTCACCGCAGGTCCTAATGCACATAGTCGTGAGAGAGAAGCTGTACATTATGAAGGACGATACATAGTGGTATATAAGTGAAGCTTGACAGTGAATGTAAATGAAGGGTACAGGGGCCGCTTGGTAAAGGCTTTTGTATTATTATATCTGTTTGTGAAGGGTTTGGAATGGCATTTGTCAAGGGTACATCGATCCCCTTCTGCTGCGATATGTGTGGTGTGAATTTGCCGCTCGGTCAACCTTTATTAGGCATATTCAGAAGGAAACTTTGCCCAATGCTTGTGCGTCCCATCTTTGTTCATGTTCAGGCTACCTTTTTGCTTTTGCTTTTGTTTGGGCTGCTTGATGTGATCATGATGCTCAATAGCTTAGCACGGTGTGGTGTCGGTGCTCACTGGTGGTGGCTTTCACCTTTTGGCTTGCAGGCGAGTTTCCCCCTGATTCATTATTTTCACGTGTATTTAAGAAGAGGGGTGAAGGTAAGGATTTAGAGCAGTCCAGGGGCTTTAATTTTGAGCTATAACTTCTCTGAGCATTCACTTATTTTCTGGCGTAAAATATCGAGCATGCACACAGTCGCAATAAGCGTCCACCCACTATGAAAAATTTTGAAAAATAAGCGAAAGAAAAGAGCATTTACCCCAGACTTCTGAGCCCCCTAGCTAACCCAGGTGCTCCTACGCGTCAGCTGCTTCTCCGCATGTACCAGTGCAAAGCGGTAAAGCTTGATGCACGCATCAGTGCGAAGTGGATAAGCTTCATGCGTGCATTCTGTGCATACTGGTGAATCCAAACTTACCATGTACGTGGCCTGCATTTCTGCTCTCGGACAGAACAAGCAAGTGCCCTAGTTTTTCAAGATTATCTTCAAACATTGGGTGGGTGCTTGCTGAGTATTTTACTGCGTAAAACTTCCTAAATTCTCAAGTACGCCGGTGTCTGTGCGCCCGTGCTTGTGCAATAATCCCATCAGGATAATTATTGCATTGATGACTTTCAAAAATCTTTTTCAAGCGAATAAATCGGTTGTTTTTCTTTTAGATTTGGCCCGAATGCATAAACTTTGCTGTATGAACTAGCAATCTGTACAAGTTCTTTTTCTTTTTGTGCTCTGCTTGCTGCTCTGCAGCACAGCGCTGCACGTTGGGAAAGGCAGCTCTTTCGGAGGTTCGTGCATGTACATTTTTTTTTTTTTTGTTCTCGCATTTATTTGGATTTGTGGCTTCCACTCTAAAGTTGAAAAGTAATGCTGCACCTGTTGCATGACCGTCTATCATATATTTCAATGTTTTAAAGTGTTTTTTGGTGATATAGTTTGTTTATTTTTTGTTCTTGTATTGAGGTGTTAATTCTGCAGGCTAGATTTTGTACTACGAATCAAAGTGCACCAAGTCAAACTTGGGCCCCTGCAAATTATATTTGAGACACTCCTGTGTCCTGCTTTGGCTGTGCTGTGTGTGCATATCCTGCTACATTGCCATTGTACTGTTTGGCTACACTGGGATCCCTCTACATTGGCAACACATTGGCATTTTACTCTACTATAGATATTACAGTCTAAGCTCGTTATAACAGACCTTGATTTTGACCAAGATTTTGGTCTGTTGTAGAAGGAGTATGTTGTATGCAGATATAAAGTTGAGTTAATGGTGCATAGAGGAAAACCAACTGAACCTCACAAATCGGTATGTTATATCCAAATGTCTGTTGTAACCAGGTCTGTTATAATGAGCTTAGACTGTAGATGGAACAGACAGAAACATATGGCACAAGACTGTGTTAAACATCCTAATTTTTTTTTTTTTTTTTTGTGTAGGGTTAGTTTCAATAAACAGTGTCAATTGCAAATAATGTTTCATGTTTCTTGTTTTTGTGCTCTCAGGGAGGAAAAAGAAGAAAGGAGGTAATATTCTTTCATAAGAAATGTGTGTTTGTTGAATACACTGGGCACCCACAGAGAAGTGTTTGAAGTGTTTTCTAATTCTTAACATTGCTTGGATTTTATTTTTTTTAGTGAGTAAGCATTTTTTTTTTAATGTGAGAAGTCATTTTTTACAGTTTCAGCGTTCATTGCAATATCTTAATGCCCAATCTGTCCTATTTCTTGCTGTGAAAACAGCACACATTCAAGAGGGTTGTGGGGCTGCTATCATGCCCCTACTGTTTTAGCAACTGTCTTAGTAGGTGGACATTTAGTGAGACACATTATTGTTTGTTTGTGCAGTTTTTGTTTGAGAGGTGCAGTGTATGGTTGGTTGTGCAAGGAACCACATATTTATTTGACGAAAGTTAATCATGTTCTTGAAGCTCACAATCTGATTTGATGTTGATGTTTTCCAGAACTGTGCGTTAAATAAGGATTTTGAAGCTGTCTTCTAGTGTTTGTATGTAGAACACTGTTTTTTAAGCAAAACATTTTTTAATTGGTTGAGGAGTCAGGAGCTCATGTATAAATATTAGTACAGCAAGGCTTTTCATTGTACTGTGGTGGACCTAGTGCTTGTAGTTGGGTAGGGTGAGTCTAGCATCTAAGGCCACCTAAAGACAGGGCTATTGGTAGCATACCTGGAACCTTTGTGCTCATAAAGCATACAGGTGCGAAAGCTGAAACCGGCAGGGATGCTTTGTTCACACTCACAACGAAAGTATTTTCCTGAACCTTCCCACTTGTGTCATTCACACTGCTGCTGGTAACCTGCAACACAGAATAAAAGACTTCTTACTTTCAAGGGCTATTTTATGCTTGCAAAGAGGGACATCAAACAGAAACTTTCAAATGCCTTTCAATGTCCCCTTCCTGTTTGTAGATTGCTTTAAAAAAATTTAAGGTAAAAATCAGGTTTGCTGTGACAAATTGCACCACAAGGTTAAAGCGAAGATCTCTTACTGAGAAAAATGATAGTGCACAATAGTTTTCCTCATTTTAAACTTTGTGAAGAATAGCGTTTTCGAATCGATTTAGCCTCTGCTTACTGATGACATGAATCTTTAAGCGAATGTAAAGAAAGGACAGGAAGCAGAGGCACAGCAGCAGCAATAGACCTGTTGCAAAACGTGCAGCGCCATGATGGCAGGGGATTTTGGGAATCCTCGGTACAGATCACGCGCTTTCTAGTTGCGCCTCCGCAACTGCGAGTGAGTCGCAACGGCCACCACCAGCAGCCGTCGCAGCCATCTGCCGGAACGTCGTACGTCGTTGCATAATGCGTCGTAACTTACCTTCACGTCTTGCAGTGTCACCGAATCGACTTATTTTGCACCGCAACCGTGGTAGGGTTCGACTAGGTTTGAGAAAGCGTTTGCGTAGCAGGAGACTGAGCTGGTACAAAGAAGAGGGATGAGAAAAAGGGGCAGCCTCGCTAGATAGCCAACCTTCTTGCCCATTTTCAAGCGACCGTCGGCTCGTCCGGCTTGGCTGATCGACCGTTGTTGCCTTGGTAACTTGCACCTGCTCGCATATGTCACGTGATAGCGGGAGGAAAGTCATTGGGAGGGGCGTACCGAGGACTCCCATTATTCGTTGCATGGTGTGCGTGGGCTTTTGGGATTTTTGCAAGGGGTCTATCGTGATTGGGCCGTGCTTTCTCCCAGGCTCTCGGGATGAGGCGGCTGATCCTGGCCAGTTCCTCGACAGGATCATTTTCTTTTGCCAGGAGATTCCTTTCAATGTGGACAAATTCCTCAAAACTGCCTACGGCATCCAGGTGAGCTCCTGAGCTGTTGCTTTTCTGCAAAGAGTGCACCTTTGTTCAGCCTTCGCATGCAGTATGACGCTGTTTGACGTGACTGTCTTTTTTATTTGTCTTTTTTCTCTTGGAATTGACAGGCTATCATCAAACTGCTATTGTCATGTGAAGTGTTTGCTTATGGATTCAGCCTGTGCAGTAAAATTTGGTGCTCTTTAATTCTCTGCCTGAGTAAATGCAGAAAATCATTGATGTTGTGTCTGCACTGACTGTGTCATGCAATGTACCTGTGTCTGCACTCTGGAAACCTATACTACCCGGCGGGACCAAGTGGGACAAAGGGACCGGGACAACACCGTCTGCTGCGATTGGTCAGCGATGCGGTGCTGACCAGTCGTAGCAAACGGTTTTGTCCTGGTCTCTTGGTCCCACTTGGTCCTGCCGTGTGGAATAGGGCCCCAGTGGTTTAGTTTTGGACGTCATGAGAGTGAGATATATAAGCCAGGTCTCACTGAGTGAGCTAAGGTATCATTAGCAGATGCTTCATCTGCTAATGCAAGCGCACAAAAGAGGTTCTTTTGTTGCAAAACGTTATTAGCCGATGAAAATAAAACAAACACCTGTGCATCATCTGGGAACAGCAGTGAAGAAAGGTGGATCATCTGCTATGAATTGTGTTCCACAAATGATGAATTGTGTTCCACAAATGAAGGCACCGAGTACAAGCTTTAATCGTGAACCTCTGCTCTTTTCCAAATGGAGCAACCAGAAACCTATGTTCAATTTGCAAATATCGAGTCCTTCTGCTGCCATACACCAACTGACACCCAGCATTTAGAAGTGGAGGATTCAGTACAGGCACATCCTCAACTGGGAGACTTTTCCCACCAATTGTTTATTAATCAGAAGTTTTTGCCAAATAATAACCCGATCATATACTGAGCGGATAAAAAATTTTGAATTTGTTGATGTGGCTCATTGAACAAAAACCTGCAGAAAGTGTTCCGTGGTAACTTTAAAAAAAGTTTTATTACCATTGAACGCTAATGCATAAAAATTAGCCGCAAGTTTATTTTGGCCACTTCCACCCCTGTAGAGGACATTTGCAGAACTTTAACCAGAATTGTTTGTGTTGCTGCTTATTACCAGCGTATGGCTTGGACTACACAGAACTAGATGGAACTATAAAGCTAAAGGCATTGGGTGCAGTGTACGCTTGACACTAATTAAGACTTCACAATCAATACTCCAGCCAAGCAGATGGCAGCCTGGCTTATATTCGTAAGCACACTGTAGAAGTGAATTGTCATGGGTTATTGTACCACTCCCTTATGCTGGTTGAGACACGGCACGTGTTCACCTACAGACACACACTTACACGCGAATACAGGTTCTTTTTTGGCTGCAGGGCTTCAGTGCCAAGGTCCTGAACCAGCAGCTGCTGAAGGCGGAGATGTACATCCGCAGCTGCTCGAGCGGTCGGCTGCGGGCGGCCTCGGAGGGGGGGTTGCCTCTCTCAGAATCCACCTACCACCTCCAGATCACCTCCTCCTCGCTGACCGTCAAGGAGGTAACCTTGCGTCCGATTCACTAAGCTTTTAGAGCTTCCGAGCTGTGTGACTCTAAGCTCTTAGGGAGTCGGGTCCTAGGGATGCCCAAGTCAGTTCTTAGGGATGCCAGGGGTTTGTGTGGATGTCGACCAGACCTTTTCCTGTCAATAACCCAATACGTCCTGAAAATTCTCTGGCATGCAGCTTGGGATTATAGGGATGTTAGTGCATCTCTAGAATTCCACCTTGACTTTGGGCACCAGTCTAGGGAACTGATACTTCCCTATGTTGATGTCTCTCGATACCAGTCTTAGGCCCGCTTCAGACGGAGCAATTTCTCCCAGCAACTTGACGTCGCAACATTAGCAACACGGGCCTCCTGCATTCACACACAGCAACCGAATTGCTATGATTTGCCATCATCGCCATTAAATCTTAATTTTCTTACACTATTTAGACACACAGTTATATGCTCTATAAACATGTTTTTATATCTTTAAATGGCATTGAGAATACTGATTCATCTTTCTGAAATGATTTATTCCCAAAAACGTCCAATTTCAAACCTGAACTAGATCTTCAGTTGTCATCACCACTACAAAGATGTCACAGGAAAATATTGCATCCATGATTGTCTACTGCCGCTTCAAATGTCGCTGAGTTGTGAGAGTTGCTTGTCCGTTTCGAGCCAGACGTGACCCGAGCAATTCGTGTCGCAGCACCAGGATCTTTGGAAAGCTAGGAAACAACTTGCCAGCAACACTATAATTGCGGTGAGAATTGTCCCGTCTGAAGCGGGCCTAGGGAACTGGGGTCCCCTTGAACATGAAGTTCCCTAGAGGCATCTGGGAAACCAATATGCCCCAAACGTCCCTAGAACACAGCTTGGGATTTTAGGAATGCCTGTTTAGGAAACACAGCTTTTGTTACCTAAACAATGCTCGAAAGGGTGCTTTGAGGTATATTAAATAAAAAATAAAAAACACCAGTCTAAAGAACTCAAAACTTCCCTAGATTGGTGTTTTTTTTACTGCGGTCTAAAGAACTGGGGTCCTCTTGTAGTCACAGCTCTCTAGACTTGTCCAAGTCCTGGAAAATTGAGTTACAAGAGAACCCAAGATCCCTAAGTCTTCCTTCGTTCCTTGAACATGTGCAGGACCAATTTAAAAGACTTGCATATAACTTTGGTATACTTTTTTATTAAACATGACAGCTATCTAAATGCTTTTAGTGCAATGGAGTCACATTTACATCCTCCTATCTCTTGCAGTCAAACCCATAAACCCATTGCCTCCAAATACACTTTGCAGAGTTCTATCAGTAGTTCTTACAACATCCTGATTAAAAGGGCACTAGCTGGGCAGCATTTTTTGCTTCACTGACAGTGAATTCACCTTCATGTGTTGCGTGGTCGCAGGGGAAATTTGACGGCATACGGGCCATGTCAGTGGGCATCATCCCCTTGGCCAACTTCAAATCGGAAGTGCTGAACAGAGAGCAGGTAAGGTTTCGTTGACACATGTCATGTTTGAATTACAGATAGCCACAGGGTAGAGGGTTCTGGGGAGGGCACACTTGCGATATATGTACACTAATAGCGAGTTCGTTTCACACGCACTGGCACCGTTCGAGTTCTCTCCCAGAATGCATCGCACTCAGGGAGTGTTGCACGGAAAGCTGGACTCAAACGAACTCGCCAATTGCACCGAGTGCAGAAGACTGATGCTGCCGCCATCTATGTTGTAGAAAAGGTACCGACTTCAAACCGAAACTAGCGCCTTTCTGATCGGAGTGATGCGTGGGAATGCGAGAATGCAGTCGCTACCAACGTTTATCTACAAACGCTGGTCGCTGCAATTTGTAGTTTATAGTTGCGATGACTTCAAGCAGCTCGGCTGCCGTAGAGATAGTTACAGACGGCGTAAATTTCCGCAACCAGCTGTCTACAAAGCAGCGGGTTGCGATCTTTCAATTCTTTTAACCGTTTACACTGAAGAAAACTGATGATGCTGTCCGAGCAGAAGCATGATCAGTTTGAGCATGGTATTATGCGTCAACCACTGAAAGGGTGCGGCTTAAAGCTAGCCTATTGGAATATCCAGCAAAAGTGGGACTTTCGATTTGGATCGTCATTATAGGTGGATCAAATATTAGCCTTGGTGAGGGCGTTGAGAACGAGAGCATTCTCGAACAAAATACGACGGGTCAAGTTAGCTGACGTAGGTAAATGTTAAACATGATGTTGCCCAATCCTCGGGTAAAGTTACCATTTTCAGCTTTCTCTGATGCTTATTGGGCAGTCAGAGGTTTCTGCTGGGGGAGTTTTGTCGACAAATGTTAAATTTTTCACCCGCACACGAATGGTGATAGATATCTCGCGGGCCGCTGTTACGTTTGTTCTGAGCATTCCTTAACACACTGGTATATTTCAGCGTTTGTACGGCAACAGAGCGATTTAAAACCTGCAAATAAATCACGGGTTGTCAATTGCTTCCTTCAGGAAATAGCAGACGTTCACAATTCAAGCTTGCGTTTGATTTCGTGGCCCGCGGGACGCGATTTCTATCAGAAAATCTACTTTTTTTTTTTCCGTTCGGTTCCGCGACACATTGTAGCAGACGAACCCTTGTCGTCTGCTCCCGCTCCTCGCCGGCCCCACCGGAGCGAGGCATGACGGGATTGCATTTTGGCGCACTCCCAATTTTCTCGGTGCAGCGAGTGCATGCACGCGTGGGGTGTCAGCGCTGAAACGAACTCGGAGAGTGCAACCACTCGTGGAGTGCCGGCCGAAACGAAGCCGTTCCACGCTGCGAGTGGGCACGCGTGGGCACGAGTGCCGTGAAACGAACTCGCTATAACTTGTTTTTAAAAAAAAAAACTCAAAACTCCCCCCTTTTAGATTTTTTTTAGTAGCGTGGGATGTTACAATGTGAATTTTTTACAGAACAGCTTATTTCGGTATGATACTTATGCTACAAGACGCCTTTTGAATTTGGAGCAAAACTGAAACTAACTTAGATTGCAAGATGTGCACCTCGAAATAGAAGTTGGTTTCGGTTTCACTCCTACCTTGCCATGTGCTGCGGCATAAATATTGTGTTAAAATCTTTTTGGGGAACATTTATTTTGGGACATACTGTAAACGACTTAATTTTCGCAAAGACCTAATTTTTGCAAGTTCTGGTAATCGCCTACGATTCACGAAAAATAGGTCCCGCAAACAATTCCGGTAAAATGTAAACTCATTGGAATCTCTATTGAGATCCCACTGCGTTGCGAAAATTAGAACCCGCGAATTATTCCAAAGCTTCAGCTTTGATATAAATCGCGAAATATTGAGCCTGCGAAAAATAAGTCGTTTACAGTATGTCTTATCGAGGCATTTAAAAAATTATGCTTTGGGAGTTTAATGTATCTGGCCACTACAACAGAAATAGGAATATTACTAATAGTACTTCATTTGGTTGTCATGCCCATAGACTACTGGCCATCCCAAGTACAGTGAACGCGTAACTTTAGGCATGGGAGCTAGCTCTTGCACTGTACGTGTATTACATAGGGCTTTCGAAGCCTCTGAAAGCTCTCTTCGAAATATTCTCAAAGTTTTCTAGAAACTGTCATCACCATTCACTTTTGTCCGAGCTCACTCTGTAGGTATGTTGTGCATCTCTTCGGTTGTTGCTATTTCCGGAATGATTACCGCACCTGCGGAACTTAGTTATAGCCTTTTGTCTGCTGCCCTTTTCAAAAAAACCATGCGAGGATTAAGCAGGAAGGTTTTGCCACAATACACTGATGTCGTGCAGTGAAGTCATCTCTATAGGACGATTTCTTAGGCGTGCTCAGCAACAACAGCAATGGCATGCAGTGTCATGTAGTTAAAAAAAAGTCAGTCGAGCATATTTTCTTCTCTCTTTCCTTATTGTTTCCGAATAGCCCTTTTTGTGATGTTACTTGTTTGCTAGCTTGGAACAATTTTATATATTTACTCCATTTATACATTTCTGGTTCCGTGATATGAAGAAATATTTCTCTGCATCATGGCTTTCCTTTGTGTGTCTGTAGCTGTAGTTTCTTTCATTTAGAATGAATGAAGGAATAAATGGACGAAGGCAAGCAACCATAAGTGACTGCTAGCGCCTTGCAGATGGGCTCCCTGTGGAGCTGGCTTCCCCCCCGCATCACCATGCTGCAGCCAGAGGTGATCTACTCGACCAACGAGCACGGAAGCAGCCTCACCAACTTCTATTTCCACACCGACACCTGGGAGCCCACCGTGATTGCCATCCTCACCACCAGGGACGAGGTATACTCGCTCACCCTGACCATGGCCGTGTTCCAAATCTTACCCAAATGGATCCGAGTTACTTCAGCGGGTCATGTCACGTGACAACACAGATGAAGAAACGCTGGACGTGGGTAGGTTTTGGAACGCCAAGGTACAAAACCCTTACGCTGGAGTAAGATAGCGTAAATATTGAAACACGGCCCATGTGCCATGGGGCACGTGCAGTCATGGCCGAAAGACGCTGCCTAGAGTGTGCCGACACATTTACAATGGTGATATGATGCTACGGAGGCTGATCTACTTAAGTCGGGTTCGTATCTTGCCTGTAAAGTTTGCTTTTCATTGTTTATGTGGCTTGGTTGGCTTCTTTTTAAACCGACGGAAGGGTGTAGAAGCAGCATAGGGGTCTAGCGGACCCATACACGTTTGCAAGGCGCCGCCATCTTGCTCAGTTGGGGTGCGCTTGGGTGCGTCATAATCTGGTTACGATGTCTTGCTAATGATTACGAAGCCTTTTGCACCCTGTCTATTTTTATCACAAAAGGTAATAAGTAATATGCTCCAGTATGAAAGGGAGCCCTCAATCATTTATATATATGAACCCATTTAGAGATGCAAACACTTACGGTATTCCTTTTTAAGTAATGTGCTAACAGATGTTGGCATTTGCTCCAAAAGCGTCAGTGACTGCTCTAAATCAATTCTTCTCCTACAACAGAACTTGCTACAAGAGGTCAAATGCCGCTTCTATCACTGCTTGTAGTATATTTCAAACTTTAAAAATAGGGATTGGGTACTGATTACGACATGGGTGCATTCTCGGTGTTTCACAGTAATGATAAAACTTTATTTTCATACACTTAATGTTCTTTGGGTGACATCGGTTAGGCCTTGACAACCCCAGTCCTCGTTGCATATGTTCTCGTCTTTCCCCCGCACGCAGCGCTTTGGGGCCTACTGCTCGACCAAGTGGCAGGAGCGTAAGCAGACATACTTCGGCACGGGGGAGACCTTCCTGTTCACATTCACGCCCCAGCCCAAGCGCTACCCGTGGGTCGGAGCCAACTCGGCCTCGGATGTGCCCCACTCCTCCAAGCTCTTTCTCTCCGCCAACCAGCACATGATCCAGATCGGCGCTGGGTACGTCCCTCCCGACCCAGCTACGAGCTGGAGATTGAACGGTACTCACGTTCTCGGAACAGCCTTGCTTTGAATAGATCAAACTCGCACCTTGAGCAGTTCACTACAGGTGTGGGGACAAGGAGCAAATCATTTTCTTGCTTACGATGCAGCGTTCGGCTGATTTAGCTGTACACTGCATCGCTGTTCGGCTGGGTTTCGCATTCAATGGATGGAGTGCCGATTGAACACAATTTTCGGCTGACTGCTAACGCAGAGATTGTTTCCAACCAGTGCCCTGCACTTGATTGAGGTAGATGGCGTAAAGGAACCCGGTGCACAGGCTTTGCATTGGGTATACACTGAGCTGTACGAAAAGCAAGCTGCACAATGTGCCCCCTAAAGTTCTATCTCCTTGCCAGTACTACTACTATATGGTCTCTCAGGAACAGAGAGTAGTGTATGAGCTTCTGCATATCGTAGAACGTGGAGCAGTCATATAGATAGAGCGTAGGGGTCGAAGATTCTTTCTACAGTCATCCTTTATCTTGTCATGTTGATCCTCGTTTGCTTGACCGATTTCCAAAAGCTGTGGGTGTGGGGAGTCCCAGCAGGACGGTGGTAGTGGCAGAACTTCGCCCTCCTGTAGAGATAAATATGGTGCGCTAGCACACAGATGTCCTGTCTACAGGACATTTGAAGGATCATGTTTCTTCTGTGGGAACTTTTTTTTTAAATGAGAACATGCACTCACATCTTTTTGGAGAAGTGTAGACTGGAAAGCACAGCATTCAAGCATAAACCAGGCACATAAGCATGAGCTGTCACTAATGACTGACACCTTAACAAAATATTTTTCAAACCTTTGGTTCAATTAGAAATTATTTATATCTATGTGATACTGCTATACAGCAGATGGACAGTTGTGCTCAGCATTCCCTAGAGGCTTAAATTTCTCGCTTTTATTAGATGAATTACCTAAAAGGCTGGAATGACTAAGCTGTCCTATTGTCTCTATACTATGGGTGTGGCATACACCGTCAGTTAAACGAAAAATCGGTACGGGGATGTTGACAGACACTCAACTTTGTTGTGCTTTTTGCCTGCAGGAATGGCTTTGGGCTTTACATAGACGAATCACTGGAGAACGGACGCACGGAGCGTTGCGACACATTCAACAACAGCCCGCTGGCAAGCAGCAACGACTTTGTCATTCGCATCATGGAAGTCATCGGCTTTGCCTGATCGCTCCAGCCGATTCGGCTGGCAGCTTCACTCATGCATTCCACCGCCATTGCTGCTTTCTTTTTTTTCATTTTTATTTTCAATGTCATGATTTTGTGACTTGGGACTCACTCCCAAAATATTTTTATAGATGTGACTCTGCCCTGGATGTTTGTCTGGGGCATTATGGTTTAAATCTCCAACTTCTACACTCCAGTTTACAGCAGGAATTGCGTACACCCTGCATTCCGAGGAAGAAAAAAAAGCAAAAAACAGCCTGCAGCATAACTCTTGAAAGGTGTGACGATTGTCTTGTTGGAAGTCTTCCTCACATTATTCGGCAGGACATGATTTTTGTTTTTTCTTCCAATCCTTCAAAAGGTTGCATGCATGCCACCGTGAATCTTGCAGGCGATGTTCTTGCCCTGTGCGCATTCTATTGACTCGTAAATACTTTGTTTCTAGGAAACCGAGAAATCGTTGTATTTATGCTCATAGGAATTCTCAGCTTATTTATTGATCGTGATGCCATATTTTTGTCTTGCCTCCCGCACGCGCGCCCATCGGCGTACTACAATTTTGTCAAATCTCTGGAAACCAAGATCGATCTGTGTGTGTGTGTTGCACAGTATTGTATGTATATGTGGCATTTTGGCAATAAGGCTAACAAAGATGCGTGTGCACTGCTTTGTGCTCACGCATATTGATTTGATGGAAGCCTTAGCTTCAATATTTGCAATAAAATATTGATGAGTGTCTGTGAATCAGTCGTATATATGTGATCGTGTGGAGGATATTGATGTATGTTGACATTATGGTGCTTGAGAGTCACAGAAATTCTTTTACTGCTCAATCAGTTATGTCAAATAAATATATTGTTTACACATTGAGGCCTGTGCAATAGTGTTTGTTCATCTAGCTCTGTTTTAAAAGGGATGTTGCAATAGCACTGCAAAGTAAGGCTAGTACGCGAGCACAATCTCCAACGTTATTTTCTTTTCAGTCTTCAGTGGTTTTACAAACAATGTTTTACCACATGTGCATGGTCGCGAGTTTGAAATCAACAGAATAACTTAAAATTATTTTACCTGTTCCAATGATGCAACACCAACAAACAACTCGCTTAATTAAATAACTTTATACAAATTTATTCCAGTTCTACATGGAGATTATAAATACACACTATACAGACAAACTGCGAAGTTCGGAGATCACTTCTGCGACGCTTGCTTGTCGGGGTCGGCTCTCTCGATGGGCACTTCCTTGGGCTCCCGGGCCTGCTCGAGACGCAGGCGAGGCGCCTCGATGCTCAGCGAACCGTCTGCCTGCAGCACAGACCTCACGGTGTCGGGGTCCACGTCTTCGGGCAAGGTGACGCTGTGGCTAAACTCGCGCACGTAGCTGGAGTCTCCTTCCTTCGTCTCGGCACGAGCGCGCACCGTCAGTTGGTTGCCGGACAGCGATACCTTCACGTCCTCGGGCTTGAACTGGGCGACGTCGAGCTGCAGTTGGAACTTTTCAGCCGAGCCGGTCTCGACGGGAACGTCGCGGGTACGCAGCCAGCGGAAGGTGGGTCCGAAGTAGCCGTGGCTGTCGAGGTCTCGGAAGGCGCGCGACATGTCGCGCTCCATCGAACGCAGTTGGTGATCGAACTCGTTGAAGACATCGCTCACCGATCGGGGCACCGGGTAGCGTCGCCAGATGGAGCGTCGCGGACACATCAGCAGAACTCGGCGAGCGAGCGGAGTCGTCCTTGCGCAGACGTTCGCCATCATGGCTCTTGTTGACAGGAAAATAGCACCAGCCAGAAGCTAAAATGCGCAGTCGGCAGCAGTCGGCACAGCGAGGACCGAAACTGAGTGACTGATTCGTGCAGTCAGTGCCGCTGGAGCGGTATTTATTGGTTTCGAAAGGTCACGTGGTATAGCCGACGAATGCGGGAGAACAAGCGAGAAGGCTCGGGAGCGCTCGGGAGGTTGCGTCGGGTTCTGCCTTGCGATTGGCTGGAGACTGGGCGGGAACTTTCGAGAATGTTCCATGATGCGCCGGAAATGATGACACACGGAGGTGATGTTACGTGGGTCCAATAATTGTTCCAATGGAAATTGTTCACGATTGTTCTAGAACATTCTATCCGCTTAATGTCACGCAGAAGAGTCAGGCAGATGTGCTGCATTTAGCTACATGTTTAATTCTAACATATTTGAGATTTACCTTTTGTGCAAGTTGCTTCTGTCGTTGAAGCAAATTGTGTTCATGTTTAGATACGGCGAACATTTTCTTCAGTGCAAAACATTGCTAAAAAAGAAAAATGACCAGTTTTAAAGCTTAAACTTTATACACGGCGAAATAATGCTTGAAAGAAAAAAAAAAAATCTGTTACCGAAATAATACAGGAACGCATGTGTCGTCTCGACCGTGTTTATTCTTTAACCACCTGAGCTCACTATCTAACCTGAGAAAATTCTAAACCCAACAGCAAGATGGCGAATAAAGTGGCATTTCAGTAGGATCATCCTTACCGAGACAGCAAAATTGTCAAATATTGCAAAAAAAAAAAAAAAATCTTTTGCTGCTATTTTTTACCCACGCATACGATACGAGACCTGCACCTGCATGAGTTTGCAGTGTTTATTATATACTTTTTTTCTGAACAGACGGGTGGCTTTTGGCCTTTATATGCTCATGAGAAGATTGCCATTTCTCAGCATCTATGGGCAAAGCTGTTCAGTTACATATAACAAAGCAAACTTAGTTTGCCACTCTTGTAGCTTCATAAAACGCAACACTTTCAACTGGTAGTTTCACTCCACCTTGTTGTAACGGAGGTATATGCAAGTACATTCCTCAGCGTTATTCACTTCCATTTCGAACTGTAAAACTCGGAAGCTAGGGGCGCCATCATGTTCAGTACAGCCAGGTTTCTGCAGCATTTGAAAACGCTGTGCATGAATTGCTTTGATCAGTGCTCAGTGTTTTTAATTATTTTTGTCAAAATGTTAAGCAACCTCGGCCCTGATCTGGCAATGCCTAGGTGCAGCTTTATAAAACAGTACAATGTAACTGTACACTTTATTGTCAAATAAAATCCACATGAATAGAATGCACCTCGCGCATACCAAGTGTCATCTTTGCATGGAATACTGTAGGGTGCCTCAATGTCCTTCCGTTTAGGGTGATGCCATCGTTTGTAGTACCCGATGCCGACAGCACGCGCTCAAAGGGAAAATACAAAGAAATCGCGAGAAACAAAATGTCGCCGTAGCGCAGTCAGCGCAACGAGCGCGTGCAAGGACACGCTCTTTCACGCGCTTCAGAACAAAAAATAAAAATAAGCGTTCAAAAAAAATGGCCAAATGTCATCACCCCAAGCAAAGCGCACATGAAGGCACCCTAGAATACTGGAGTCAAGTTTGTTTGACAAGATATTCTGCAAATGCTCAAGCTTCAGGTTTGGGCTTGGAATGCACGCCTCAACCAGATACAGCTTAAATTATAATTGAGGTGCATGTCACACGAGCTGGGGCGCCATTTAGCAAGCAACCTGTCTGTACATAAAGAGATTTGTGTTGTGTTGTCCCCCTTGTCACCACTCTCCATTGTGCACCGTGTCTTGAATCAAGCATGGTGCTTACTTCAACATCATTTCTGAAGTGTCACCAAGATGAGTCACGAGAAGGGCGTCTATATCAGAAACGAGAGTTCTCGTTTCCGATATACTGCAGGCGTAAGAAAAGGCCTGCAGTCTTTCAAATAAATAAATAGCGAAGAGGCAGGGGTCGCCGTGGCAGGGCAGTCTTTTTTTTTATTTGTATGGTACACAGGGGGGAGGCGCCTAGATCCTGGAGGGGTAGAGCATGATGCGCACCCGTCGGCCCATGGCCACGGCCGGCATGTTGCGCCTGAACTTGGCCCGCACCACCCCACTGTTGCCGTGGGGGCGGGTCACCTTGCCCCAGATGGCACGCAGCTTAGAGTAGTGGTGTTTGTGGCCGGGAACCCGCGTCTTGCTGCAGGCAGAGAGAGAGAGAAAAGGACGGTAGTCAGCATCCAGAAACAAGTTTTGTAGCAGAAGTTATCCTACCGGGTTCGATAGAGAAAATGAAACCCGGTTTTTCGGTATGCATAACTGAAATATCAGTGATGTGATTGGCCTAAGCCATTTTGGAACACCTTTCGGAGCAGCCAAAACAGTATTTCGGAGCAACAAATGCGGCCTTTGGAGCAACCAAAACAGTGTTTTGGAGCAGCAAAAATGGCTTTTGGAGCAGCCAAGACAATGTTTCGGAGCGGCAAAAGGCGCTTTCGGAGCAGATGTCCAAATAAAAATAAAAATATTTGTTTTCAGTGCTGTATAAACGAAGGGCACTTTGTGTTGTGTTGTATTGTGTTCTCATTTGACTTGTTGTGAAGGAACTCGCTGTTTGTGGTTTTACTGCTGAGACATCCCACAAGTGTACAGTGCTGTAGGCATTGCCGAGCAATTCCGAAAAACCGCTTGTCACCATTTTACTGGTTCCCGACGTGCCAGATTTTCGTCAAAAGTAAGCAAACGTGGAACAATGGATTGCAAGCGTACCGGCTGGTGCCTCTGTCGTGCAATCATGTTTGCATGCACGGAGACAATGGCAGTTTGATCGAAACCGAAACCATGCCACTCCGCTCAGTCGCCAACTGATTCCCAAAATTCTATGCAAAATGTAACTGTTGAACATATGCCAAAAAAACAGTCCAGCAGCGCATGCTTGTTAGGCTGGCAAACAAAATACAAGCCAAACACACACACACAAAAAGAATCTGAGCGCATTGATGCAAGGCATCGCGAGCCAGGGCAAAATATTTCTTGGAGCGCTTCGTGCAACGACTGAACTTGAGACAAACAAGCCTTCTTTGCTTTAGCTTACTTCCCTTCACCGATTTCATTTCGCGGGAGATTTCTCACAGACCGGGGTCCCTCTCGAAAGAAAGCCCACTGTTATGACCCGTCTCCATCTCCCTGTGTTTGTGAGGATCGACCTTGCATTCCGGTGCGGACGACGACCAAGCGAACGTCGAGACGGTTGGAGAGTGATCCAAACCCTTTTTGCACGTTCGACCGAAACCGGAGAAGCGTTTCTCTCGGGCCTCGGCTCAAGGGCATCAGAACCTATGTTGCCGTCGGTGTGTTCTGTCTACGGCGTCTGCATTCTACGAGAACGCCAGACAGAATCTCACCCTGAACAGATGGGCAGTCTGTTGTGTCTGCGTCTACCGCATGCAAGACAATTGCCTACTAGTCGCCCTCAATTCGGAGAAGAACAACGACCGAACCTCGGGGCCGAGAGGAGGAGGCTGTCGTCGAGGCCAACTTTGGAATGCGGCGCTAATCAACCAATGGCAGGACAGCTGCAGAACCCCAATTTTATAACATAAGGACCTGTCCGCTGCCCATTCGGTGCGCTCCTTTTGCCAATATACTAAACGATATACTCATGTAAATAAACTAGTTTTCTGCCCCGTTAAGTTTCCCCGATCTGTTTCCCGACTGTCTGGCTGGGACGTTGTCCGCGAGAAAAATTGGACGCCAGCGAGATGGCCATGCTACCCGAGAGACCAGGCTGGGCGTCGACACCACCGAGAGAAACCTAAGTAATCAATACTTTGACACAGTAGTCTTTGAGTTTAAGAGGGACTTTTATAGTAACGTACGATTTAAACAAGAACAGGAATGTTGATGAACATGCTGCGGTACTTAGTTTCATTTTAGAAAGCGCCATATCTGCAGGGACGTTGGGACGGCAGGCAACACCCGACATCGCGCGAACACGCTGACTGGAAGGCAAGGACCAAATATAGTTTTCCCATGGCCGTTGCTTTCAGGTGCGAGTGCTTCAGCTCACAAAGTAACTCCCGCTGTGCAAAAACGTGGTTTTGTTTCACAGCATGACGGCATGGCTGGTACCCGGCACGCTGGCGTCGGAGCGTTCGTGCACACCCGCGCATATCGTTGAAAATAGTTTTGAAAAAGACGCGAGTCGAGACCCACGAGACGACAAGAGCGCGAAACGTGACACTGAGGGAAAACCATGTAAAACCGGATTACCGGATGGCCAATTGATGCAGGGTACTTTCTGTCGGACGGCCGCTTCTGCCACATAACACAGGCATGCTCAATTACGTACTCAGCTTAGTTTTGGTTTTGAAAGGCAACCGGAATTAGTATTTTGGCGCAGGCTTGGCGCAGATTACCCATAGTTTGGTCAGATATAGCAGGACGTAGCAGGGTTAGCCCCTTGGCACAATTGGGCGCAGCAATCACATCACTGAAATATGCATTGCAGAAAGCTGAAACTCTGCCAAAATATGATGCTAGCGGTGAGGACATAATGAAATTTTGAGAATGTGATGTTACTTGGTTAAAAAAAAAAAAGAAAGATTAAATTACTCCATGAGCCGACATCCACTGCAGCCTAACTTCATCAAAACAAATGACAATGTGGGTGCATGTGAAATTTATCTCAGCAAAAACAATCTTGTCAGCTAAAAAAAAAAAAAATTTTTTTTTAACACAATTAACATTAATTTTTTTAACTTTCACATTCTACACGCACCGCTAGCATCACATTCTGACGGAGTTTCAGCATTCTGCAATGCAAAGTTTACCAATGAGGGCCGAAAAACAGGGTTTAAATTTTTTGTTTGAACCTGGCAGTTTGTTTCACTATGTCTGAGAGAAGCTACATGCATAAGCATGTTGCCCTGAACAATGCTTGCACAGCACAAGCACTCGTGCTTGGCAGGAATGCTGAAAGCGTGGAGCCTTCTGCTACGCTCATACTTCAGGTGAAACAGAGTAGTTGGCCTAAGAGACTGGGTGCACTTACCGCTGAATTCACAAACCTCACTCCAATTGAGGGGCCCCTCCTCTTCCTCGAGGAAGACGCGAGGGCCGGCGCTGGCCAATTGCGATGGCGGATCCGTTATCGCGATTGGCCAGCGTCGGCCCTCGCGCCTTCCTCGAGGAAGTGGACGGGTGTACTTAGTTTCTGCATAACCCGGCAAAGAACTGAATGCTACGGCCTGTTCCAGGCAATCAGAACGACAGAGCAAAGCATGCGGCAGCTTTCTACAGGACTGGACCCCAGTAATCCATAGTGATGTGCATCACTTAATTGTTGTGATTGGCTAGCTGGGGTTGTAGGTGTTGCTGTTTGCCAAGTGATAGTCAGATTGTGTACACTCATGATAGAAGGGCACTAAGCATGACCAATAAATTAGAGTTGTGACAGCACGGTCCTAGAATATAGAATAGGTTTCTAGGTCACCACATGCACCCAGAGTTGGGATGTTTCTGGGTGAGCCCTAAATCCAAGTTGGCACACACAAGACGAGAACAGGAAGGGAACAGGGAGGTCTTTCAGTTGTTCTGCTTTCAACACCAGCTTCACATTTCCGATAATACTCCCAACATCTCGTGAGCCTCAACAATGTAAGCGCAGCTAAAGCACAGCGGAAGGCAACGAGCATCCGAAAGAGATGCTCTGCCCTTCTCGTACAACCAGTGACCATAGAGCAGCATGCTACATCTAACCAGGTAAAAGTATACATTTTTAACTTATGGACTAAGACAGTCCTTTGCCAATGTAAACAACTGAAAAAAGCATAAACAAGAAAGTCAGTGGACGATAAAAGTGCTGAGATTATTTCACGTATAGCTTCTTCAAGCAGACACCAGTATTAGTATTTACAACTGATCTGCAAAGAACACAAGAGACCCGAGGAACACTAATTCACTCCTCCACACACACCCATGCATACCTTGTGTCAAAGGATAAGAAAAGCCATACTATCGCTAAGGCAGCTATTGTTTCTGCATTTTAATGCCAGTTCAAAAAGAGAGTATAAAGGTACCCAACACAAATGTTGCACTATGAGAGCTGCTCAATCGACAACGACCAAGCATTCTGCCCCAAGGTGCTGCTTTTCCTGTAGCAAGGTTGCGATAGGCAAGGCCGCACAAGGCAACCCTACCCTCGTACCCTTGCGTGCACTTTCAGAGATAGCTCCAAGTAGTCGACAGTAACGCATTAAATAGGACACCGAATATGTCTAACTATATCACTTGCAAAATCTCAAAGCAGAAAGAAAGTGGGACGTGGCGAGTTTGCAGGCCGGGCACAAGGACGAAATGTTAGCTTTAGAATGTACGGCACGGTTTCAGGGAAATGCATACTTTATGCAACACAATTTTGACCTTCCGGGAAAAAATGCACATGTTCATGGATGCAACCAACGACTGAAGGTGTCACCTCTTTTGCCGTAATGCCTAACCTTCAAGGGTGGTACTTGGTAAATGTACATATTTATTCAATAATAACAATAATAAAAAAAAAAGGAAAGCTGTGATAATATTTTTTTTCTTCTTTTCCCTAGAAATCGGCCACTTTTTGTAGCACTTCTAGCAGCTACGAAAAACTCGAATAGGCAAGAGACGCTGGGACAACATTCAACGTATGGGGGCCAGCACTCACTTCTTGGCGGTGTAGACGAAGACGGCACGCTTCCCCAGGTAGAAGCCGGTCTCGCGGCGAGAGTTGACACCCTCGATCTTGAGGAGGGAGGTGTGCTCGTGCTGGTTGCGCAGACCCCTCCGGTAGCCCACAAACACCGCCTTGCAGTACAGCCTGGGAGGCAGGAAAGACGGAGGGAGTGATGCCAATGCCGAAACCAAAGGATGTACCATGGGCATGACTGGACACTTGCCTCGTTAGAAAGAAGACACGCACAACGTTCGGAACAAACAGCTAGCGTGCATGAAGCCCTTCTGTTTGGGGAAGTAGGCCATTATTGTCAATGATCAGTCATATTTGGCATGAAAGGACAAAAACCTTGTGAAGACTCAATAATTATTCCAAATGTAAAGAATCCGGGACATCGAAGCAACTATGGTCGCCATCTTGGCATGGCATAGAGGCAGACGATTGTTGCCTTGGGAGCCTTCGTATTTGTGCAGTGTCCAGTGTTCACCCTAGCAAACCGTTTGGCCAAACTATGCTCACTGGATCTAGCACTGCTTTGGCATGTGAGAGCTATGATTGTGCACAATACACATGCAGTCAAAGCATTACTGTCACGAATCTCCGATGTTTCTTCTTTTTTCCTCTGCTCGTTTGTCATTCTTGCGACATTTCTTGTGTGTGGGTGGTATGTCGGGCATCCCGGGTATCCCGAAAAGAAGCGACCGGGGAGGGGCTCGTAATCTCCACTCTGCCTTGTGTACGCGGCATACCGAGAACAGGGGGCTTTCTGTGCGTGTATTCTTTTGTTGGGCCATGCCGAATGTATGTAAGGGAAGCTTGCCGCGCCCTGGTTTTCATTATGTTAAAGCCGCTTTGTGTAGGCGTCACACACTGAACCGAAGGTTTGTTCTGTTTGTGCGGGGCTTGTGTTCGGTCGCGCCATGCGGGGACGCTGAAGGGGAACGGTCGGGGGTCTGGCTCGTTAGCAGAAGGGCCACTTTCTGTACGCGTTCAACCGAGGGTGTCGGGTGACCACGTCCCCAACCTTCCCAGCGACGCTGTTGAAGCTGGATGGAGCGTAAAAGTAATTTTCTGTTCATTTGCTTGTTTGTTTTTCTCCTGAAAAAACGAAAAGGAAAAAGGTAAAAAGACCCGCAAAACCGAGAGTTCTGATTGGAACCAAGAAGCTCGGTTCTGATTCATCAATTTGAATAGCTTCAGAATGCTGCTAGTTCTTATATATAGAAGTGAACTGGCGGAAAAAAAGGCACGGAATCCCGAGAGCAGTCAGAGACACTGCTCTCCCGTCCTGCGGTCGTGAAGACATTTGAGCTCGCTGTTGGAACGTCACTGTCCTTCCTCGAGTTGTATTGGTTTCCTGTGTAGCACCGCATGGTGCTAGTGTTGCGGTGCGAGTGCGTGAGGAAGTGCGCCCGAGAAAATCATCAGACGGACTGGACCAAGACCACGAAGAAGGCATCCAATTCCTGGACCACTGACGATCCGGCAGATTAAGGCTTTTATTATCACTTGAATTTTGTTGCACCCGTACGCTTTGAGTCTGTGGCTTGTATTGAGCGACTCTTTGTTGTTGTTTTTTTTTGTCTGCTCGCGAGCGTACGTCGCCTACGGTTTTGGCGAGAGCTTTTTGTTGTTGTTTGAAGAAATTAGTAAACATCTTGTAATTTTATCCACTACCCTGTGGTCGCCTCCCCTGCTCACTTTTACACCAGGCGTGGCCCTAGCGCCTGTCAACTGGTTGAGCATTTTTTTCCTTCTTTTACGTGTACATGAGCTGTGGCCTTTGTCTTTTTACATTGTTTCAACTAATTTACATACTGACCCACGCACGCTTGTGACAATTACACAATCCAAAAAGCAGGCACTGGAGGGTGAACGCTTGACAAGAGATACCTCGCCACTTGTGCCAAAGTGGCAGGTGCAATTAGGCACCGTGTCCAACTATTATTTCTCGTCTTAGTTACTGACATGGTCACAATTCATGGAAGAACGAGAAACTTGTTGCAAGGCAGGCATGAGCCATAACAAATAAAATTCCGTCTGCAGTGGTGCTCCTTATAAGGGCAATTGGTGCAGCCAACCACTTCACACCAAATTTCATGCTACAAAACCGATGTCAATCTTCCGACTTATCAGTCATGCTGGGGCGACTGGAGTACACAGAAAAGTTTCCACGTACAGAAGGTTTTGTGGAGATGCTGTCATGCATCTCCAAATATGAGCGTGCAGTCACAGCTGCATTCTCATATTTGCCACCCTCCACTTTCCTGAAGAGAGAACGTCCTTAGCACGTCCACTTGATTCTGCACCAGTCAGAGATATCAAATTTCCGCGAAATTCGTGGCATGACGAACGAAAAACGTAACGGGGCTTGCGAAATTTCTGCGATCTAAAAGAGCAGTTAAGAATATAATAAAAAGCTACATGACATGTTTCAGCTTCTGCGCCAAGGCACCACTGTCAATGGCACTGCCAAGTTGCTAGGCAATCAGATTTCTCGTTTTCGTCAGCAGACAAGTTACCTACCACCAAAACTAACAGCGACATTTCCACTTTATAGTGTACTTTGATGATTACGGCTACAGGCGCTTCAAAGGCTGCAAGCGATTTCCACCACGAGTGATTGTAGAAAGGGGGGTCAGCCTTACCGCTTTGGCGTTCTCGTCTTCCTGCCACTGTCCTTAGCTTCGACCGCCGCAACCTTCTTCTCCGTCGCCTTGGGAGCCTCAGGGGCCGCCTTTGCCGGCTTTTCCTTTGCCATTTTTAATCTGGAAAGTCAAAATTAGCCCAGCGTCAAGCCCTGTGCCAACACGCGGCGAACGCTCCGTCGTCGGCTCGACTACGGATCACAAATACCTTTTAAAGCGAGCGATCTAAAAATCTACACAAACAAGACAACTGCACCCGTCGAATTGTACAACTTTTACGATAGAAATCGCTCAATGTTACTCCTTGTCGAAGGTTCAACGACGGTGTCAAGACCCTTCGGACTGAGACACCGGCCAACAAGCATGAAACAATCTACGACAATCGGGCCAAGTCGTACAGCATCTACCAATAAAATTAAAATTTTGTTAAAGAGAAGGTTTGAAAGAGTATGAGAGTATAAGCATTTTTCGATGTAATTGATTAAATGAGCGAGTTACGAGCGATAAAATCCATTAAGAAATTTTAAACTTACGTTGACCCCCGGAGAAATATGGAGGAAAGGACTGAATCAAGGCTTTCTCGTCCAGTCGCAAGTACCGGATAGTGTAGATGGCGCTGCATTCCGCATTATAAAAATTTAAGATTGGTGAATGGCAATGTTAACTAAAACAAATTATAAACCCTTTATATAAAAATTATGTAACCTAATACATATAATTCAACGTTTATTTTATTTTTTTGGTGTGTATATTTTTAATCAGCTGACTGCTACCGGCGCTAACGCGCCCATAGAGTTATTATAATGTACGCTAGAGGTTCAACTGGCGCTAGTGTCTATGCGACTTCCATGATGCAAATTGAAGCCGGCAGCAACCAGTATACTTTTGCGGTGCTCCTGTGCATTCCTATGGGAAAACGCGCGTGCATTTGACTTTTCGCCGGAAAACGACACAAAACACTTTGGTTATTTGGGCTGTACCGAATAGAATGCACCTTAATTAACATTGTTAGAGTGTAATTACTTTAGTTAACGCATTTTTCTTCATTAGTGAACAATGTTTAACTTCGCTACATTTCAATCCCAAATGTGTGTTCCGCAGCACGTATGTAAAAACAAGCGACGATTCAAAGCAAGATTACAATCGAGAGGAATATAGAGTGTGTTCAAGGCTCGCCGGCATTCCGGTGACGCTTATATATTGCTAATATGCCAATCTTGTAACTATATGAAAATGACCCCGTCGTGCATGAGCGGATAAAACATTCAAAACGTAAATAAAGCATGTCGACTATGAAAGGTGACTCTTCGCATTGTTTTCTCTGCCGGGCAGATTTTATCTTGCACTTGTTCTCAAAGATTTCGATCGTGCTGGTGTATTTTGAACGTAGAAGTTCGCACAGAGCAGAAAGAATAAAGCGGTTACTTATTTAAAATTGGAATATATTATGTGGCCTTCAATTAATTTTGATCGTACATACGCGGGTAATTACTGATCCAGTGTTACTGCGTAGTTCTTGCCGTCTCCCTTAATTTCCAGATGTACTTCGTTCGTTTGGCACATATATCCCTCATGCTGAAAAGCGCCGACGTCGTGTTTGCGCTAAGAGTGTCCGACAGTGCACATAGTAACTACACATACGAAGCCGTTTTAGCACCGTTTTTAATGCAATGAATTTGAAAGAAAAACGCCGTAAGTGACCAATTATTTTGTCGGCCTGACTGAGAAATGTTCTAAGCTACCTAGTACGTACGAATTATTCGGGATATTTGCCCTTATGATCGAGCGAAGGGAGAAAATGCACTCACTTTTTTCCATAGAAATGCATTACTGGAAGTCAATTTTCGTCTGGTTGCTGTCTGCTTCAATTTGCGTCAGCACACTAGCGCCACTTGAACCTCTAGCGTACATTATAATAACTCTATGACTAGCGCCGCTTGAACCTCTAGCGTACATTATAATAACTCTATGAACGCACCCACCAACGAGTTGAAAGAATGTACTCCTCTGTGTTTCGTCCTCTCTCTGCCTTATACTTTCTGTGGGTCCATATCACATGAGCGAATGACATTTGAGCGAATGGATGTCTTAGCGAATAATGGGGGCGCGCGTTAACCCATCTGCAGCGCTGAGCTTTCGCCGCTTCGCGGCGTCCGAGTATTCGCTAAAGTGTCATTCGGTGAAACATGGGCGTTCGCTAAAACGTCGTTCGATCAAGTGAGTGCCTCCCGAAAAGAAACACTGTTGGATCCGTTGTGCTCCCGAAATATTGCTTTAAAGGGACTTCTTGACTCGTTTTTAATTTGCGCCGAACCTGAGGGCACTGAACGTAGTAACTTAAAGGGGCCCTGCAATGACTTTTGGACTGGTTTTCTATTTGCACTGAACCTGAGCGTACTGAACGTAGTAACTTAATCCAACTTTTCTTTTCTCAAATTTCGCTTTATTTTAAAAGTTATAGGCAAATTAGAATTACAAAAACAAGCAAAAAATAACCTCCTTCATGACGTCGTAGGTCCTGGCTTGAGTGGCCTTGAACTAGAGGAGGAGTAGTGAGCTCATCGAGCGCACACGGCTGCCGCACTCCGTGTCGACGGCTCGAGAGGGCGCCACTAAAGCATGTGCTGGATAGGCTGTATGAAGCAGGCGGCCAGGGCAGCTTGCATTGCATTTGCAGCGTGACTAAACACTAATTCGGCATAACATTTCATTGGCCACAAACGACAGCAAACACGGAGTAAAGATCAGTTCAGAATGGGAGCCACTTCGCGCTGACGCACCGCCAAATGGCCAAATCGCCAGTAGGGCCCGCGCCGAAGGCCTTCGGAACGCTCGGAACCGGTCGGATTCTTGAGCCGGTATACGACCACAGAGCCGCCGCGTACATCCGGGACCTTTCTACGCTCCTCGTTTGTCGTAGCCTCATCCCACTAGCCTTTTCTAGTATGCGCCGTTTGTTTCCGCCGCTTGGTGGCGGGTATGTCGACGGGTCATTTCTCGTTTCCGTACTTTCTAAACTGCATTTGTTTCTTTTCTGATCTAAAATAGTGAACAAAAACTACTTTCATACATAATTGAAACGGTTCGCGACAGTTATATTTTGTATCTCGACTAAAAAAAAGCTCTTAGCGGCTTTGACCAGTGGCAAGCCCAGGACCAAAGACGTCACATTTTGCGCGCTTTCGGTACCGCGGGTCGCCCTCGTCGGTGGAGGAGGTTTCCGCGTCGTCCGGTTAAAATATGACGCACTGATATTTAGTTACTCTCTCCGTGCCCGCTGGCTTGCCCCAACCCCAAGAGACGTGGAAACCGCAAAAAAGGTAGACGCTTAAATATGATTGCAGGGGGGCCCCTTTAATGAAACTTTTCTTTTTTCGAATTTCGCTTTATTTTAGAAGTTATAGGCAAATTAAGATTACAAAAACAAGCAAAAAATAACTTTCCTCACGACGTCCTTGGTTGGGGTCCATATCACATGAGCGAATGACGTTTTAGCGAATGGTGACATTTGAGCGAATCGACGTTTTAGCGAATAACGGGGGCGCGTTAAACCATCTGCCGCACTGCGCTTACGCTGCTTCGCGGCGACAGTCTGTGGTGGCTCATTACAAAAATGCGAACCCATTTGGCCCACCCAAAAACGCTGGTTTGCGGCGTCCAACAATTCGCTAAAGTGTCATTCGGTGAAGTGTGGGTGTTCGCTAAAACGTCATTCGATCAAGTGAGTGCCTCCCCCTTGGTGGCTTGAGTGGCCGTGATCTAGAGGAGGGGTAGTGGGCTCATCGCGAGCGCTCAAGGCTGCTGCACTCCGTGTCGACGGCTCGAGAGGGCACCACTAAAGCATGTTCTGGATAGGCTGTATGCAGCGGGCTGCCAGAGCGGCTCCCGTTGCATTTGCTGCGCGATTAAACACTAATTCGGCGTGACAGTTTATTGGCCACAAATGACAGCAAACACGGGGTAAAGATCAGTTCAGAATGGGAGCCCATTTCGCGCTACCATACCGCGAAACGGCCCAACCGCAAGACAAAGCTTCTTGCCGAAGGCCTTCGGAACGCTCGGAGCCGGTCGGACCCTCCTGTTCATACGACGCAGCGCCGCAGTGTACATCCGGGACCTTTCCGTGTCGGCGCCTGATCCCACTACTCCTTTCTTGTATGCGCCGCCTTTTCCACCACTTGGTGGTGGGTATGTCGACAAGTCATTTCTTGTTTCCATACTTTATAAACTGCATTTGTTTTTTTTTTGATCTAAAATACTGAACAAAAACTATTTTTATTAATAATTGAAACGATTTGCGCCACTTATATTTTGTATTTAGACTAAAAAGAAGCTTTTAGCGACTCTGACCAGTAGTAAGCCCAGGACCAAAGACGTCACATTTTGCATGCTTTCAGTATCGCGGGTCGCCCTCGTCGGTGGAGGAGGTTTCCGCGTCGTCCAGTTAAAATATGACGCACTAATATTTAGTTACTCTCTCCGTGCCCGCTGGCTTGCCCGAACCCCAAGAGACGTGGAAACCGCAAAAAAGGTAGACGCTTAAATGTGATTGCAGGGCCCCATTAAGTTAGCACAAAAAAGCTGCCGCCGCCCCTCCTTTAAGCCCGACCTACAGAATCGTCTTCTAGAGGGTAGAAAATCGGTTCCCAGATTTGTTCTCACACTTTTTTCTGCTCCTCTCCCCACAGTAGCTTTCTCGAATGGAAAGAAAGACTTGAGTTTTCTCCTTTCTGCCCATTTACTAAGAAATCCGCGAACCAAGTCTCCAACAAGAAACCACAGCATGAAAAATAAAAAAAAATAAAAAAAGACAGGTCATAAACATTGGGTAAGGAGGGCTCAGCTCTTGGTAGCAAGCATCCCTACAAGTCTGATATGATGACAGTACGCCTTGGACAATAGTCACTGCTCAGACCCTAATTTCTTGCCTGAAAGTTCAGGCAGGAGAGTTATCTTCAGATTTGGGTGTCCCAAGAGCCACTATATGAAGCCCCCCTATGCTTGGCATCCTCTTTAACCTCAGCGCAGCATCAGAACAAGGGTAATCTCCTCTGCTGACGTCTGCGGCTCTGGCTTTGATTCTCTCGGCCTTCCCGAATCCCTGAGCACGTCTCTCGGGAACCGCAAATGGAAGCAATCGCGGAGAAAGCCACACCTCCAACAATCATTCTGTTTATTGCAAATCAACATTACATAGACACTCTTTTGAATAAACCCACAATAGTACTGTACAAATGCTGGGAAATAAGAAAAGAGAGAAAGAAAGATGTAGCCAAAGAGGGGAAGGGGAGGCTGGCACTCTCCGCGACGCGACGGGTGGAGGCGCCAGCGAAGCGTTCCCGACGTCCATCGCTGGGGTGCATCCGCCCACCGCTGGCAGACGACGCTGCTTTCCGCGGCGGGCTTCATGTTGCGACGACGAAGGGACAAGCTGGGGCACGGCGCCCTGCCGGTCACCCCGTGGAGACTGCCATATCTGCAAGAACAAGGAATTACAGCAAGGTTGAGATTTTCTCCTTTTTGGGCATGCCAAAACAATGTTTTGCTTCCATTTAGCAGGGTGCTACAGTCGTGTTTTATCAAAGGATAACTCCGGTACATTTTCTCGAATTTAGGGTTACGATTGTTTTTAGGGAAGGAAGTGTCGCTGAATAGACTTATTCCAATACTCAAAGCGCCTCATTGCAGCATAATCCCACGTTATGCATTGTGGGAATCAGTGGGAAGCGAAATCCATAAGCACTACCGGCCCACAGGTTCCCAGAATGCAAACGAGCGCGGTGATGGATTTATGGAAGTTCTACTGCTTTGCTTCGTCGATGTCAAAGAACTGTAGGAAATACTAATACACATTCATAGAGTTGCCGGCCGAAAGGCGAGTTTGCCACGATGAATGCAGGCTCGGAACGAGATCCCACTTATCTTCCGAAAAGAACTACAATCTTGGTGGTGTGCAATGCATGTTGCAAAAGCGTTGTGAAAGCTAATAGTAAGCTTGCTCTGAGCAGGACCAAACTAAACTATGGCCCCCAATGTTTGCCACCTTCTGCACCATGACACCACGAAACACCTTTTTAACTTCTTCCTCCTTAGCCTTAATCCTCCACTCAAAGCGAAATGAGAAATCCCACGGCAGTGATGCGCTTATGGTGCACAATCTTCCGCCTTGCTTTTTAAGCACACCATGGAACTTGTCATTTCCAAGCAACAATAATTGCCGTTGAAGCACTCGCTGGTCACGAACGCGAGTTCAAACGTTCGTCCACGGATTGATTGTTGACGAGCGCGTATCTCCGAGTGACGCAGTGCTCATGTCCAAAGCGCGAACTGGGGTCGGCTGATGTGCTTTGGGTACCACGGATGTGTCGGTGCAAGGGCGGAGAGCTTTTGAAGAAAAAGTGGTACGAAATAGTGCGCTATGTTTTCGAATTTTCACAGCGAAGAGCAGGCTTTTGACTTTCTACTATGTTTCTTTTGGCCCACTAAGCGATATGCAATTAGTAAAATCCTAATCTAAAATAATGCATCCCAGCTCAAAATTCATTTCAAGCAAAACGGGGAGTACTAAGTAATCTTTTTGTGAGATTGCTGAGAAGTGCTTACAAACTACAACCACACAAATGTAATGCAGAAAAAAAAACATGGTGAAAGTGGCAGTACAAGCAAGTAACCTTCTTGGGTATGAATGGTACGAGCATGACGCCGGGGCACAATGTTGCCTGACAAACAGCCAACCCGCTGATGCTTGCTGAGAAGATGGTGGTAGCATCTTTAATATCGGTTTTAAACTGGACTGCAGTCTCCCAATAGCATATTATTTTGGCAGAGCTCGTATTTAGACTCCGTAAATCAATATAAGTCACTTATATTAGTTTGGACCGGAGTTACCCTTTAATGAGGACACTTCCGTTCCTCCAAAAATTGTCCATAATGAGACAAAAATGTGTGTACACATCCAGTTCATCCCCGAAAATTTGGCCTATATAGTGGGGTATCCATAAGATTATTAGTGATACTAATTATTATTAGCATAACTAATGATTAACATCATTGATAGTGATGCTAATAATGGAGCATCACTGTACTGTTATCACCTATGCTTCCCTTATTCTGTTCCCAACATGCATTTTATTATTTTCATGCAAAAACTCAACGGCATAAAGTGTGGGACCAGCAACACTGTGGCCCCCCTAAGACAAATAGCAAGTGCTTCTGAGGCAAAAGGCAAAACTCATCCATGCTGCACCGTTACACCCTTAAAATAGCAAGCACATCTCAGGTAGACATTACATTAATGCAAATGCAAAATGATACAAACAAAGAATTAAAACACATAATTCATAAACAATAAAAACCACACACACAAAAAATAGCAAACAAGGCATAAGGGCTTATTGGATTTAGCTTGAAGAGCTCAGACCTGCTCTGTATACTAGCCGCAGTACTCCACTGCAACATAAAAATGTCTGCATTTTGAGTCACCTTCAACACAGCGTATAAATCTTTGTGGGGCAAAGAAACGGAGGAGTCATGATATTCTACGAATATACTAGCGACACATACGCTAGTGATACAATAAATGGAAAATTCAGTCCGTTAAAACAGACTATAAAATAGGCACGTGGCTGCTCTGGATGCAAGTAGCTGTACACAGCCACCTGTGAATCAACAGCTGGTGTGACGGCCTACTTTGTGATGCCACGATGCACCTTCTGCCTATACTAGCTGCAATTTCTTTTCATCATGGACACAGTGAGCTCAGAAAACATCCTGCGTCTGTTAAGTTCATAATTTAGACGTAACAAAAAAAAAAAGTTCAGATTTTTCACTTTCGTAAAGAAGAAAGACCAGCGGAGCTGTACTCGATGCACTGCCGCAACGCGCACGCGCCCGTTTCCCGCTTCTTCTTGTCCAACACGCCGACGATCATAGATACGTTTCTGGCGAAACAGAGTCGGTCGCACACGGCGCACGTGACGCTAAACGGGTAATCCACGAACTCCCTCTGGAACCTTGCCGTCGCCCCCGGAAACTGTTTAGCCGGCGTGGAGTGCAGTCGTCGCCGGGCCTCGCGCTTGCGCTTGGCCTCCGTGGCACGATCATCGTCCGTGGCATTGGCCCGCCGGCGCCCTTTATATCGCTGGTTCTGTTCTCGGCGGAGGCTTTCTAGGCGAGTGATATGCTCTTCTTTGGCAAGGGAATCTGAAGTGCTCGACGCAGTGGAAGTCGAGGCGACAGTGGCTTTGCGGCGGTTACGGACCCATTTGCGCTGCTTGGACGTCGCCGCTTCTTCCGCAGTCAGTCTTCTTTCCCCGAAAAGGCGCGCGGCCGACCCATCCTAAGTCCAAAGTCCAAACCGAAACTGCCAAGAGCGTAGGAAACAGCAAAACAGACGGGGACGAAGAAACACACGTGACGAGCACTGCACTCGTTACGTGTGCTTCTTCTTCGTCGTTGTCTGCTTTTCGCACTGTTTAATATGATGAACGCGCCCAACTCACCCAACTATCCATTCTTCTATGATAGCTGGAAAGGTTGCCGCCACCTACGAGCGACGGCGGCAACCAGACTGGTTGTGTGCTTGCCGCCGTCGCTTATAGGTGGCGGTAGCTGTCCAGGTAGGTTTGTGTTGACAGGCGTTTGATACCGGACACTGTCCTGGGGAACCTAGCCCTGAACAGCTCCGCTGTAAAAAAAAGAACTGAAAGGTGCTTTTTTGATGCTCTACTCTACTTCTGTGTATAACTGATTTCTTGCGACACACATTAGAAATTTCAGGCAGGTTAGTAAGGCACTCCCACTGCACCTGTCAAGTTGCCGATAAGAGTGCCACAAGGTGTCGTACTTCCAAGGAAAACGGCAGCACCCACAACTGCGCCTTGGCAGTATTCACTCATTAACTCGCTCAATCACACTCACTCACTCACTACTTGAATGTAAATGATCATGAACTACGAGGGGTTCATGATACAACCATGAGCAGCTTTGTGAACTCTGAAGAGTTCATGATATGATACTGAGTGACTTCGTGAATTTGGAGTCAGTGGTCATGTGTTGGTGAGCGATGTGATGGTGTGCGATATGACAGTGAGTGACCTAATGGTGAGTGATGGGATAATGGGCCCACAGCACCCCTGAAAGGTGACAGAGGAGCACAGGCAAGAGTGTTCCTCACCCCGTGGGGGGGCAGGGGGGTCGGCTATCTGTCCGCCAGGGACAGCACAGAGGACTTGAGGAACACCTGGTTGTCTATGATCTGGAACAGCTCGGGTGGGGATGGGATGCGCCCAGTCTCGATCTTGGACCACACACGCACATCTGCGATGGAAGAAAAAAAAGCAATGCCTGTTTTGAACCTGTCTCTTGCTAACTCAAGATGAAAAAGTTGGGCATCTGCTTATTGCACAAGTGGTGCCTGGTATGCAAATGCATTGAGTGTGATAAGCACATGTGGCAGTATTGCAGTAGCCATTTTACAAGGCAGAACCTAGTTGGCTTTTAACTTTTTTACATAAATTTTGGCAGCTATCATAAAGTTACCTAACAAATACTGTAAAACCCTTTATTTTCGCGGCCCCTATTTTTCGCGAATCGGTCACAGATGACATAATCGCGACCATTAAATTTCGTGAACTCCAGACGCCTGCCTTGAAAATCTTAAAAACTGAAATTTTTGCGCGCCCTTAAATTTTGTGAATTCTTCAATTCGCGAAATTCGTGAAAATTGAGGGCTCGCGAACATTAAGGGTTTTACAGTACATTCCCCAATGCCTATGGTTACTAATGAAGTAAAGATGATACACTTAGTAAAATGGAACATTTGTTATTGACAATGTACTATAGTGTTTACATGCTGCCTCTATATGGAGTGTATGAAACCAGTTTTCTGACAATGTACTATAGAGGTTTCTCTTTCAGATGCCCAAAGAAATGAGCACAAAGTACACAGTACAGAATTTTGAATTTAAAGCATATTTGGACAAGGAAAACATTTTAATTGAAATAGACTCAGCTTTCAGATATCTTTTAAACTTAAAATTTCACAAAGATTTGCTCATTTCCATTGCACTGACTCAGATATGTAAGATAAAGAATGACAGCACTAACCAGAAAATAAAAAGAACACCATATGAACTTTGCAAGATAATTTAAATAGCAAATTTCTTTCTTCCATTTGCGGTTTTCACTGATCACCTAAAAAATGTAGAATGCATCTTTGACGAGTCGTTTTGTGTTACTTTTTTCCAGATCTACCTAAAAACAATAAACAATACCAATGACAGAATGAGCTTTCCCAGACAAAGGAGAGAGGGAGACAAGCCAGAACAAAGAAGAGGTGAACCACGCACCATTGAAGTAAATTTCAAATGCCCCAGTTGAGACCAGCCTGCTCTCAATCGCTCCGCAGACGAAGAACAACATGAGGCAGGAGTACAACTGCAAAAAAGGGGACAATCCACTTAAAACATTGAGCACCAAACACTGCTTACAAGAAGCCATCCACGTGCTTCAACCTAACTTTATGAATGGCAACAGTTCTATAGAGCTAGAGGCACTGAAAGAATGCGAATGGAAGGGCGCAGTTTCGCAATGCCCGACCTCCAGCATGTGCTCGTTGCCTTCCGCTGTGCTCCGACTGCATCTGCACACTCGAAGTTCACGTGACGTCAAAGCATTATCGACGGCAGGCAGCCCGTGCTGGAGGCGAGACAACTGAAGAACCTTCCTGCTGTTCTAATCTTGTTTGTGACTATAAAGCAACCCGGTCAGTTCAAAGAGCGTGATCTTGTAATGCTTTGTTGAAGATCCACACTGCACGACACAATTAATACAAACACTCTGCAACTGCCTTTCGCTTTTCGCTCAAACGAGGCAGTGACAGTTGTTTGTATGTGCTAACTGCGTTGCATTCATTGACGAAACACAACTGGAAGCGGTTCCAATGGCGAAAAATATCAGACAGAATGTCGACAAAATCACCAGAAATTAGGTGGCAACACACAAGACTGTAAGGGTATGATAAAAAAACAAAACAAAAAATCTACCACTACACCTTGACCAGGGGTCACGCTAAGCGGGTAAATGGGCTCGAGCCTTGTGACTCCAAAGACATAATTAAGGCACAGTTTTTGACTCTACAACACAAAGGCTAGACTTTGCAACATGCTAAAACTAATAAAAGCACGACCAACGATGAGAGCCAGTCAATAATAATCCGTAAGAACTATGCAGCGAGGTTAAGAGGTCAACGCCTGGCACTGACGCAGCTTCCCGCAGCGATCAAATACGCCAGATAATGACAGAGCAAACGGGCAGAATAAACATTTCCCTAGAAAAGCTTTGTGAACATGCACACTGTCTTTGACACGGCGATTAATTACCACGCATGGTCAGGCGGCTGGTAGACACGGGGTGTGGAAGTGCGACATACTTTGGAGGTATGCGAACAGACGGCGACTCCGGCGGCCAGCGCGGTACCCACCTTGTTGTTGAGCATCCAGACGAAGGGTGCCGGGGTGTGCGTCCCGAGGTAGCGGAAGGGGTCCACCCCGAGCAGCACGAGGGCGATGACGGCGAGCTTGAGCAGGCTGAGGGCGTGGGCCATCTGCATGCGGGGGCTCGGGGGAGGGTATGTGTCCCCCTCCACCGACAGCGAGGGGTACTTCTCCTGCAGCAGCCCCGCATACTGCTCAAAAGCCCGCCGGTAGCCTCACGAGTAGCTGCAAGCAGAGGAGCAGACGGAGGGTGGGACGTGAGAGAAGAGTCACGATGCCGAGCAGGCAGGCAGGACGGACACACCTCACTTGGTGGAACGCGCCATCTCGGACTTGCCGAAATATGGGACATGTTTTCGCCAGTGTGCTCCAAAGTCACTCTAAAGGTTAGTTTAGACATCTGTGCTTGGGTACGACCGACAGCATCACCTCTCCCTGTGTTCCACGCCACATGTTGTGCAGACGTCGGTTGCCATGACTCGGACCGTAGAAGCATTTCATTGTAAGCAGTCCTGACAACCGGTCATATTCAAATGCTAATACTTCTGAACCAGCCTCCGGGGGGGGGGGGGTGTGGGCACTTGCCCCCACTTACCGTGAAAGTTTCAATGAGCTCGAGGTGCCAGCAGCGTCACATGACAGTTTCTACGATGTGGCTGTGAGGCTACACCACAGCGAGAGGACAGACCAGGGCCGTAACCAGGGGGGGGGATAGGGGGTTCTGACCCCCCCCGAAATTTTTTTCTGTGTACGGCCCTGGTCGGTGCACTGGCAGCCAGCCGATTTTAATCTCCACCTCTGCGCACGCGCAGTGGCGCCGGTCGGCTACCGGGTACCAATCCGGGACCGGTTCTCCGGTTTGCTGTAACTCTCCATTATATGCCACCGATGCACATGATTCATAGGCGAAAACAAGACAATAGACACTTTCAAAATGGCCGCCGTTGCCCCCGAAAACCCCCCCCGAAATTTTTTTCTGGGTACGGCCCTGGGAGAGACTATGCCGCTCCAGAATAGTGCCTCTAACGTCCCTTGCCCAACACATCTTTCTATGGTTCGATCTTTGTTCCTCAGTCTCGAGATTCCGCAATGTTGAAAGTTCACCAGAAATCAAATTTGGGGTTTTATGTGCCAAACCAACGAAGGAATGCCAAACCAACGAAGGACCGAGGATTCATTCTGACCACCTTTGGATCTTTTGACATGTGGCCGAAATTTGTTACCATGGCACCTCCTCCGCAATGAACCTCAGTCAGCTTGCAGGCCCCTCAGCCAAAATTCAAACCCACCAACCAGGCACCTGTAGGGCCGGAGCTTTTCGGAGCCACTCAGGTGGCTTCATACCTTATTGCACCTTGGAAGAAAAAAAAAATAAATAAAAGGGAATACGACAGGTGTTTTTCAGCTCGCCTGTCTCCTCTACGGTACATTTGTTACTATCGTAAAACATCTGTCCTCTTTAGAAAGGCAAACAAGTAGAACACAGACAAGAAAAGTGTGCCATTATCAGAATGGCGTAAACACTTGTCGACTTAAAACTCTAAAGGGTCGGTCGAAAAATGATTGACACACAAACACTCAGAAATGCATGAAGTATCCAAATGTGAATAATATAACTATGCATTAATTTCATCTTAAGGTCAGAGTGCAGCCGATGGGACCAATCAGGCTGCGTCAGAAATGCAACGCCATTGCGTTCGTCACCTTCCTGTACGTATTATATCGCCGGCTAAACCGAACAGGCGGTTAAACCGAACAGGCGGTTAAACCGAACGAGTGGTTAAACCGAACAAGCGCAGTGGATAAACCGTGACTGGCGCTTTTAGTATGTATGGCCGACAGTATGGCCTTGTTTTTTTGACGTATGCGAGCCTTCGAATGCACTCCGACTTACGATTAAACGAAGTACAGTACAAGTCGTCGCAAAGGCCAGTAACCCCAAAATACAAAACTGGAGGAAAAAAAAAAAAAAAGAAAAGAAAAAAGAGGAAAGAAAACGCGTGTTGTGCACTCGGCGAATTTTCCTTAGTGTCTTTTAGTAGATAGGGGGACAAGTTCACTCTCAGAAAACACCCTCAAAATCACGCTAGAACGTTGAAAAGCCGATTCGAGCTTGCGTCCGACACGACCCAGCTCAAATCGAAGCTACTCGAGGAACTCAGAAATGGAACGCTCATAATGCAGCATTCTCGGCTCACCACTATCGTCGCGGAACCCGAAAAGATTCTCCGATTTCGCAAGGGAAAGGCTCCCTGATACGCACAAAGCTACGTTCAATGAAACTACGTTTTGTTTTCCTTCTTTTCTTTCCCTGTTGATTGGCTTAACGGGCCGACACTCACCAGTAGAGGAACCTTAATTTGGGATTCGCAAAGTCCGTCTTGAAGCTCGTCTTTGGGATCTCCTTGAGCTGCGTTGCATTCTCTTCCGAGTTAAAAAAGAAATCTTGGAGACTGTAGGCTAGAAATAAAAGAAACACACCGCCGTAAACGAGCTTGGAGTTATCGGCCATAGCGGCTCTCCGACAAGTTGACGACGAGCCGTATCTCTTGCCTGTGAACTGGCTAATCAATTTAAAGTAGCCTGGAATGTAGCCGAAGTGATCGACCTTTTAAATTTTAACCCGTTGGTAGTGTCCCCTAACGATGAAAGTTAAAACGTTTCTTTATATCAAAATTTCAAAATACCCATGTTTAATTATCTATAATGCCAGTTTATAATACTTTTTGAACTATATAATTTTGTAGTTTTTTATGTTTGTTTACCCAAGTGGCTTTGGTTGTTCCGGCAGTTCCGGTGTATTTTTCGGCGTGTGCTTGAACTGCTTGTTTTGATCGGGAGCAACTTTGTCACTTTACGTGACTTCGGGTAATCAGTCTTTTGTTTTTGTAACTATTATGGTTGTCTATGCCTCGTTTGGTGTGCGCGTAACACTAGACACTTGTTTTTCACTATGGCTAAGTTCTGAACGCATTTGAGCTGGTAACTTGCCAAGTTCCCACGTTGGGATTTGGGTACTGCGTTTAACATCTGACCGATCTTGCAGATTTAATGCAATGTTATTTGCGCGATCTGCTTCCGTCTGAATATTGGATAAATTTAGACCTCAGACAAGTCCCTCAAAGTGTTTGTTGGATGGTATTCTACGCCCGAGTCTATTTATCTAGTCGGCTGCACGATGTTTTCGTCGACAATTGTTTCATTGCATTGTTGACAACCTTCCAACAAAATCGTGTCTACGAAATGAGAATCCACAGAATGTAAAATGGGCCTTAATAAATCTAGTTTAAATGATAGCATACGTACCGCCTTATTAATGTAACAATTGTCATTCTGGACAAGTTCAGGGAAACTCCTGGTCCATGTCGAGTCCAGCCAACGAAAGAACATTGAACGCGAAAGTTCGAGACACCAGGCTTCGATATGATGCTTAGCTTCCTAAAGTCTTCTTTGCACTGGATTAAGGACTACAATCCTGAGGGCTTCATGTTAATAAGGGAAGGCATGCTGTTATCGTCTGTTGCAACATAAGGTGAACATAAATCCCTCCTACAAAACTTTCTACTTGCCATGATTGCCGGTTTTCTCCTCTCCACTTGCAACCTCTCCAGCGTTTCTTCTGCTAAAGTGGAAAGAGTGGATGGTTTTGTGGGAGGAGCTTCTCCTGCTATTCGTAACCTGCAACAGACACTAACCTCATGCATCATCAATCAGAGGTACCGGGCAATGAAATTCATGCAAATTCACCATCCAAGCTGTGCCCCTACACCAACACCTTTTTCTTTTCACCCGCGTTATTGAGCCTCCTGGTGCTTTTGCCAATCTTGCATCTACGATTTGACAGAGGGGTGCTGTCATGCCACCAAAAGGCAAAGGAGACTCCAAAGGCGGTGCGAAAGGTGGCAAATCTGCCGGCAAATCGGAAGAAGCCTCCGATTCCAAGGGGAAACAAGCAAAGGGTGGAACCGCCGTCAAAGTGAGCTGCCTTTCTTGTATGTCTCTTTATGTGTGTGGAACTGTCATGGAACTAAAAGCATTTTCTGTAAAATTGCATCGGTACTTGCAACCATATCTCCCTACTGTATTTGAGCTTGCACGACTGCATTATTCCATTTGCCTATTGACCGGAAGGAGCGACTTGTTACCAGGAATACCAGAGGTACAACTCTGTTTATTTGGAACAAATCCATGCTTCCACACTCTTGCGACAAAGTGTACGTAAGGAATATTGCAAGATGCCCACTGACGATGCTTCAGTTGAGACTGCTGAGAGGTGCTTTTTTTGCCGATTGAAATTTGAGAAACGTCTCCTCTTGTTTTTCAGGTCCGACATATTCTCTGCGAGAAGCAATCAAAGGTGCTTGAAGCTCTGGAGAAAATTAAAGGTGGCATGAAGTTCAACGAGGTGGCAGCCACATACAGCGAAGACAAGGCCCGGCAGGGTGTATGTATTTTCCATGTCTGAACAATCTTAGAAGAAATAGATAATCGGATATATTATGGCTGAACTTTTGACTTGTAGCATGTCGGTGCTGCCAGTTGTTCTATTGATATCTGGAGCAGATTTGTGCTGTGGTTTTTTGACTGAATGTCACGAGTTACTGTGTGCACTTATGTTTGTGCATGTAGAAGTTATTCTTGAAGGATGTCAGAGACAGTGCTTGGAGGTGTCCTGCCAATATTACTGGAAGGCTATCAAGCCCAGTTATGCCCCATGTTGATCGCTGTCCAATTTGACATCTCTTCCTAAGCAAATGGGATTTGATGCGACCGGTCCCTCGACAAAAGTCTTTACTTCATAATTGCCAATGTGTTAGTTGCCTTAGCTGACTCTGTGGCGACTTCTTTTCTAGTTAACAAATATTGACCACATTGCTGAAAGTTTGCTTACTTTCACATTGCTGTGCCCTTTATCAATGGTTGCTCTCAGTGATATTTTTCCTTCCACACCCTTTCAGGGGGATCTGGGCTGGATGACGAGGGGATCTATGGTGGGACCTTTTCAAGATGCAGCGTTTGCACTTCAAGTCAGTACCTTAGCGAACCCCGTTTACACAGATCCACCAGTCAAGACGAAGTTTGGCTACCACATCATAATGGTGGAGGGGAAAAAGTAGTGATCTTATTAACTGTTCTGAATTTTTGCCTCTGTCTAATAAACTGCCATCCTAAGTTAAAGTGTCGTCGTCGTACAGTGTGCAGTCGTAAAGTGAAAGCATCAACCACGCGTCACTCACCAACATTCTCTGGTCAACGCCTAGACCGAGATTCGGGTCCCCCAAAAATGGACAAGTAACGGAAACAAATGGTCTGAGAAGCATTTTGTTCATGCCATCTTTAATTTTGTTTTTGACCTTCTTTTGTGTGTAAGCCCGTAAAACTGAGCTTCGTTGCGTGACCCTTATGTTCGTACAATAAGTTTTTTTCGGTCGGGCAGTGTTTGCATTGAATCTACTCTTGAACGCTTTGGCCTTGCCAAATCGTTCGATGGCAGCGATCGTAACGCCTTGTTTGATGATCACAAGGGCAATGGCTGGTTTCAGACGTGTGGGTTGTGCTCCCATCAACTATTAGCCCCGAGAGCGAACACAAGCGTCGCTGCGGTCGCCGCGCCCTGATTGGGTGAGGTGTACCGTGACGTCAGGGGGAGGACTCCGCTCCGCGATCTCGCATCGGCTCGCTTCCCAGCACCGGTTTCCATAGTTTGGCGTTGTGTGCCGCAAGCTCTTCGAGGAGCTGGACTTCGTTTACCCGATATACAAGACGTTGAGTTAGGCCGATATTGACGTGCTTCCGTACATTTCATAAGCCTACTTGTCCCTTTTACCTTTAAAATTGGGTTACAAATCTCGAAAGCAATCGGCGGAGGCAATTCCGCCGATGAACCTCCCCGTCCGTCCACACGACACAAGGCAATCTTGCGAGGGGTCGGTGAAGCGGTGGCGCAAGTGTTTCAGACGCTGGAATTGTGTTCCTTGCATGTTCATGATTTAGGACGATATTACATCCCGCTTTCAAGGCATTTGAAGTGGCATTCATATCATCGGCCTTTGGGTGGTCGGCAAACTAGCTCGCGACCCCGACTCTGCGCTGCCACTCTGCATGCGCTGGTTCACAGATGTTTTAAAGGCCCTGTGTCAGATTATCTTTAAAGCGCTCGTGGAACAGCTAGGGTTGTTTTACATAAATGTAGTTTCTTCGTGAATTAATTATATAGTTTATACACGTATGCAGGCATACTTCACTCTAAGAAAAAATGGAGGAAAAAAGTATCAACGGCGCGCCTTCCTCCCTTCTACCGACGCGCCCCCAAGCGGACACGAGAAAAGGGGAGGAACGAAATGTTTTTCTTCTTCTCCAGGCAGGACTTGCGATTGAGCCGCCGTGGGAGAGAGTCGTGTTTCTCGGCGCTCCCGCCGAGCTGCATGAATCGCCCCTGCCCGCCGCTCGCCCGCCCGAACCAAGACCCGAGCTACGTTTTTCCGCCGGAAAACTTCGCTCGCCACCGGAAAGAGCTGCCCGAAGGCAAGTGAGCGTCACAGCCGCATTTTTTCCGAAGCATCCGACATCGACGCCGCCGCCGTTCCCGGCCAGTGGGAAGGCTGGGCCTACCATTAGGCCTAGCTCGCCCTGCCTTCGGCTACGATGGCTACCGCCTCCAGCACGGAACTACCGGCCTCCCCCGACACCGAAATGACACCCGACGCATCTTCGCCACCCGACGAAACGCTGACAACATCCAAGCAAGGAACTCCCGCCACCACCATCACGAACAGGCTCCCCCCAAAGAGAGCCCGCAACGAGAGCGAATGCTCCGAGCGCAGCCCGACGGATTTCGAGGACGGCCAAGATGCTTCCGCCGATTTCACCGACTCCGACAATCAGTTCCCCTGGATCACCGTATCCCGGAGGAAGAGGATCAACAAGCCGGACAAAGGCAGCAAACTACCCCGTCACGACCTGGACAAATACCAAGTCACCATCCGCCCACGGGCCCGCGTCGACGTCTCAAAACTCCCGAGCTATCTCATCGGAGAACAACTTCAAAGAGCAATAGGCGAGACCGTTCTCGAAGATCGCCTCGCCTACCGCCGCAACGGAATGACGAATACAATATCCGTCGCCGTTTACGACGAACGACACCTAGCAAATCTACTTCAGCTCACGCACCTTGAGACAGGCAGCGGCAGAGTCGACGTCCAAGTCTACCGAACGGCCACCAGGGAATTCCCATGCGGGGTCGTTCATCTGACACCCGACATCCCACCGGCGAAACTCCTCGAGGGGCTTCGGGCCGACTACCATGAGATTGTTCAGGCCAGGCCGCTGGGATCCAACGGCACATACCTTCTGACCTTCCAAGGCCAGGGTGTACCCCGCCGCATCCGCGCCTGGCACGAGATCATACAAGTCAAGCCGTACCGCCCCTCCACGGTGGTCTGCAACAACTGTCACGGCCTGGGCCACAAGTCCGACATCTGCACGCAGGAAAAGCGCTGCCAGTCCTGCGACGGTCTTCTGACCGAAGGACACCGCTGTGAGTCAGTCAAGTGTCGCAACTGCGGCTCCCAAGACCACGTCGCCACCTCCCGGGACTGTCCAGAGAGGAAAAAGGTAGACTCTAGGATCCAAGCCCGTGCCCGACCACGTCCGGCCTTGAACCAACAACTGCATCGCCGGCGAATAGCAGTGGGAAACCAAGGCCAAACTCCTGATCCTCTACCACAGCAGCCAAAGTCGGGAAGGCAAGCCCAGACCCCCCATTCAGGAGACGGGCGAGCCCCGCCCTCCTCCAAGCAGACCAAAAACCCATCGCCCCGATCGACTGAAAACATTACTGACCAGCCAGCGCCACCGCAAGACACGTACGCATATAAAGCCACGCCTCGCAACTGCAGAACCCCATCAACCACGCCGCTCATGGACCAACGCAACGAGCTTCTCACCCTTTTAAGGCGGTATAAGGAGGAGGAAGCAGAGCACGCACGCATAGCTGCCGACCGCCGACGAAAAATGGCTACCCTACAAAAAAAGATAGAAGAACTGGAAGTCAATTTCCAGCCGGGCCCCCAGCATCAAGTGTCGAGCCAGCCGCAAGCTCACCCAAGCCCGCAACCACCTCTGCGAGACACGCCGCGATCACAGGCAAACCACCCCGCACCCCCTCCAGCAAGCAACAAGCAACCACAGCAGGAGCAATCCCAGCCTCCACCATCTCAAGGTGACCTCAAGTCCCAAATGCAAGTCTGGCTGCAACAAATGCAAGTACAACTCCAGCAGCAAATGCAGCAGCAAATGCAGGCCCACTTCAATCAACTCATAGCCGAGCTCCAACACTCAACCCTTGCCCCCACCCCGCCGGCACCGCCGCAGTTCCAACTACGTCAGCCCATCCTCACCGTTAATGTCCCTGGACAATAAGCCGCGGAACAAGGGGGATCCACGCAGCAGTCACACCAGCAGTCCTCATAACCAGCAAACTCAAGGCCCCGGGGAATTCATGCCGTCACTAGCCTCGCCCTTGGTTCCGACACAACTTCGAATCCTACAATGGAACTGCAGAAGCCTAACCAAACGCAAAAACGAATTCCAGCTTCGACTGGCTCAACACCGACACTCGTACGACGCGATCTTGATGCAAGAAACCAACGTGAAGGACCCCAGACTCTCCGCATACAACTACTTCCACAACCCTGCGATCGAACGGAAATATACAAAGACCGGCCCTCCTGAAGCACGAGGACTGGCCACCGTCTACCTCAAGGGGACCGTACCACATGCTCAAATTGATACGCAGAAATGGTGCACACCAGACCAGGAAGTCACTGCGGTGCGCACACTCATAGACAACCATAAGCTCATCCTCGTGTCGGCGTACGTCCGCCCTACCGCCGAAGACCCCAACTTCAGTTGGATAGAAGAGTTACGAACGGTCTACCCAGACGATAGGATGGTCATAGGCGGCGATTTTAATGCGCACCACCGGGAGTGGGGCTACGACGACGATGACCAGAGAGGGGCCAGATTACTTGAAGCTTACGAGAAGGCGGGTCTCGAGCTCGCGAACGACACGCATGAAAAGACGAGAGTAGGCACCTCGGCCAACCAGCAGGACACCAACCCCGACCTAACCTTAGTGGACTCAAGAATCGAGGGGATGGAGTGGTCGGTGTTCCCCGACGCGTGGGGCAGCGACCACTACCCCATAGAAATATCGATCCGTATCAAGAACAGGGCCAAGGCCAAGAAAACTGTGGTCACAGTCCTCTGGGACAAATTCAGAGCCCTTTTACGCGCCCAAATTGACGAAAACGACATGTCGACAAAACTCTGCGCCTTGCTAGTAGCCTCCACGAGGGAAGCCTCGACCAAGAAGGAGGTGAACTGGGACTGCCCCACACCGGACACCCACCTCCTATCCCTGTGGGACCACCGCACGCGCAAACTCACAGAGTACAGAAAAACCAAAGACCGGAACACACTGAAGGAAGTGAACAGAATCACCGCCGAAGCAGAGGAATATGCACGAAAGCTCAGAGTGAACGAGTGGCTCGACCATTGCGCTTCCTTTGACCAGCGTACGTCGATACGCAAGCTGTGGCGCACCTTCCGAGGCATGCTCGGTATCACCAAGGTCCGCAACACGATAGAAAACATGGCCCTAGCCCTGGACAAGCCCCTCGAGGACGTACTTGAAGACATGGGAAAAGCCTTCTTCCCCCAACCCTCGACGACCCCGAATGCAGCAATCTACACCCTAGAACAAGCACCGAAAGACCCCCCTCCGTGGAACACCCCGATCACCCGATGGGAGCTCGAGACCGCTTTTGACCAAGGGAGAATAAAGTCTGCTCCCGGCCCAGACGGCATCACCGCGAGCATGCTGCGGAACCTACCCGAAGAAGGAAAGCAGCAAGTCCTTCGCTGGTTCAACCACATGTGGGAAACCGACACCTTCCCGGACGAATGGCATGAGTCGTGGGTCACCCCGATCCCGAAAGCGGGTAAACCCCCGAACACACCGAAGAATACCCGGCCTATATCCCTGACCTCGGTAATGTGCAAGCTGTTTGAGAGGATCGTCCTAGCACGCATCACCTGGATCGCCGAGGACCGCAAGCTCTTGCACGCGGCACAAACGGGCTTCCGACAACATTTGGGTGCGAGAGACAGCCTCC